GCCTCTGAGCACCGGAGGGGAGAGGGAATCACGCCTCAAAAACACGTGGGAGAGATTACTCAAATATTCCTCCTTTTTTCTCCCCTCTATTCCCCCTCACGCTGCTGCACGCTTATCTCCCCCGAAGCAACGAGCCGGGGAGCGTTTTTCTGAGTATTTTTTCACGGATGTCGGAGGCTGTGGATCCCAAAAGCAACGATAACCTATTTCCACAAAGGTTTCATTGCAGCTTACAGCCGTGACCTTGTGCTATGTTGCCCTTAAGTAGCCCGTGTGGCTGCAAATGTCCACAACATTAAAAAAAAAAAACCCGCTGCAATCAATGCACACTTGCAAAGGCATGCATATGACAAGTGACTCAGTCCACAACAGGTTCACAATTGATGGCCCACGGTTAATAAAAGCAGGATCGGGCTACAGATAAGCATCCTCCTCGGAGGCAATTAACTGCACTGATATTACATAATGACAGCCCACACTTCTTCTTTTTTTTTTTTTTCAAGCAACATTCCCCGGTCCATGACAAAAGGATGTTTGTTTTTGTTTTTTGTTTGAAAGATATTGACATGATCGGACTCTCGGATGTGTGACAGAGCGTCCCCATCTTTTTGTGTGTGTGTGTGTGTGTGTATGTGTGTATGTGTCAGGCAGTCAGTCACCTCCAAGGGAAACGGCGGGTCAGAAAATGAAACACCTTGAAAGTGTCAGGATGCTCTCCGCAAAGAGTGGCAGCCCCTTGGCAGGATCTTACCTTTGCTGTTGTCCTCTTCCCTGTTCAGATACATGGCTGTGTCACTCCACTCCGGGGCGGGCGCGGCGGCGGGGTCTCAGTTCTGTGCTGCTACTCCTCCGGCGTGGCTCGTCCACTCCGCCGATGTGGTTTGTAGTAGTAGCTGTTTATTGTTTTGTCGCTCCTCAGCAGCCTCAACCTCTCCTCCTAGTGGATAGGTAGGCTGAGCGGCTGGAGACTCACTGTACTCCCTCCCTCTGCTCTCCTCTCTTCCTCTCTCCCAGCCTCCTTCTCTCCTTCACCAACAACCGCCGAGGACAAAATGGGGAGAGTGACTTTTGCAGCTGTGTAAAGTCTCCATGGCTTGTTTGCTCTGTTGCCACACGGGGTTCTTGCGTCTGTTTGTGCATCCCATGATCATGGTCAAATGTGACTTTGCAAATAACGGCCAGTGCAGTCAGAGCTGGATGCTGAGAACAGTTGCAGTGGTTCCTTCAGTTGTGGCCACAGATTTTTTTTATTGGAGGGAAAGAAGTCATATAGTGACTGAAAAAAGGTGAGTGTTATGACAGTCGTGATGCAGAATGGGCTGTTCAAAAAACTAACAGCCTTGGAGCTCATTAAAGAGATTTGGATTAAAGGTTTGTGAATCGATTGAATTGAATTGATTCATTACATGTTTTTTCTCTGAGAGAAAATTAGGCATCGATAATGCTGAACCTTACTTTAAAAAGGTAGCTGCTAGCACAAAGTATTCAAGTCCAAAGAGAAAAAGCCACTTATGTGTTATCATGTGCATTGAGTCAAATGAGGCCTTTCCAAAATATTGCTGCCCAAAACAGGGAAGTTCTTCTCAATGATGGTTTTTCTTCAAGAGAAGGTGGACTTTTTTTTGTCATCCAATGGGAACCCTTTCAAAGTGTTCAGGTTTTGTTTTACGTGAAAATAATAAGGAAAAAACACAGCATTATCAGCGTATGAAAGATATTCTTATTAAAATATTCATCAGGTCTTACTTCGACATACAGTTTGTTTTCAGCATTTACATTCGTTATGCGTAAACTGGCATAAACATGGGTAAGCAGGTTTTTAAATGTTTAGTTTCAAAGATGTGAGTAGGGAGCCCTTGGAAATGTAACCATGGTGAAATGTGAAATGTATTTATACCATAGGATGGTTTATAATGTATTTGTGGTGCCATGAGGCATAACACAATAACGCTGTACATAGATTAGTCAAACCGAATGATTCATAAGGGTTCATTACAGTCAGCTGCGTGTGGATAGTGATGTTAAAGATGATCTTTATATGGAAAATGATACTGAAGTGATAACTGATTACCAAAGCAGACAACAGGGAGCCAACAGTTCTATACACTGATAAATAATTTATCCTATTTAATGAGTCACGACTGCTAGCTCCTTTAGGGTTCAGATACTGTCTTATTTTTGAGCATTGTTAGTATAACGCATTTGGTTGGAGAGAACATTTAGAGAAATTATCACAATGTAGATTAGCAAAGTAATCATACAATGCCCTTAAGATATGTAATTAGACTCAAAGATTATTATAAAGGGGTTTAAACCATCCAGACTATGGTACCATCAGATCGTCACAGCAACACTATAATCTGAGTGTCAAATTTGAATGGTTTTGCTTTCAGAAACCTGTTAAAAAAAAAGGAACTCACAGTCAGTAAACACTTGTGACACAGAAAGCCAGAAGTAATCCATTTTGTGCTGTCATTTACCTGCTGCTGCTGCTGCACATTTATAGGCTTGAGATTGTCTTGAGTGCTTGTGAGGAATTGTTCTCTAGAAGTTTACTGACCACATTTTTTGAGCACAGGGCAGAGATTAAGAGCTCTCAAGGACTAATTGGATGCGTCCTCTGCCACTTTTTGATGCAAGGTGAGGCGGCTGCTATGCAAATACTCCCTAAATTAGCAGCAGAAATGAGATGTAGATTTTCGTTTCAGTCGGTATTCAGGCTGCCGTGCATCATACACATGAAGCACTGTAAGTGGGAGAGGACCAATTTGTCCCTGACCTTGACACAGTCCTAGTTAGTCCGGTTAATAAGTAATTTAAAACTATTTCTTCAATTATTTTTCTGAGAATTTCCAATTTGTGATGGAACTGAGCAAGAAGCTGGTAGACAGAGACATGGAGCATTAGTGAGTAAATGGGATAAGCTGTGACCATTATTAAAAAGTGTGCAGCTTAATACCTGCATCAGTACATTAACCACTTTGAAACAAATGTTGTGTAATCGATCCATAGAACTAAGCTCACCAGTTTATTCTGCAAATAATAAAACAATATGTCCTGTAATGTTTTATTGTATTTCAAGCTTTAAATATGCATGCTTCTCTCGCGAGCCTGCAAAGTAGAAGTCTAATATCCTATTCAATCAAGTGGCTCTCGAATAACACAGATCAGAAATTTAATAGGAAGCGAGTAGAGCTGCAATGTAGATGCAAATGCTTTGTGCATTTGCAGCAATAACAGTCCGCCCGCGTTTTGTCAATAAAGCTGGGAAGGTCATTAACTCAAAGCATCCTGGAGTGATTTCCATTTGATCATATTTTATTTTGCACCAGGCTCTGTGCTATCCGCTCACTTCTGAGCATCTTTTGATGTTTGTTGGGAGGATTCTCGGCAGATTAATCTGACCAGTCTGTTTCTGCGTGCATTCCGTGCTCCCAGAAACATTGTGCCTGTCGCTGATGCATTTGTCTCCACTGGTATCTATAAATACTCCCCCTTTCTCCCCTTCAAAAACCTGATTCCCATTGATTTAGTGACCTATATACACATCAGCACCATCCTGTCCTCTCCTCCAGCTCTCTGCTCCTTCTCCTGATGGTCTTCTGCTGTCTCCACCTCCTGCTTTCTGCCTTTCCTCCATCATTCAGCTCAACTTAACTACCTCTTCCTCCACCTTCTCCCCTCCTCTTCTTGCTAGAGTGCAAGAAAGGCTAATAATAGTTCACGGTGGAGGCTTAAGTCATGACACATGAAAAGGATTTGAGATTGCACGGGAACAGTGGCTGCTGCTCAATTCTGTATTTCTGCGTCTTGTAGTGGTAAACTGAGCCCTGAGCTAATCTCATATGTGTGTAAACACTGGAGTAGATTGTCTGATGAAAGGAATCTCTCAAAGAGGGAAAAAATCCGATACGAAATCTGACTCTGGCAGGATGAAATCAGAACAGACAGGCAGAGACATATAGAAAGACTGCAGGGTGTGTGTGCAGGGTTACATGGGGGTGGTATGATGTAATTATGCAGCAGGTCTCTGCAAAGTAGCACCTTGGAAACTAGTGCCATAAACAGTCATGTTGAAAAATAAATCAGCTGAGGATTAATAATGAAGGAACTCCTATGGGACACGAGATCTTCTACACTAAAAAGTGCCGAAAGTCAGGAGGAAAAAACAAATTTTCTTAATATCTTCATGTGAGTTCTAAACATTCAGGCACAATTTATTTATCTAAAGATACTTTAAAATTCTACATTAACTCAGTTATGTGTTTATCTATATATTTATATATCTGTACATTTTTGAACACATGTATGAAAAAGGCAAGCAGGTGCACAAGTTCTACCAAGGCAACAGCAAAAGACAAAAAGTTGCATGACTAAGAATAACACTAGTACAATTGATTTACTGCTGAAAATTAACATACACCTGTGGTGTGTTTCTGTTCGCTGTCCTCCCACTCCCTCCGCTGGGGACCAGAGTTTTTCTGTAGCCCCACACTGACACCTGGTGCCTCCAGAAGGGAATCATTTAGACTGTGAGGCTTCTGCGCCCTTGGGCGGCGTTGTGGTTGTTTGTCCCATCTCCTCACGGTTCCCGGTAAAAGTCCCCAGGGGGACCGGGACCTATCTGCTAGAGCTGCATGTTCTCCCTGTGTTTGCATGGCTTCTCTCCAGGTGTCCTGGCTTCCTCCCGCTGTTTATAAACCTGCATGTTGGGTTAATTGGACTCTCCAAATTGCCCCTAGGAGTGAATGTGAGCGTGTGTGGTTGTTTGTCTCTGCGTGGCCCTGCGATGGACCGGCAAATTGTCCAGGATGTCCCCCGCCTCTCGTTTGCTGTCAGCTGGGACGTGCCATCTTCAAACAAAGCCCTTACAGTTGAGCTTTCATAGCTGTGCCACAGAAAAACCTGCCATATAAGCGTTGTGTTCTGTCGGATAAGGAGCTGACTTCTTTTAGAGAATGAGAAGGAAAAGGAACGAGAAGAAAAAAAAGAGAACATCATCTAATTTAAAGACAGTTTATTGAACAGTGAATTGTGACAAGGAACACAATATGTATAGATATTTTCCCACTCCATTGCAAACAGTTTCCAACACCACTGTGTCATTCACCACACATACTCATAAACACCCTCTATGTCATAGAGAATCTTTGTAGATAGACAACAGGTCGGGGGTCCTTGTTTTAAAGTGCTGTATTGCACGTTTCCTCGTGGAGGAAGAGAACAGGGACGTGAGGTGAGCTCAGATCCCAAAAGGCCTCCAAGCTTCCCTGTTGCATCAGTCATAAACATTGTGACTTGTGATTACTTGGTTGTGTTCAGTGCTGTCCGACTTGTCTCTACTCTGTGTGTGAGTGTGGATTCTAACTATTGCATATCAGTGAGCTGGCTGGAGAATTTTTCAGTGAACGTGTAAAGCACAAATCTTAAGCTTTGAAATGTAATAAACTCTTCACTATAATTATAATACATCTCTTAATATCTAAGTTACATTCTTATATTTGATTCATACAGAATATGTAGGCAACATATATTTTGTGGCTATCTGCTGATGGGTGACATAGTGGACACCATCAAGTGGGTCTCTTATGGCCTGCCGTCTCAGCCCTCTTTCCTTTTTTTTTAACTTACAAACAGACAAACATTTCCCACAATCCAGACTATCAAGATTCACGTTAATTTCTGTCCGTAAATCAGAGATGGTCCCGCGGTATCTAATGTGTCGTAATCCCTTGTGCTTTCTTTGATTGTATACACTCTAAATCAAACATTTGGTGTTTTAGAAGTTACTCTGCATTGGCCAGCTTCCTGGTGGCGGATGCTGGATTGAGTAGATGGCAGATTGTGACAAATACACAGCGGGAGAGAAAGTGGGGGGCAACAATCAAAGAGGAAATAAAATACAGCAAAGTCACCCTAACAGCTACACATCAACTACAGCACTACACTGTCAGACACACGCACGCACACACACACGCTTAACCAAAAGCACAAGGTCGGTGAGAATTCACAGCCGAGTAAAACGAAGTGACTTTGCACGACACTGTTCAAGATTCAATCAAAAACATAAAAAACGGAAACAATCTGAAGACTGCGGGGGAGGAATGAGAGGAGAGGAATCATTACAATCTCAACCACACAAACTTGATAACTCGTATCAAATCAAGCTGGAATGTCGAAACAAACTGCTAAACAGTCATTCATAAAGCCAAGCTCGCTGTTGTGCTCAGGCGGGCCTTTTCTGGGCCTGTAAATCAAGCTGTCATCCACCATCATCGTTGTGGGGTGGGGGCCATCGATGGCTAGCAGTCCCTCTCTGAATTATGGCTTTCAGTTAAGACGTTGACAACGCCCGTATCAGCTCCATCCAACCAGCCTGGCTCTTAGTGTGGCCACTGTCATATTTCAGCATCCTTGTGGATGAAGCACCATTTAGTTAGATTTACACTGCTGTGAGCTCTGTGGAGCTTGTCTGGGCCGGTTTATATTACTTTTGCCAGCATTCACTTCATACAAAATTTCTTTGAGCATTTAGATCTTCTTTTGGTCCTGTGATGTTGCAGACACACATTTAACCAATAGCTAAGGAGGAGTGGCGTCTCCACAAAAACAAAAACAAACAAACAGCAATCAAGCACGTGTGCCGCTTGGCATACAGCAAAACAAAAATAATCTCAATAATATGTTAGATTCACGTTTCAGTGACATTTGTTGCTCTTCTGTTTCTTCACTTGATATGTCCACATCACAATGACATTAAATGACCACGATATGATTTGATGGGGGAGGGTGGAGAGGTAGGTGTGCAAATAAGCCATCATACAAAATAATAGACTCAAAAACAAAGTTCATATCATCTGCATATGTACAACATTAAGGTGGACAATTTGACACAAAAAACAACAACACACACGGATCTATAGTGCTATACTGCCTCCAGAAAGAAGTATGGATAAACAAAGCTCACACCCACTAATGATATTACACTGAAAAGTTGCACTGTGGATCCACAGGGCAACACAACAATTGAGAAGCTGCTTTACCAGTGGAAGCAAGGAAGGAATGTGATTGGATATTACACATCAAAGTCACCTTGATCTCCGACAAGATAAGCCAATGGCAGGGCTTCAGTGTTGCTGTGATGCATAAACAAGATACGCCAGAGCTGTTTTTTCCCCCGCCGGCTTAAAGCAAACAAAACCTCAAAAGCAAACAAGCATAGATGTTTGGTCAAAATCATACAATGCTGAGAACACAGCGGTTTTTCATTAGCTCTTTGGGTCCTGCCACAGTTCAAGTTTGGACAAAGCATTAAAACTGAGAGTGAACTCATCTGTAAACAAAAGCAATCTCATTTCTTTATGACAGGGGAAAATAAAAGACGTGCTCGCTCCACAAAGGATGACTGTACGCATACTTTATGGAGAGTGACGTCTGACTATTTGTCATTGCGATAGCTAACAAAGTAGCTTTACACTTAAGAGACTTTCAGGATAAATCATGCTCACAACAAATGCATTTATCTGAATCAAAGTGAAAGACCAATGGCAGAAAGTGCTGCTGCGAAAAATCAGTGAAGTCACAGCCAGCATCTTCCATCACACATGGACACAACCAATCACAGGAGGTGTGACTTCACTGATCAGGGAGCGGCAGGTGTGCAGCAGCCTGGACCAGGAAACATAAGAAACCAGCAACGTAGCAGTACTGCTTTGTGATTCTGCATCCCGCTTTAACAATGACAGCAGGGTTTGTAGCAATCTGCTGTGGTGCACGCTGGCTTTGGTCTGGTGTGTAACCAGAACAAATTTCTCAGGGAGGCAAAACAGTTGAACCATTGTAGTTGCACTAAATATCAGATGGAACCTGATCTACTGAAAGCACCAAGGCAATCAAAGCCTGCTTGGAGATGAATAGCTGAGTTCATTACAAGACTTAAGTGGGCAGGAAGGGATGCAGATTCTGTCTAAAGATCATAGGGATTGTGCTGGGAACATATCAAAACCTTGCCTGGAGAAGGCAAGGTTTCATGGAACCTCTCTTTTAAGATACAACATCTGAGGAAGTCCCATGTTCTAAAACTATTCCAACAGATTTAAAGTTCCCATACTTTGCTCTTTGAGACTTGTGCTGTTTTTAATTCAATTTGAGATGACAAACTGATTTTTAATAGACTGAGTGCTTTTCTTATAATAATGGGTCAATGTCTAAACAATTCGGTCTAAAAATCGGTACTGCGATATTTTAAAGGACTGCAGCATATGCTTTAACATTTGATAATCAACAACAGCAAATAAACAAAACAATCAATAAAAGTTAAGTAATACTTAAGAAATATTCATTTAAAATGCTGGACTGCTATTTGTGGCTTTGTTTCCAGAAACGCAGCTCATGAACTGGAATTTTAAGTGCCACCACAGGCAGCTTGGCAAAAAAACAACAACAAAATAATAAAAGAGGCTCCCTCTTGAACTTTTTGAACATTCAATACAGCTAATTGAAAATTAAATGTACTGACTGGAATTGATCGTACAAAAAAAAAAAACCTGTTTCAGAAGATCTTCAGTCAGTTGATGTGGTGCATTATGGGAGGGAAAGGTACGATGGAGGAGATCCTTAGTTGTCTTTTTTAGGTAAGAGGCTGAGGAGAAATTCGCCCACACCAAAGAAGTAGACCACCTGGGCAATGCCAAACAGAGGCGCGATGACCAGGGCTCGACAGTAGGCTCCCTTCAGGAAGGCCGATGGGCCCTCGTTGCGCATGATTTTCCTTGAGAACAAGAAAAGAAAAAAATCTCATGACATGAACTAAACCGGACAACCAGTTAGTTGGTTATGATGATGATGTTTGCATGAAAAGAGCAGCCTAAAATACACTTAAGACATAATGGGGTCACCTGATACAGTCAGTCACTCCGTTGTAGGTGTCTTCTGTGCTTGCTCGGTTAAGGGACTGCAGTCTAGTTTTTATTACTGGAACACAGCGAGCTCAGGTTAGTATAAAACATCTCATGTCACAGCACGCTCTGTTGAAACAACCTCTAGAGAAGGTCTGCTCACCATCAACGGGGTTGACAGCGACAGCCGCTGTGCTCCCTGCAAGGCAGCCGGATATAAAGGACACATAGAAAGGAGCCGGGCCGTCTGCATCTTTCTTCCCAAGGTTATTCAGGTTGGCAAAAAGTGGGAAGTATATGATGGAGAAAGGAACATCCCTACAAAAAAGAAAAAAAAGACAAGCACAATAAGCCATAGAAATTATTCACAGTTTGTTGATATTAAACTCTGGAGTGTTCTCCATCTCTTGCCCAGTGACAGCTGGGATAAACTCCAGCCCCCTGTGTCCAAACTAAGAATAACCAACATAGAAAATGGATGAATGGATGGTTAAAACCACCTGTTTACCTGAGCAATGTGGCACCGAGGCCTTTATAAAGCCCAGCGATGCCCTTTTCACTCAGCAATTGTCTGGTCAGCTGCATGGCTGTCGGGGACTTTGTCTCCACGGTGCCTGCTGGCACCGTCTCTGGCATGAGCTTCCTCTGAGCAGCTGCAGCCCACAAAAAGGACAAGGTTCATCACAGAAGAAGTGTCAGCCTACTATCATTATCCAATGTAAAGAGCAGCAATGTCTGTGGATTGTTTTTTTTATTCCGAAACATAAAATAGAAGTAAGGCTAAATCTGTTGTATTCTCTAATATGACCACATGGGGGCTCTCTATTCCAGTATTTCAACCAGCAGGAAAACCAGCAGCTGTGTGTCATTTCCTCTTACCAATTCTCCCAGCGTCCTGGAGCTGGATTTTTAACATCTCCATAGGAGTTGTTACAATAACCTGCAAGAAATGCAATACAATATAATCAAATGCAGTGTGCACGTGTGCACCCAGTTAGAAAACCAAAAGTACCAAACGTGACCATGTGCGTTCATTGTAAATTTGCTGTTATCTATTGGCACGATGTCAGTCTCATCTTCCTCCGTAGTGACACAATAGTAACTAGTTAACTGGATTAAGGGTGCGACTGCCATGTTCTCAGCAGCAATCTTAATCCAAGGTCTGCTATACTTAATCTAATCACAGTCTTCGGGCTTGAGGCCTTTGCCCTCATTGACAACAGCCATTTCCCTCTGACTCACTCACTCAGCACACATGGGAAAGCGCTTTCACATCTTATCTGATCAGTCACGTCTCTCTATTGCTGTACCTCCTGTTAACAGAACACCATGGTGATTGGAAATCACTCCTGAAAATGGAACACTGGAGGTCTCGCTCGCATCTCAGATAATAATCTACAAACTCCAAAGCGTGACTACTGTGTCTTTGAGGGTGGTTGTGGTGAATTGTAGCAGCTTGAGCAGGGACGTATGGGGGAGAGGCTGAGCCACCCCAGCCATGTCAGGAGCTGCAGATGGAAAACTGGAGGATGCAATTAAAGCAGCAGCCTGCTCACTCACCTGGCAGGTACCTGCCCCACACCCAGCCAGCATCTCTTTCCACAGTGTGAGTTTTCTAAAGGAAAAGAATAAAAAATAGGATGAACAACAAGCAAACAATAAACCGACAACTTTATTTTCAGGTTCTCCTGATGGTAATCTTTGTCTTCCATATCACGCCAGGCAAAAGAGCGGATTAATAATTCACAAGGAGAGTGGACAAGTCAATCATTCATCGGCCGGCATGTTTGTCGCCATAGAGACGGAGTTAGATGTCCCATAAAGACCCTTAGGTTCATCTGAGCAATGCGCTGCTCGGGGTAGACAATGGCTGCTTTGCTTTCAGCAGCAGCAGTTGATGGTTGCTAATGTTTGATGCCCTTATGTGGAACTTGGTAACAGGCAGGACGGCCACTGTTGCGATAGCAGACAACTGTATTCATAAGTCATACGGTTAACAGGGAACACTGTGAGCCTCCGAGGAGATGACAGGAACGTGAGGGATTAAGTGGAGGCTCGGCGGGGATACCGGCAGCTAATGCGTCGACTTGGAAGTATGTTAGTAAACCTGCCATTTATTCACAATGTAAATAAGGGGAGTGGGAGCACGTCAGTCAGGGTGTAAGTGCATTCCTCTCTCACCCGTCCTTGGAGAGGTGATGTCTGAAGAAGTCATTAGCAGCTAGTTTGATAGCTTTCTCTGGTGTGACAAGCGTTAAGTTCACCGCAGCCCCTATTCGGATAAAAGAGACAGGAGAACGAGAAAGAGGGTAGAGAAAGAGAGAGAAACACGATGATAGTGAGTTGGCTCAAAGTGGAATGCTGGGTAATTACAGACAGATTCCTTCCATTTTTACACAACATGGAGACTTCGGTGGGCTAACACATTACACATTAAGAATTGATTTTAAATAACTCACCCCGGTACATTCCAAAATAACCTTCAGACCGGATGGTCTTAATAAGGCAATCTGACCTGAAACAAAAAGAAAAAACAGGAGGTAGGTAAGTCAAAGTGATGCCCAACCGGCTTAGACACCTACACATGCAGTGAGAAGTGGCAGGAAGCAGAAAGGGAACGTATGGACCTGATAGGGAGCGTATTTAGTCAGAATGTAAGAGCTGATGTGGTTTGGGTTATCTTATTATTTTTGTTTTCAGAGGCTAAACCCCCAGTTTGCGAGTAGGACCTGTCCAGACGTTAGAATTTAGGGTCACCAACCCCAAATGCAGTGTCATATAAACAAACCAGTGTGTGGCATCGACTTTGTAGAGCAGCAGAAATGTTTCTGGGAGACAAAGATTTCATACATGCTGTTGTAAAGGCGGGATCCATTTTGCTGGTTTTGCAGGCGGGTCTTGGCCAGGTCAATGGGAAACACACAGGTCACTCCAATTAGGCCGGCGATCCCCCCATTGATCAATTTGGCAGGCAAACTGGATAAAGATGAAGGCCACATATAAAACATGTAAAATTTCAATTAAGAAGTTTTTAGTCAAACTTGTATCAGAGGGTCTGATTCTGGCTTACCTGATCTGCTTGTCAGCCATTTGAAGCCCGGCTACACAGTTTGATACGTCTGTTATGTGATCACTTGGGTGGTGTTTCTTTTGGCTGCTTCCGACAGTAGAGTTTAGTCGTCCACGTGGGATTAGGTGCTCTTTGTCCTTTGGCTTCTTTTCAATTGTTAGTTTAAGTCTGTGAAGAAGCAGAGAAAAAAAGTCTCTCATAAAGTGATACTAAAGAAATATCCCAGCAGAGAAAAGGATCAGCATCAAATTTCGATAGCTATAATGGAGCAACTTTATGTCTACAACCAAGAAGTAGAACTTCCAGATGTGCTGTGGACCAAACTAAATGCAGCCCAGAGTTCCAAAGTGTAGAGGCGGACCCAGTTTAATCTGTGATCGTAAAGCAAAGAGTTTCAGTTTCCGGTTGTTAGAGAAAAATCAGTCAAATCTTAAAAATAATTTGAAAAGATGGAAGTTAGGAACACCTCTGAATGTGTCCCCACAAAAAGCTATAGAGGGATTGTTTTCTGCTTAACAAACCCCACAAACGCTGGCACATCTCTGTGTCAAGCGTGTTCTGGAAAACACGTGTACTTTATGCGTGCTTTCATTGTGAGACTGGAGGCATGGGGGGAAAGCCACAACTGCACCTGAAAGGGTTGAATTATGAGTGTGAATTCATAGAGTATGTCTGATGTTGCCAAGATGCTCCCTATTTTTGGTACAGAGTGCCCTCAATGTGAAAGGATGCCTCCAATTTCCCCATTTGCTCTCTCCACCCCCTCCATCCACCAATCACAGGCCGCTTCAGCGCACGCAGCCCGCCTCCCCCGCTCTCCTTCCCACCAGCCCTCCCCCATCACTTCCCTCAGTCACGAGTCACGACTCTCGGAAAACAGCTTGTCCACGGCACGTCTTTGCTGACTTGAGGGTTTCTGTGTGTTGTGTGTGTGCCTGCAGCAGCACTGTTACTGAATCCTCCGAAGACCCCCTTCCTCTGGGACCCCCCCAGCACGAGTGCTTGCTTAAGTTTCCATGGATTCAATCCGGACCTGGATGCAGCTGCAGGCTGATGTTTGGTTTGGATGGGAGACTTGAGGTCTTCTGTAACAGCTGCTCCACAGGAGGCCACTGAACACTTACAGTACATTGCTTTTTTTTCTCTTCTTCCCAGCTCTGACATTTAGCCCAATTCTTCATTTTGCTGCATGCTCCTGTTTTTTCTCTATTCTCAGATGCAGATGTCCCCTTCAACACGCTTTTGTAAGCCATCATTCATCCCCCAGATATTCTCTGTCATTATGGAGAGTGAAAATGAGAATTGGATTGTCCATCACTCTCATCTCCTTGTTGACCATGCCACCAACTTCCCTTATTTCCTTTCCCTCCTCACGACTCGACCATGTCATCGGTCTGGCCCCCAGTTATAGCCGGCGCGCCGTGTCTTGTCATGACAATTGGAGCCTGTACGGGAACAACCGGCCCCACTGTGCAGTTTCCATGAGCAACGATTCTTGTTCTCTCACAAAATGACACAGAAAACTGATGTGCGGCTTTTCAGATTCTACACACTGTGTGTTACTGTTTCAAAGTCTAGTAAATAGACAGCCAAAGAGGAGACGCACTTCTGACAAACAAGATAAAAACGAGGCAAAGGTGACAGAGACGCGTCTTTATCACACAGGTCCTTCACAAGCAGCTGGGGGAAAAAAGTCCTTTCTTGCTCACACTCTTACACAGACTTCATATTTTGAGTTTCCACCAAAGCAGCCGATAAGCACTGATGAGTAAACAATAGGGGATTACGCAACTTTAGCAGATCCTTGAACTTAACGGCCCCAACCAGCAGCAGAAGGACACACTTCATTCAAGAGCTAGAACAGAGTGCAGGTGTCGACTCAAACAGATAAGAGTTCAGCTTTTGACCCTTGGTCTTCGTTAAGACCTGAACAATGAGTCAGTAAAAACCGCTGAACAGACAAGACTTCCTGATCAAACTATAAGAAACACCTTGCTTAAAGTCATGATGCTTCTAAAGAGCATTTTTTCCCTGAATTCAAAGCTTCTCAGGCAGTGTCTAGGTCAGTCAGGGAATAATTCTCTATGTAAAGTAAATCCGTAAAAGGGGAATCTTGATATTATGATCAGGGTGTGTTGTTCTTGTCTTATGGTGGGATGAACGCTGAGCTAACTTCATTATGAAGTTTATACTTAGAAAATTGCTCTGACCCCCCTACCCCTAAGACTTCATTTAAAATAATCTACTAGTGATGAACAAAACTGGATCAGAGCGGGGTATAAATCAGATACTGGTGCCTGATCCACCTTGAGGCGTTGCTCAGGGACACAAGAATTGCCGGATTTAAATCACGACGACAGACACTAAAAGCCTGCAGAGAAATTGAGTCCGGTTTTATTTCCAATGCAAAACTGTATGCAAATGGTAGTCCTTTCAGTCTAAACTCAAATCAACTCCAGAAAAATAACTACCTGGGCCATGGCAGCTCCTCAGCTGCTCCTCTGGTGAAAGATTTGAGGAAGTGAGAGCCTGTAGTGACGAGGCTCTGTGGCAGTCTTCACTGACACGTGACACTTGTAGCTGAAATTGCTGCAAAGAAATGAGAATCACATGGGCCGCCTTCATGCTAACAGTCCATCTGCCTAACAAGCGTTGTCTGATTAACACTCCTGCACCGAGAACAGTTTCAGACAAGCCTTTCTACAAAGCTCTGCAGTTGGATATATAAACCTCCCCCCCCTCTTTTAATAATGATTATCATCCCTTTAGCAGTTTTCATTAAACATTTTACTTTTGGACTCACAGAGGGATGGAAATCTGTGGTGCACTAAACATATCTGATTACCATTTCCTGTCCCCTACATCACCGGGATTATACACTTAATGCGTACTTATGAAAGCTCACACTCAGCCTCTATTTCCAACCAGAATAGTGAGATCTGGGCACGGCCCTGCCTCTCTGCCACAGATACTCCACTCCGAGGTAACGCTACGGCCATTCCACCTGCACAGTGGGTCATTGTTGTAATCAGAAATATCAGGCTGGGTTTGGCTTTCATGTGGGGAAGAAAAAAGCCTTTCTTGTGCAGAGGAGAGGGGTCGAATTTAGTCCTTCCTCAGACACCTCAGGTATCCCTGCTGGCCTGCTTTGATCATCTGGGGCTTTTCTCTCTTGTTGTCTCTCTCTTGCCAATGTCTCAGCTTTCCTCCAGCCTTGTTAAGGAAAACCATACCACCCTCACCGTGCTCTCCTCAGACAATCGCACCGATTCACCACTGAAGTTTTTGGTTACATTAAGCTGATAACAGTACGGAACAAGCTGAATGTGACTCTCTCACAGGAGCACAGAACCTGCCAGTTTTCATCATCCTGTCCGCCGAACACATAGCTGTGATATTTAGCGAGCCCGCTGGGATTTTTGTGCACTTTTGGGCAGCATCCACGGCCCTGCACACTAGAGTAGCACGCCCTAACAGAAACTCTCTTCTATTGTGTATGATTAAGGTGTTTTCGTGGGCACAGAAAGGACCGGAAGTCACCCAACACCTAAGAAAGGCTCTCCTCATCAATTATTTCCCAGCAGCCGGAACGCTTTATCACAGTGTTTGGCCTGGTCTGTGCTGGCGCCCTGCTCGCTGTCAGCCCATCTGACAGCAGATAAACGCTTCCATGTGTGTGATCTGGGGAAGAGTGGGGCCTTCACGGGGATTTTTAGGACCAGGGGCAGTGGCTACAACAGAAATGGCCTCCAATAAGTATGACAGTTCATTTTTTCTCCTGGAGAGGTGACCCCCTGATGTCAGAGCCTGGATGCCCATCACAGGGATGTGGAGGTGGACACACTCAGAGTGGGCTTTCCCTCCTCTGCCCACAGCCCAGCCCCCCCTGATCACACCCGGACCAAGCCGTCTGTGGATGGCTTCAGTTACGCATCCGACACGGAACCGCTCAAAAATGTCTGCGGAATAAGAGACCGTGAAGACGAGCCTGACACGCAGCTGCCGGGAAAAAAACCGTTATATTTCCGTTTGCATAACGGTTCTCCCAGACGCACCAGGGCCCCGGAATAACGGTTATTTTCCCGACAAAAAAGGTTAGCGTTACGTTGGGTTTGAGCGACCTGACACGGCACATGACAGAAAAAAAATGACTTGCTTCCTCTAACTTAGCCTGAGAGTCTCTCTCACAGCCGGCCGCATCTCCTCCGGAGCGCTCCGGCCCTGCGCTCGGTTTTCCTCCATCATTCAAACGGAAAACGCAGGCAGGACGCGCTGACGCTGGATCGTTACCAGGTGAGACTTTCCGACCAAAATACCCATTTTTTTCCCCGGACCAGACCCTCATCAGGACGGCGCACCGTTATGTACATACCAGTCCGGGCTCGCTTCCTTCCGCCGGCAGGATGGGCTGCGATCAGAGCCGTTCCTCTCTGCAGAGCCCTCAGAAGCAGACCTACCGGGTTACTACAGGAGTCCAGATGAGGAGGTGGGAGGTGGGAGTGAGGGAGGGAAGGCTGGCAGGCAGAGCCGGGAGGGAGGGGGGGCGGCCTGGCCTCAGCAGTCAGAGAGAGAGAGAGAAAAAAAACAGAAAGGGGATTTAAAAGGGGTCCTCTAGTGGTATGTAGTAGAAATACAGACAGATTTTTTTTTTTTTTCTTCTGTGCAGGAAAGGTGTGGGATGGGGGATGGGAGCGACGTCATCGTGACGATTCATCTCAGCTCAGTGACCTTGGGCTTAAAAATAGAAAAATGATAAGAGTTGCAGTATTGGGGTTGAGGGGGGTCGTGCAGCAACAAAAACGACAAATGAGTCACCGCAAAAGCAGATGTGCACAACCACTGTCATATTTCACCCTGAAGATACAACAAAATGATAAAAATGAAGAGAGCCCCCTCTTGCCATGTGTCAAACTTATTCTGTTAAACATACAGTAGACTATGTCCATCAAACATAGACATAGAGGGAGCCTTGTCCAATATCACAAAAAATTTAAAATTTCCCCTCTGTGCCAGATTTTCAGTTTAATAGAGCTACCACCACCAATATAACTTCGAAATTAAATTAAGTTAAAAGACCTCTCAAAAACAAAAAAAGGGAATAGATTTAGGTGTCAAACACTTTGTAAAAACTAACAAACCAAATAAAGCTGTCATCTACCTATCATTCATCTGGTGCACATGCATGTTTTCACCCTTCTCTGCAATACAAAAATAAAGCTTTCCATCTTAGTAAGTATCATAATCCTTTGGCACTAACAGAAAAACAGAAAGAGAAACAAAGTGACAAAGATCTGAAAAGTGGCTTGTTTAAGTAAAAGTTTCAATTGGCATCAGGAACTGTGTATATTAAACTGAACTTATTGTGGTAAACAGATCGCTCCAATTCCCAAAATTGGGTAAGTAGAACAGTTTGAAACCAATAGATTTCCTTTACATCTCAATAAAACAACACACAGATTTTACCGGTCCCAGTTCTCCTTTTTCAGGTTTCCAGCGTAGCTGGTTGTATTTCTATGAACCTAAAACCTCTGATCTGCAGACAAACCCCTTTCTGTTTCCCAATGTAAATGTTATGAAGATCAACATGGTTTCAACGGCAGGGTTTCCCACGTTTCTCAGTTGGCTCTGCAGCCAGAGCCCTGCCAGCATCTTTTCCATTTTCTCTGACATTTTCGGAGGCGTTTTCAGCCCATAAGGTCACAGAGCCCATCTGTGTTCCTGTTCGTTTTGTCTCTGCTTTCAGTAGGAAGCATGTTTCTTCCTTTTTATTTTAGGGGTAAATTTATACACTTCAATTGGTTGCTTTTCATGCACACACATGCACATAGTCATACCACTGGCAATCTGTAGAGGCTGTAACGGCATGGTGTCACCAAAGAGCTTAAATTGAAATAGGGACATAAAACAAGGTAGAATCACATATTTTTTCATTGAAATCCAAATGTTTCATTTTTTTTGTTTTGTGTAAACTGACCTTTAATTTTGAGCAAACATTCAGGTCCTCCTCAGCATTGAGGGCATCATGTATGGTCAAGTATTAGCGTCAAATAAATAATACATAAATAATTACTATAACCCATCCAGCTAACACTAAAATGAGTGATGGTTATAATGTGCAAAAGGGGTTTTTGCCTCACATGTACAGTTCATTGAATAAGTACATTTTCAAAAATTCACTTAATTAGATATACATTACGTCACTATGCTTGAAAAGATAACAAATGTAACAGATTACAGTGACTGCATAGACTGATTTGGATGTACACAAATCCAAATAATGGAACAAAACACTGATGTCAGACCAGGGTCAGGCACAGTCCCATTTCCCCCGAATCAGCAGACAGATCCAGACGGCTTCCACTGGGTTCTGTAACTGTTGAGCATCAAAAAGCCTCCATCTGCTCTCTCTAATTCGGGTGTGGAAAAACCTGTTTGATTACATTTACAATGTGAGAGTTCCTGGAGTCCAAAAGTGCTTGTTATTAAAAAATTAAATAGATTTTAGAAAATGGACTTATAAAAATCCCACCCAGTTGAACCTGAGCCAGCTCAGAGGACTCAGGTGATGCTTCATGCTCATGCCCTGTACTGTAGTGCATTCTTAGATAATACCACACTGTTGAGCATTTTGGTCAAAATGGTCCTCACTGCCTGCTCTTCACATCACCCTGTCAGCATCTACTCTTCCCCTGAAGTCAAGGTCTTAAGGTCTGGTTCTAAAATGGTTACAAATTTGTGTTTAAAACTGCCTGGGTCTTTTCATAGTCCTTAAGCCAGAAAAATCCAGTACAAAAAGTACAAACAGTAAAGAAAATGTCCCAACAACAATAACACACTTGTGCAGTATCTATAATGAGTGGTGATGTCATGACTTCATGATTCACAGTTTCAGATCACAATCATTTAAAATTTGAAAAGGTTCTCAGGTAATACTATCCTCTATTGAAGAAGGCTTCAATCAGATTGGACAACATTCACAATTATCAGTGTTAAACAACTTTGATTCCTTAGAGACATTTTCCTTTTCTTTTCAGTGGTGGGTTTATCTCGAACGACTTTGCAGAGTGAGAGCATCTTTTAAAAGTGAATAAAGACTGAGCTGCTCCATTCCACCTGCCTCTCGGCAGCTGGCTATCACCAACTTTCTTGAAGGGGAATGTTTGTGCCTCAGTGCAGTTTTTTAGAGAGCCATATGAGATGACGGGTGGGCCTCCACTGTAAACAAACAGCTTACTCAAGTGTAAGTCAGCCATCTGCGCCCTGGAAGTGCTGATCTACTGCTGCCCTTCACCAGGAGGGGCGCTCTCTGCTTCCAGGCCGACTCTCCGCAGTGACTCCGAGTACTTTCTTGTTCCTATGTTAACAATGTTTTCAATCTCCTCTGCCAGGTCTTTCCTGCCGCTCTCTGTCATAGCGTCCATTAGTCTGGACACTGACCCGGGTCCCACGCTCCTCTGTCCTTGTGCCCATTGAAAAAGCATATCCAACACCAAGGCGCCCAGGTTGTCCCTGATGAGGCAAAAAGTACAAAAGAAATTATGGGCCACCATTTGCAGCAGCCTAAATATCGATGGGAAATCATCTTATGTAAGAGAAGATCTTGCTTTAAACTATAGTTGATTCAGTTTGGGGGTAAAAAAGGTGTTTTAATAACAGATTTTAACACAATGTGCCATAATTGCTCCTGGTTATGCAATCAATGTTGATGGAGGGTGAGCTCAACATATTTGTGAATTTATCTTTGGAAAGTAATTGTTTAGAGGCCCTCTGTAAAAACAAATGTGAATGCTTCCCTGCATTTGAAGTTGATAAAGAAACCTGCTATTAGAACATAAGTGTGTGATTTTAGAGGTTTTTTCCTCCTTCCGGAATGAGTCGTGAGAGGGTTTCTGAGCACGAGGGGAGGGGGAGGGCCAGATGAGCAATAGTCTGTGTGTAATCTCCTGCAGTGTCCCAGATGGCTCAGTGATGGCTGACAGTACAGATTAAAACAATCAAAATTCTCTCCCACTTCTCTTCCACTGCAGTCTGTCCTCCAGATATATACCATCACAGCCAGTGTAGTTCTAATAAAGGTTCTCACTGTGTGTGTGTGTGTGTGTGTGTGTGTGTGTGTGTGTGTCTGTGCGCACTAATTACATAATTCCGTCACGTAAACAGCTAATCCACATGTCCATTGTATCACTGGTGCATTATTTACTCTAGCAGCTGAACTGAATTCAAATACCTATTCTTATTATTTGTTAAAGAAAATACACTGGAACTATTTTTGGCTTTCATTCTTACTTGTTCTTGTACTGAATGCGGTCTAACTCCTGGTAGTTTAGGCCAAGATTAATTCCAATAACACGCCACTCCAGTCCGATCTGAAGAGAAAGGGACAGCAGGTTGGCCTCTGTCAGGTAGCCGCTCTCTGGGTCTCCCAGGTTCAGAGGAGGATACCGGAGCTCCTCTGTATTAAAGCTGTTGTCTGCATTCAGAGCCTAAAAGATAAATACATGACCATTACAATGCGGGATTGAAAGACAGGTAACAGTGTAAGAAGAAGGTCTTCACAGAAATAGCATGAGTAAGAAGTGTACAGAGATAACATTCAAAGCAACAAACACTACAGTTGAATTCACAGGTTTTAATAAATTAATATTAAGAAAGACCGATGGGACGATATGAAATAAAGAAGACAATCTTAGATGTGTCACTTCAACTGACTGGAAGTTTTAGAGGTAAAGTTGCAAGCCATTGGCTGTCAAGTCCTTTCCTCTTTCGAGCCACCTCCTCTGGTAGATTACTGGGAATCTCCCCTCTGTAGAAAGACACCTGCAACAGAGATGCCCAGTTTTAGTCTGACAGCCAGCCTGCATTGTTGCTGTTAAAAGCCGTATTCTGTGTGTAACGCAATAGTTCTAAAATCCATGCTAAAGCCTTCATTATAACGGCAAATTTTCAGCTTGTTGAGGTTTGTTGCTCATTTCCCAAAAAACAAGCACAGAGGTTACTCTTCTTTTGACCCACACAGCACTGTGAACAAATTTTAAACCCAGGGAGCCACAAACCTCTGGGAAAACAGAATGCCTTATGGGTTGTTGTTTTTTCAGCTTCCAAGAATGACTCTTAGCTGAAAAACAGCCATCGGGTTCATAGTTTATTGGAGGCTGGGCAAATATTCAATGTCCTCAAATTCATTATGCGGAGCAGGAGAGCCCTAAATGGACATTTCACATACAACAAAAACAGTCTGTATAAACGAACAAATAGAACCCCACAGTTTCATCTCATTTTCAAGTATTAAAAAAAAAACATAATATACCTGCTCACATCCAGAATATTTGTTTTTTGTCTGTCTTAAACTACCCTAAATTGACAAGGCAGGGCAGAAAACAGACACAATATTAAGTAATCCCAACAATTGTTTAGGAACAGTAACAGATCCTTTCAATACTTTGTATTCCGCTGGGGTTTTGGCTGGTAACACAAGAGAGTGTCAGAGATATTCTATCATAGGACAGAGTTATTCCTTTTCAAGTAATGGAGAGATATTGGGCCTTAATTTGTATTTATATACCCAATACAGTCTTTGGATTGTAGAGCATTACAGATAGAGCAGCACAGGGATACTTGAACCCTAGTTCATCTGGTGACAAAAACATTTGCTATTCATGGTTTTTACAGCTTGAAGGAAAACATTAGAAGAGACTACAATTATGCGGACAAATTATCTTCTCAGAGTTCTTAACAAAGAAAATAAAAATTCCCTTTCATATTCCTGCCCTCCAGTTGGAAGAAAAAGTAGTCAGTATAATACTAACAATTAATAAGGGAACACAGAAAGTTTCATTTCAGCTCCGATAAAGAATGTGCTTCACAATGTGTAGATGGGCTTTGTTTACCATCTGTTATTTGGCATTTGTTTAAACTGGGTGAAGTCATATAATGTTTGTAACATGTTTTTGGAACTCAAACAGCACATCAGTATTTTCTTCACTGTTTCATTAGTCGTACCTGTCCCCTCACTGGTCCTGTCCGATCCTGAGCAGGGCAGATGTACACTTCCTTCAGATTCTTCAAGCTGGAGTAAAACACAAAACAGAGTCGCCCCCCCACACAGTCCGGTCTGTCTGAAAAAGACAGGACAATCATGTAAACAAAACACATGATTAACAGTCTTTCATGCACCATGTACATGAAAAGACTGTTATGGGAAAATTCTAATACAACAATCCATAGTATGACAGTTTTTTTTTATTTATTACGGAGCCAAGAAGATGATATCAGACCTGTGCTGATATCCAGGCCTCTCTCAAAGCCAGCATAGAACTGCTCTCCTTCCAACAGGTCACACAGGTCTGAAGGCTGGGGTCCATCGTACTGCTCAGACAATGTCTGCACCCGACTCTCCATCTGTGAGGGAAAGTCCACAGCCATTGATATCACAGAGGCATAAGCTCAGAGGGAGGCTATCAAAGCTGAGACACCACACCACAAGGCTATATAGTCTAGAAAACGCTCCACACTTTCCTTAAAAGCCCTGAGGGGAGAAATTCAAACCTTGTTGGAAGGTAAGCACTGCAGCAAAACTTGTGAGGGATCCGCTTTGCGCTGGAGAACGAGGAACTGCACTTTGAATTGTTTTAGTCTTTGATAGACCTTCCTGACCACACCACTGACACAGCGCTGCGTGGTGTACCACAGCCAGTACCTGCCATAGTGAGGGCAACATAAAGTATGGCTGTTATTGAGAGTATATGGCAGGCATTAATCATTCAGATGGAGAACAGGGACTTACCAGGAGAAGTGCGTGATGTAGAAAATGACATACAACTGGGTGACATTCAGAGACACTTGGGATGTGATGTCAGTCCAGGTTTGGGCCGCGGGATCTCCGTGGAGCAGATGGAGACGTGATAAATCAGCTGTATGGCCTGCAGAAGCAGTGTGCACGTTAACACATGCTAATTTATTCTGCTATTATGCATGCATGAGTATCAGAATAGTTGATCATACCTGTGACTCCAGGCGGCAGAGGGATCTGAACTTTAACTGGCTGCAGGAAATGCAAGCTGGGAGTCTGGGAGAGACAAAGGAGGGGGCTGGCTTTGGCCTGGGGATCACCACAAACTGACTGCAGCTCAGACTCAGACACCTGCACCACCTACAGAGACAGAGGCACTCATATCAAAGTCTGAGTGCCATTACTCCCACATATGTAACTGCCCCAAGCGGACCTAACCTGTAAAGTTATGCTGCGAGGCTGCTCGGTGGAGTCGGGGGGGAAGTGGAGCTTGATTCCAGGGTCACAGCGCGACACCAGAAGGGCTCCTGCTGCTGTGACGGAGCAACTGTCCCGTACCGGTCGGGACACTGCTAAAAACCAGGAAAAGTGGCTCACTGAGCAGCACGCCAGCTAAAAATAAAACAAACAAGAGGTCATTTTTCCACCAATAATACAGAAATCAGCTTCACCATTAAACAATCAATAGCATCAGTGGGAGGTTTGATTGTTTACCCTGGCTGGACGTCCACCTGGACGGCTGCTATGGCTGTCGCTTCCTCTCCTCAGATCTGTGGGCAGAGTGCTCCAAAACTCTCCATCAAAGCTCCGCACCACCACCTCCCCTTTTCTTCTCCGATGATATGGCACACAGACATCCACAGGCTTTTAACAAAAGGAAAAACAGATAAAGTTACAGTTATATGATCAGGAACGGCAGCTTCAACATATACAGGCAAGCAAAAATAAATAAATAAATAAATACAAAAAATTGAAATATTATTATTTCGGTTTAATACAAATAGAAGCCAAACAACATTAACAACATTGAACCAAACTATGGCCTTACGCAATAATGGTGTGTGCTTTTTTTGTGGACGTTTTAAATAATTTTAGCTTGGCTTAATGTCCGTGCTGTGTTTTCAAAGAACTGGCTAATGTGACTTTAAGAAGAGGATAAATATTGACAGATAGTTTCGGTTTACTGGTTTGCCAGGCTGGAGAAATGCTTTGGGCATCATAGAAATCATTAAAAGAACACTCAGCTAACCAGACAGCATCTGTGTCTCTGTGTCCCCCTCATCATCATCCCGATGATATATGATGGTGCCATCATCACTACAATAGCATCACAATCATTTAATCTGATATGCAAAATACTGTCATCTCAGATTAAATAAATTAACAATAAACCTAAAAAACTTTTTTTATACCTTTTGAAATTGAATTCCATGAGGACATAACTCCAGTGGGCGACTCAGTAGGATGTCGTGTTCCTCGAGGAACACAAACTTTCTGTCAGGCCTTCTCTCGGCCCATCTGAGCCTGGTGGTTTTGGCCAGGCACCCCGGAGGGAACACAAGCTCAGCCCCACCAGGCAGAAATACATGACACCCACCCGAAGAAACAGAGAAACTGTGAAGCAAAAGGCGAACGGCACATTAACAGATCTCATAACACCTTAACCAACAATGTCAGTTTTAAAAAGATAGATACCATTACCCTGATACTGTACCTGTGCTGATTAAATGCAATGTGCAGCTCGGGAATCTTTGTCCCTAACGTATCTAGTAAGGAAACAAATATACCAACATTAAATGGAGGAATATTAGAGGTATGCAGTCAACATAAATAAGCATCAATAGATATTTAGGTTTAATTGTTTGTGCCCACCAGGTGTAGGAGGGGGAGGAGGCGGTGTTGGAGGTTTTCCCAAAGGATTGTCACGGGTGTCTATTTTAAGCAGGGGCAGTTGATTCAGACAACATGGGATCAGGCGGAGGTCGTTGCTGTAGATAACAAGTTCCCTGAGAGAAATAAGAGAGCCTGTGCAACAAACAAGACAAGGGTGAAATCATTTTAAATGCTGAAGTCATAAATTTAACAAGCACCTAAAAAAGGTGATCTTTCACACTCCCTCATTTGTAAACCCTTACCCATGCTCTCTGGCAGCTGTTTCAGTTTGTTGTGAGATAGTTCCAGCTTAACAAGCTCCCCCAGAGACCCTATTTCATCAGGTAGCTCCTGGAGGAGGTTGTGTGACACATCAAGCGTCTGCAGTGCTTTCAGCTGACCCAGGCTTGGTGGAAGAGACAGCAACTTGTTCCCCAGAAGAGAGAGGTAGGTCAGAGAGGACAGCTGGGCTATCTCAGGAGGCAATGTTGAGATTTGGTTGTGACTGAGCAGTAACAAGGACAGCACAGGTAGGCTAAACAGGCAGGGTGGGAGACGGGACAGCTGGTTGAAGGAGAGATCCAAGTGCACCAAATGAGACAGGGAGGACAAAGATGTGGGCAAAGTGGTGAGGAGGCCAGGTAGTGGTTCACCACGGGAGTCACAAAGACAGTTACCTTTAATAAAATGCAGAAAATTAGAAAGCAAGGCAAAGGACATAGTATGACACAGTGATTACAATTAATCACACTGACTTTTTTTTTTCCATACAGATGCAAAAAGAACAAAATGCAACCAAAAGGTTATATCGCTGAAGAGTAGTATGAAAAGTACCCCGAATAGCCAGAGAACGCAGTTGCGTCAGATGGGGTAGAACATCCAGCGCTTCATCCAGCCCTGGTTTGTCCTCTGAGCCCAGTCTCAGATACTGGAGCCCCCTCAGCTGCCCTGGGATGGACCCCCATAACAAGGGCAAAGCAGCTGCTCCTCCCTGGTACACGTCCAGGGTCAGTCTTGTACTGGTCAACACAGCTGACAGTTCCACAGAGGGAGGCAAAGGGGGAGTCAGAGACACGACAGAGGAGCATAAGGATGATGAGGAAGAGGAGGAGGAGAAATTAATATGATGTGCACTGGAGGAGCAAGAGGATGAGAGGCTTGATATGGAAGGATTGCATGTGTCAGCACAGCTCAACGGGGAAACAGAGGGGGCATCCCTTTTGGGCTCAAGAACTTCTGCTTGACCTTCAGTCCCTACACCATGTGACATCTTCGGTACATTCTCTCTCTCGGATTTGTCCTCATCCTGGTACTCAGGTGTTCCTGCGCGGGCACAATCCATCTTTGGGTTAAATGCAGGTGTAACCGGAACCTCGCCATCCTCTGTCCTCCTGGGTTTTATATCCCAACCGGATTCCTTCTCTGCCCCCTCGTCATCACGAGCAGTGTCATCTTCACTGTTGCTCTCCATTATATCACCAGACAAATGACCACTAAGTGTTGACAGCTTACTTCAGTAATGTGTTGAGGTATCTCTCCGCGTGTCAGTATCGTAACTCGAGGCATGACTATTTACGTTCGTTACAGTCGAACAAAGCTATCTGCCATGAAACGCTGTGCGAAGTTTTAAACAAGAAAGCTGCTATACTAATTGTGCAACCGTTACAATGGTAAACAATATTAGCTAGCACTAGTTTATAAAAAACTTCGTTAGATAAAACTTAATTTATCGCCCGTTTAATTGCTTCAGTTTCTAACAAGCTACTACATTGTTATGCGTAAATAATAACCGAACACGTATCAAAAGTACAACTATTCTCCATTCTGTGTTTTTACTTCCTGGTGCCAAAGTGATTTTAAAGCGAAGGCTCTACGTCACAGCTGCTCGCTCGTTTTGAATGTATCATCTACCGGACGACGGTGGAAGGAATTTAACCATGATAACACCCCCAAAGAAGGAATGGTTCCGCCCGCCTACGGTAGATCTCGTGTGAAACACCGAGCAACCCAAGGGCAGCGCCGCCAAAGTTTCAATTCAGAGCGGGTCCATTGTGTCAACGTGTCTGGCCAACGCAAGTCCTCCTTTAGCCAGTGGAGGGCGCTGTCCAGCATGTTTCCAAGTCACAATTTAATGTTACATTTGGAGGCTAATCTAATCTCCTACAAAAGTCATTGAATCTAAAAAATAAGGATAAATTGCCCGTACAACAATACAAAAAAACTGAAAAATTAAATTAAAAAAGTTACACATTTTCTTTAGATCTTTAGGTTCTAATAAAAATTGTCACCGTTGTGCAAAAATTAAATTAAATAGTTTTTAAATGCATGTTACAATGTATGCGCGTTACAGTACAACCTTACAAAAATCTAGAAATTAATATACATTAATATTCCTACAGCTATATAGACGCTTAGAAGAGCAACTATATAAACTATATGATTTATTTATCATTAGAAACATTCTTCAATTGAATCTTGTTTTTATTCCAGAACTGTGACACAGTACTGACCCAGCATCAAAACTGAATAACATATTATTTATTAACTAGTTAAAAAGTCATATCTGTAGTGACATTTCGTTACGTAAAAATAATTGGCTCAGTGTTAAAAACATGTGTCAGTGACGCTACAGTAAGCAGTGGTACAAAACTATTTTCAAATCATGTCTTATTACATGTTACAGCCTCTTAAACTATAGTCTAATAGTTTTTTTATCCGGAAGGACTGAACTCAAATTTGACTTGGTGAGACAAACTATTGAAACAGTTTTTTAAGTGGACTTTTTCTTTGTAAGGGTCCATGAACTCTCAATGTCCTAATCAGAGGTTTTATCAGTTCACCCGTAGTGTCCATTTGTAGTCTGATTCTGTGAATGGTTTATTCACCGATGTTATGTCAATGCTGGGTGTAGTTTTGATAACAACAATGTTGATTTTATCTCGATTTCAAAACCAAAAGTCGTTTCCCTTTCCTGGATAGAACACGGCTAAATCAGAGTGTTTCTTCTCTCTACTTATAGGATGATTTTAAGGCCTTTATATTACATTTTAAAGCGTGATACCTTTTTCATACCATTTAATAAAGAACATTCTGATTATTGCAAATTAGCTATAATTGTTTTGCCAACCCCAGGTTGCAAATCTGACTTCCTCATAATGACACCCACTGTGAAAGAAAATAACTATAAAGGTTACTTGTCTCCCGAGAACTTTTACTGACAAAATTATGACATAAACACAAAAGATAAATTTAGCAGGAACAAAACAAACCTCTAAGCTTTGTCTAGGGACAAACGCTGAACAGTTTCCAGACTTATATTGACCGCACACTAACTCAAGCAATGCGGACAATGATTGGTCAACTGGTCAGACATTTTCCATTACGATTGGTCGATGTTGTTTGGAATGTGGCTTGTGATTGGATCATTCTCTTCCCTGCGCCCTCCTTCCAGTGTACACAGCAAAGTGCTGGAAATAACAACAGGTCAACATGGTTAAGTACACATATATACGCAGTAGCTCACGGCTACTTGTTATAGGAACTCCAAACTAGAGACAGCTTTCAGCCGTAAGGCAGAGTTGTTCTTTTGAATAATATAAACTCGACGAGGTTATCTTCGACAGAGAAAGTGACTTGTGATCTTCTAGCTGAGACAGCAGGCAAAGTCCACTATCTCAAAGACGGTGTGTTAAGAACCAGAAATATGATCCGTGTTCAGCTCAACAGGCAGAACTAGATCTTCTGTATCCCTTATTATCTCTGTTTAACCGAATCTCATCCTTCTTCAAGAACAGCCAGGCCTGTCACCGGCACTATGTTCCCGTTGGACTCGCCGTGGAACATCTCCTTCGCTGGTTGCGGCTTCCTGGGAATCTACCACATCGGAGTGGCCAGCTGTTTGGTGGAGCGGGCTCCTTTCTTGGTGCAAAACGCAAAGCACATCTACGGGGCATCAGCTGGAGCTCTCACTGCCACTGCTCTGGTCACTGGAGTATGTCTTGGTAAGTGTCTTTTTTAAGGATTTGCCTTAGGACATCTGAGTGATGAGAAAAGTCATTCAAAGTTGGACCGGATTAAAAAGCTGGTGCCAACATACATTTATTTTAGTTAGATACATCTATGGTGTAAATGGGATTGCTGGTGTAAAAGTTTGTAAAAGGACAGTTTTTTCTTCTAGAACACCTAGTTCTTTTGTACCACTGTCAGAAGGTTTAAACCATCTAAAGTAATGCTTATGAAGTTGGGTTCAGCTCAAAAAGAAACCAAATAGAACAGGAAAAATGTGTATAGATATATTTAAGATGTGGGGGAAGAATTTAAACTAAAGACACTTCATTGGATCTTCTGCCAGTCAACAAATAACGAATGATACCCCTGCTTTCCATTTATGTTTTCTATTACATCTCAGGTATCTCACAAATGGTTACAGTTCTTGACTTTATGGTGCTCTAAAAAAAAGTAGGGCTTCATGTGGGACTTTACTCTGCCACTGAATTCTTGCTTTATCGGAGATTAATATCTGTGACAATTTACTCTAACTGTAGTTTTAATTGCTCTGATTGGTGCCAGTGCACATGATGAGTAAGAACTCCCTAACATAAATGTTCCACAGGAGATGCAGGTGCAAGCATCATCGAAGTGGCCAAAGAGGCCAGGAAGCGATTCCTGGGACCCATGCATCCTTCCTTCAATCTGGTGAAGATCGTTCGCCACATGTTGAGGCGCACTCTGCCCGCGGACTGCATCGACCTGGCCAACGGCCGGCTGGGAATCTCCCTCACCCGGGTCTCAGATGGAGAAAACGTTTTGGTGTCTCTCTTTAACAGCAAGGAGGAGCTGGTACAGGTGCAGTCTTTTTGAACATTTGTCTTTTTACTGGAACTGTTTGACAATGAAATTAGATATCAGAATACACTAGATTTGTTACTTTTAAGGTGAAGCTGACTGATATTTGATGGAATCCTTTTATTTTAGATTTGTGACACTTTGGAAAAGTCAATTAATCAGTTCTAAAGCCAAATATAATCCTGTTCTTTTTATTTTTACAATAAATTAAGTATCTGTGACTAAATTACTTTGGTACTTTGGACAGTGCAGTAGAGAAATATTTAGATGAAACTGAAATAAGAACTTTAGTCAAAATATCTTCTGCAATATTTTCTGAATAATCCGGTCATTATAATGTTAGTGTCATTCCTCTGTGGTGTTTAAAGTCTAAATCAGTTGTTTAATTTATCAACTTGTATTCATTGGCTCAGTTCTAATAATATTTCTCCATATGAAATTTGCCAAAGTTATGTTCTGATATAATTTCTTTCATTGATCAGGCATGTGTCTGCAGTGCCTTCATTCCAGTTTATTGTGGCCTCATCCCTCCAACACTTCAAGGGGTGGTGAGTGAATTCCTTTTTCCCCATGTGTGTCCTGTTATTGGGTTAATGAGGCTAAATTAGGTTTACTAAAGAGATGCTAAATGTCAAACATTTGGGCTACATTTCTGGATGTACCCTTAAATCATATCTTGCTAATCTCATACGCCCTGATGACATATTTATGAAACAAAAGTTTATTTGGAAGCATTGATTGGTAAATCATGTCTGAACTCTTCACCACCATTCCAAAACCATTTGTTGAATCATTTGATAAATATTGTTACCTCTATTCATGGATTCCCCCCCTATTTTTATTTGTAACTGTTCCTATCAAATTATTTTACAATTCCACTGGCATTAGCATTTTCTCTCACACTGTAGGGGAGAGTGCAACTTGCTTGTTTTTCTGCCTTTTTTGCTGGACATGTTTCTAGAGCAAAGGTTTTCTGAGAAATATGATTGAGTAACAGCAGCTGCCCCACCCTCCCCCTGAGTACTTGGTGATGAGTTCTAAGAGCTTTCATTGGCCTTTGTGTGTGTGCGCAGGCCATACGGCCAAAATGAGTGTGGCAGAGCCAAGTGTGACCACGCTGGCACGTGTTTTAAGTTTGTCCTGTCCACTCTTACTCATGTGGCTCGATTTCAAAACGCTGATGTCACCATATGTTGACACATGCTCGTCCTGTCTCCAAGCTAGATGTTTCATAATCTTCAATAAAAACAAACCCTTATCCATACACATGATATGACCTCACTATTATCGCGCCCTGTTTATGAGCTGCTGTGTTGATAGATGCCCCTCAAATCCACTTTTGAAAACTTTGTGCAGTTATTGATCAGATTCTGTTTGCTCTGTGGCTGGGGTTTATCTTTTACCTTTCAGCGATATGTTGACGGAGGAATCTCAGACAACTTGCCTCAGTATGAGCTAAAGAACACCATCACAGTGTCCCCATTCTCTGGAGAGAGTGACATCTGTCCCACAGACACATCCACCAACATCCACGAGGTTCGCTTCACAAACACGAGCATCCAGTTCACCCTCACCAACCTCTACAGAGTGTCCAGGGCACTGTTCCCTCCGGATCCAATGGTAGGCCATCCCGTACTGACAGCCCTGTACATGTTGAAAGAAACTCCGGGCTGTAAATACAGTGATTGTGTCATAGGAATTAGAAGGATCTTGGCAGACTTTTTAACACATAATAAATACTTGTATCTGTTTGCTCTGAATCCAGGTTATGAAGGCCATGTGTAAACAGGGATATAAAGATGCTCTGCACTTTTTAGAGAAGAACGGTAAGAATGTGTTTTTCTTAAGGAGCTTTAATGCTGTTTTTCTAATAACATTTGCTCAGTAATAACCAGTCGAATTGATATTTTTTCTCATGACCTGAATATTTTAAGTATTTACACACATTATCGCCCTGATACCTTATCCTGACTTGTGCTTCCTGCGACCATGTCACCAAATCAATATTTCCCTATGGATAAGGCTCTTGCTACTCATTCTACTTACTTGTGTGCACAGGTATCAACATGTACAGTGATAATGTTAAGCTCTTGGGGTAGTTTAATCGATTTAGTAAATTTTGTAGACCTTTTCTGCTCATGGACAGAGGATAAACTTTTCCTTTTCTTTTAGGGTTGCTTAATATGAATGGACCTCTAAGAGACAGGCCCCGGCTAGCCAATGAGGAAGAAAGTGAGGCTGGTGATGAAGAGGAGTGTGAAAATAGCGAATCCGAAGACAAGTTGCAGGCGAAAGAGAAAGCAGTGATTACTTATGAAAGCCCCACCTTTGATGAGCACATCATCGAGTACCTTCCACCTACCTTACACAAAGGTCTGTAAGAGTTACATAAGATGGGCTCATTTATGATGTGATTGCATCCACTGCATAAAGTTTTGGTTTCCTTTTATTTTCACATAAGCAGGTTGCAGAAAAACTTTATAAAATTAGGTATAACATGATAATGAACATACATTAATATGAGTAAGTCAAATGTTGCTGCTGAAAGTCAAGATATTGCTTACAATAGTGCTTTAAAAGTAGTTGAAGTTGGTTTTTCCCATGTCATGTCCAACTTTATTTGACAAATGGCCTAACTTATGCTATCAAATAAAAAACAATGGCCCCTGTACGTTCCAGATTCCATTTTCCAGATGATGTGAGATGGTCTTGGTCACATTTCAACCAGTTACCTTAACCAGATGTTTTATGTTATAAAACAAGTTATTAATTTTTAAAGATATCAAATAGTACTTTGCCCTCAGTAAAGAATTTAGAGACTTAACCGTTCAATGTGATGTTAAACTGGTTTCAAGTTTCATTGCTTTTTAAGTTTAAAACATTATTCAGGTCCTTCCATAGTGGTCAGTTATCTAAAGTGTGCACCTTAAGGGTTTTTGGAAAATATTTATACTTAGAGACGTGTTAAAACAAGACATGGATATAATTCAATTAAGAAAGAGAGTATCTATGTTCACTTAAATCCTGCCACTGAAACTCCTGTCGGAGTGCTGAGGTGTTCATGAGCTGCTGTGAGCAGAAGAGGGTAATTCTGAGTGTTTGCCTCCCCCTGCAGCTCTACTTGAGGCCTGCATGGAGAGGAGGAGCCTGGCGCAGTCACTAGGCAACCTGCTCCCCTTCAGGATGGCCTCAGCCATGATGCTGCCCTACACACTCCCACTGGAGAGTGCTTTGTCCTTGAGTGTCAGGTGCTGTATGACTTTATTCCACCTGTCAGTAACTCATCCTGCACTGGGTCTGCTCCGGCCTTCAGTCTTTATCACGTTAAAGTGATTTAAATAAAGTTGTATTTCATTAGGAGTACATGGAACTATGTTTTAATTGCTTTGTATAAAGCCTTTGGTCAGAAAATCTGATTAATTTGAAATTACTGCATAAAGTGAGTGTCTCTTGGCTGATTGTCATGCATTTTATTTTATGTGTAGACTTCTGGAGTGGCTGCCAGATATACAGGAAGATGTGGGATGGATTCGGGAGCAGAGTATTAAAATCCTGCATCGTATTCTGAACCATGCCTCCAGAAACTTTTCCCAACGTGTATCTGCCAGGTATTTTACCATTCAGCTCCACATAGATTCAACTCACAGCTCCTGTTAACTCACACCGGCAGTTGTTATGGTAACATATCTGCATACTACACAGAATGTGAACATGACTGGATTTTAACCTTGTTAAACCCACAATAACCAATCATTTTGGCCAGATGAGGGCAGCAAAATCAAATTATGACTGCCATGTCAGAAGGGTTGGATAACTGTTGTCATTCTGCTCAGCCACCTGTCAAAGATGGACATTATAGTTCTTCTAGAGGCTGCTAACTCCTGATAAGAAAATGCAGTTCCGACTTGTTTGAAACTGTTTCCTATATGAATGTATCTGCCATTTAAAAAATCCATGTAGTTCAAGGTAGTTTTTCTACAGCTCAGCACAATGTGACACTTTGTCAGTAAGGTCCTGATAAATGAACTCACTTTGAAGAACCATGAAATAGAAGAGACCTTAAGACTCAGGTGATAACTCTATAGGCCCATCAGCAATGCCTCATGCTTTTTAGGTGATAAACTGCAATCTTAGTCTGTCAATAAACATGTTAGTTGAGTCTTCGTGCATGCCTCAGTCTGCTAAATTTCCCCAACAGATTATTCTGTAAGGTCGAGCTGCACAACTACCAGTCCCTCCCATCCAGGGCCAGCTCCACCAGCCTGTTTCCCAACTGGGTGAACGGCAGTGGCTCCAAAGTGCAGGACGTTATTGTGCGTCTCGACCAGTACAAGAAGCAGCTTTTGTCTGGAGTTCTCTGTATCAACATGGACCTGCAGGGTTCCTTCAAAACGGGATGCGCATCACCAGATAACAGTCGTATGTCCAGCCTTCCCCAACAAGACTTCAATGTGCCCAAAGGTTTTCTTACCGATCCAAGAGCTGGCAAATCTGGTCAAACATTGACCAGATCGAAGAGTTTTTGGTAGGCTTCTGCAGCAAGCATATTTAAACAATGTCTTAACTGGCAGATTTAAACCTGGCACTGTTTTCTCCCCTCATGTGGAGATATTTCCAACAGTTTTCAGATGTGCATTTTCACTTTTCACATGTAGTCAGTCATGCCCAAACTTGAATCACAGGATGTTACAAAGAGAAATGTACACTTGAAGTTGCATGGTGAAAAGAGACAAGTGTTTGTAGGTTTATTGGTATGCGGTCAGACTGTGAGTGTAGCAGCTTTTTCCTGCTTCAAGTCACCTCTGGCAGACAGGAAGCACAAGAAAGGACAGAAAACAAGGGAGGTGGTTTGCCACAAGAAGTTACTCCATTTCAGTTATGCAAATGTCAATGCACTATAGTAAAGAAATGTATTTTATTACTGGGTACAAATGAACACATGTGTAGTAAGAAATTATTTGTAAAAAGAAATACTTGTGCCAATTCTACAGTGTTATTTTTTCGATTCACGGGAATCTTTGATCTCATGTAAAATTGCTTTTTAATTTATGTGGTTTCAAATGTCTGCTGAAAAATAATTTTTTAAATGTTGTTGATTTTACATCTAATGCAAATCATATTAGTAAATAAAGTTCTATCTGAGATGCACTTTTTTCTGCACTTTTTCTGCTAATGCCTCAATGTTTAAATAGTTTTTCTTGTACAAAGTACTACCTTTTAATTTTGTGTCTCCTGTAGTACCTATATTATACTTGTAATTTTTTCCAAGAGAATGTTAGGTGGTCAGAAAGGTGTCAAAACTTTTAAGCAGTGATTTGAAAAATATTGTTGATGTGAAATTACAGTCAGTCTCATGTTAACCGGGAAGAAGAAGTGAACAGTTGTACACTTTGGAGAGAAAGTGCAATGAGAGAACATTCTACATGGTTAAATTGTGAGTGCATTGATAATATTCAGATAATGTTGTTTTACTGTATGTACTGTGGGACTGTAACTGACTTTCTGACATTAACAGAGTGTAATAAAGATATAAAATGTGGGACCATCCATTCATCCACATATACATTTTCATTTGCTCATCCGAGTTTGGGTCTTTGCCTGTCCAAAATTCCTGCTGGATTCCAGTCATGGGTTTTCACCTCTGTAAGCGCCACAGACCTTTATCATGAAGTTTGTAATTTGTGCAATTCCTAGATCTCAAATTTAAGCAGATGTGCATCCCTCTGCCTTAAACCAGGTGTCAGTATACTATATGACACAATGTACACCATCAATGACATTTATCTCTGGCACATATTTGAATTCCCTCCTTTTTCACAGCCAAATACAATATATGCTCTTCTCATGGTTATCAGAACCTTTGGTGTGACATAGATCCTGGATCTTGACATGTTTTGTGGGCTGATGAAATCAATGACCAAGGTTTTGAATTGGCATATTAACATCTTATTATTTGTATTATTCATGATAGTAGTTAAAGCTCAGCCTAGGCTGTGAGAAAGAGATAATCAAAAGGTCTTTATGTTTCCAATCTTCTTTTGGATTAAAGATGAAGGAACAACTATTTTTTTTTCTAACAAATTGTCTCACGCTGGATTTTTTGGAGCAGCACTTGAAGGCAGCACAGAACTGCCACTCAGTCAAAGTGGAAGTTCAAAGTGGTGTTTACGACCATGGCTCGCTTTGTCCAGCAGGGGGCGCGTCCCGGGGCAGGCCCAATCCAAACTCCGCACTCCGCTTCTCTCCTCGTACCATGAGCTGAATCTGTCCGGGACAGACCAGGGAAGATGGCGGCCACTGACCATTCCCGGTCCGAAGCTGCCAAACAGCGAAGGCAGGATCAGCTGCAGCGATGGCTGGGCTCCGAAACGGATCGGACGGGGTCGGAAAACCGGGGAACCTCCGGGGGTTCCGGGACGCGGCGGGCCAAAGTACGGTTCGCCCAAGGTGCTGTGTTTATGGCCGCCTGCTCTGCCGGAGACCGGGAGGAGGTGGCGGCGCTGCTCCGCCAGGGAGCTGACATCAACCACGCCAACGTAGACGGTCTGACAGCGCTTCACCAGGTGGGGACTGTTAACTTTTTCGACGGTCGACAAAGTTTATTTGTCTGACTCCGAGTTAACCGCGGAGCCGACTGTCGCCCATCTAACGGCGGCGCTGATCCGTTAATGAGCCTCTCGGCGGACGGGAATTAGCCTTATCCAGCTCGAAAAACCTCGGGCTTTCTAAGAAACCCGCTAAACAGTTGACGAACAAGTTTCCGCCGCTTAGACCGAAAACCAGAGGGCTTCCTCAGAGGGCTGCGGGCAGAATGCGGACGGGCACAGTTGGTGTTTTTCAGTCTGTTGGGAGGCTCTTTTCCTTTTTCGTTGTAAGTTATTGCTTTTTTACCGAACGAGCAGAAGACAGTGAAAAGCTGTCACTTGAGAGCCTCCGCGATTGTTCTTATGCTTTTATATGTAGTGTTGTGACAGACACTCTCTGGTAGAGTCTCAGAAAAAGAAAGTAGTGCTACATTTTCATCATTTGGTCAACATGTCAACAGTGTGATGGAAGGGAGGCGAGAGCAGCAGCAGTGGTGCTGGGGAATGTGGCACCATTTGGTAGGCTCCCCTTCTTGGAAGATCTTTCATTTCAGTGAGCAGACTGCTGCGTTTGGAGTGGCCCTCCTTCCTCCTGACCTCAGCCGTGAGGCTGGGCCCGGACAGCCTGGACGGCATCACTGTCACACAGGCCCTCTGTGAGCCGGGGCTTCCGCCGCCTTCCTGACCCGGGCCGCCCTTCCACACAGTGGAGGCAATGGCTGACGGGCTCAGATGGGATGCTTTCGTCCACGGCCACACGGCGCTCCTCACAGCAAAGAGATGTCTTCCCGTCATTCAGGGCGAAGAGGGAGCCCCCGCTAAAGATGAGTGGTGTGCTCTGCTCCCGGCCCTCGTCCCGTTGGCTCGCATGTGGGAGCGTCACTCCGTGTGGTCTCAGTCCTGCCCTCCGTCCCTTTCTCCCCAGTTGCTCATCTGTTGCTTGGCAACTCGAATTAAATATAGGCCCACACTCTCCAAACTTTCCATCCTCTTCATCCAAAGCCTCTCTGTCTTCTCCACGGCACCCTCCTCCTCCTCCTCCTCCTCCTCTTCCTCCTCCAGCCTTTGCTCTTTCTTTCTCTTTCTCCTTCCCTCTGCCAGTTCCCCATGGAGGGGACTTGAGGGATTTCGGATGAAGAAATGGAAAACATTCCTCAAACAGCACAAGCTGCTGTTGTCAAAAGCAATTTCCACAGTGAGTCACTTGATGACCCAGAGAAGGAGGCTGCTGGGAGATTGTGTGCACACTCCAGAGCGCACAGGGGGCGAGCGGCGCCCTGTGTTCATTCATTCTCCTCCCAGCGCCCACTTGCTCGGGGGGGAGCTCTCCTCTGCAGCCGGCCAGCGCTGCTTCTGGCTCTGGACTTGACCAAAGAGTCTCATCTTCACCTCTCACCATGACCACATTAGAGCTTTTTCGCCCTGCTGGCCGACTAATTATCTGATATTGTGCTGAAAGAAAGAGGCTTGTAGCAGCTTTGTGATTAGTTGATTTGGCCCAAAGGCAAAGCCTCTTAGGCGGCTTAAGTCACGCCTGATGGACAAGGTCCTGCGCCGGGAAACGTCCCGCAGAGAAACCCTTTATGATAAGGAAGGGCTGGAAAGCCCTCGTTTAGACCTCCACTTGATGAATCATTTGATGAGCTGACCACCGTGACGTCAGTATCTGGGTGATGGTCCTGTGGGGGGCCCCCGGCCGTGCCCTTCAGCAGGCTGCCTGGCCTTCTGTTTGATGGATCGGCTTGAAAGTTGCTGCAGGCGTCCACACCGTTGGACAGCAGGCATTGGGTCAAAATTCTCCGTGTCCGACACACACTCGGGAGAACTACCTCACGTCCCAGCTGTGGTTTGTGTTTTAGTAAACGTTCGCAGGCTTTGGGGCGCTGCATCAGTCCGTGCCTCAGAGGGCCCTCAGCGGGCCTCTTAATTAGCTTTTAATTGAGTACACATGCTTTTCTCAAAACAAGGGACATAGCTTCCTGTGCGGTTAGCGCTGTGATGATCAGTCAAACAGCAACAAGAAGAACAATGACGTTAATGATAATAAATCAAACGCTTTTCGTAAACGCATCAAGTGAATGTGCCCGCTTTTTTTCTGTATCTGTCGTCATGACGATGACATGATTCATCAAGTGGAAACCTAAACGATGTTGAAGTTGTCTTTTCTCCTCTTCAAATGCCTCGAAGTGTCAGATTTCACAAGCTGAGTGTTATTTGAATAGTGGTTGAACTATCATTTAGACCTTTATCATTTAGAACTATTATCTTTAAGACCTCAAGTGGAGGTGTAAATGGTGCCTAGTTGTATCGAAATGATCCAGCTAAAAACGTCGTCTGCAGCCCTCATTGGCTACAGAGGGACTGAGCATTTTCAGATGGCAGTTCTTTTTCATTCAGGTAAACAGTTAAAGCGCTTTTCATTAAAGCTGAATACCATAGCCTCATCAGACATAACGGTCTCATTAGAAGTCATCAGGGGTTTCAGACAGGCCTGGATATCAGACAGTAGTGGCTACCGGTTGTGTTATCGATCCCGTTCAGCCCTGTCAGCTGATTCTCAGTGCAGGTATTGAACAAACAGAAAGGAAGATGGGCCTGAACGACCACACCGGGAGAACTGCTTCTTTCCAGTTGGTATCAGACACGTCCAGCCTCCGGGTCCCGATGGCGTGCTGTGTCTGATCGCGGTCAATCTCTACCTCAGCTCGCACTGTCCGTCAACGCCCAGTTGTGCAGCGGGAATGCCTGTTTGTGTTTGTGATACAGCACTGACGCTTCAGTGGCAGTTCAAACACGGACCACAGACCCCTGAACCAAACCCCCCCGTAGCACTCAGTGTAGATCCAGGTGGCGTCCAGGCTCCAGGGCTTTGGCGGCCTGAGTGCACCTGCCTGGAGTTGCTCTGAGTCATTGTTGTTGCTTCTGATCGGGAGCAGCTCCAGCTGATGGTTTCAGGCATGACACAGAGAAGGGATCCCTTTAGCTCTGAGGGTTGAAATCAGTGGAAGTGGGGCTTCAGTTTCTGCCCTCTTCATTAACGTTCTTGACAGTTGCTGTGTTTTTGAAGCCAGGCAGAAGCCGGCGAGTTGTAATGCGATCCGTTTCACAAACCCTGTTATCGCATCTTAAAGCACGTCTGACCTGACAATCATGTTTTGCAGAGCCCAGTCTTTCCTCTTAAAGGAGGCTTGTTGATCCCATGATGCTGTTTTCATGCTATTAGGAAAACTAAATCAATTCATTTTTCGGAGGTGCGTAAAATCTGCCCCATTCAGTCACCAAGGACATTGATGTGTATTTGAATAATTTGGAGTGTGTCAACCTGTTCAAACCCTTAAAACATTCAACAACCCTTACCATCCTTTTTTTCTCTCTTTCTCTCATAGATATTAGCTCATATTAAAGCGTGTCTTATAACATAATCTCATGAACTCCTCGTGCGATTTGTCTTGAGACTTCTGTTGGATCACGCTGCGGTCTGCGCTGGACCTCACCTCCGGTATAGCTGCTAAATAGATTCCCTGTTTTACCCCAGCCACAAAATGACTGTTTTGGAAAGCACTCCAGGGCTTTCAGCGGCCCACTTTAGCAGAGAGCCATTACAGCCAGTACACACAGTAGTCATTGTTTTATCCCCGCTGCTTTAGTCGACTTTAATGGGTTGTGGAAATGTCCGGGCGTTTGCCTTTCACCACACGCCGCCGTCAGGCAGGTCAGAGTCCTCCTCTACTGCGGGAAACTGCTCTCTAACGCCAGCGCTCGTCTTGTCCCAGGCCTGCATCGACGAAAACGCCGAGATGGTGCAGTTCCTGGTGGAGAGTGGGAGCGACGTCAACAGAGGGGACAACGAGGGCTGGACCCCCCTGCACGCCGCGGCCTCCTGCGGCTTCATCCAGATCACCAAGTGAGTGGCCGCTCGCATCCCCAGCCTAAATCTGTGGAGCTCCGGGCTGTGGGCTCTGTGTTTACTGACACTGAACCGGGACTGAATCTTTCTTTTTTTAAGATACCTGTTGGAACACGGCGCGCACGTCGGGGCAGTGAACAGTGAAGGAGAGCTCCCTCTGGATGTTGCCACTGAGGATGCTATGGAGAGGCTGCTCAAAGCTGAAATCAAAAAGCAAGGTGTGGAATCCTGTTGTTCAGCTAGCTGTGTGAAGCTCATTTCTGCCTGTCCCTAATTGTGTTGAAATAGTCTTTTTCTGCATTAAAAACTGAAATCACTCATAAAGTGACAAACTGTGACATAAACAATAAACATTTTCACAGTATTTCTGTCCATATTAGCCAAAGGTGTCTGATTGATCAGGTCTTGTTTTGTAGATGAAGGTCTTTAAGCTGAGCTGTTTCCAGCTAACAGAACAGCAGTCTGATAGTGGCGACGTGGCAGCTGATCTCAGTGTTTCCAACATAATGAGAAGAAATAGCAAATTAGAAAAAACTTTAAACACAGTCTGTCATTTTAGCCATTTTGGATGATGTAATTTTCTTGTTATGGGTTTATTGAGTTGTTGTTTTATTTCTTACTCCATTTGTAAATGCCACTGGGGTTATTAGATTAGCACGCTGGATGTCTGTGGGTTTGTTGTAAATGATGTCGTTCACCGCTGCTCCTCTGTCTTAATCCTGTCAGTGTTACCGGCAGACACATCTCAAACAGAAGCTGGCGAAGAAATGAGGACAAATGTGTGTGTGAAGCTTTCTTTCTTTTTTGCGGATGTGTTGCAGGAATAGACGTGGACCAGGCCCGCAAAGAGGAGGAGAGGATCATGCTGAAGGATGCCATGGCGGTGTTGGAGGGAGGTGGCACTCTGACTCCTCACCCGAACACCAAGGCCACCGCTCTGCATGTGGCCGCTGCCAAAGGCTACATCGAAGTACTGAAGTGAGCATCGGCGTGCACCGGGCAGATCTGGCCCTTTTTTAGCTCATGTCTTCTTTTGGTATGGCACCAAGTGAAGCGGCATTTATCCATAACCGTGTCCTCTCCTATTCCCTCTCCCCTCCTCGTCTTCTCCCCTCCTCCTTTCCCCGGTCAGGGTGCTTTTACAGTGTGGGGTGGATGTGGACGGCACGGACTCGGACGGGTGGACGCCGCTGCACGCTGCGGCTCACTGGGGGCAGGAGGAGGTGTGCACGCTGCTGGCTGACAGCATGTGCGACATGGCCGCCGTCAACAACGTGGTGAGGGGGGGGCAGACGACCTTTTCCTTGGCATTAAGTCGGCGATCGAAGCTTTAGCTCCCGTCCTGACTGCTGATGTCCTTGTAGGGACAAACGCCTCTCGACGTAGCAGATGAGAACCTGGTGGACGCTCTGGAGGAGCTGCAGAAGAAACAGAACGCTGTGAGTTTGCCTTCGCTTTGGCCCGGCGACTATCTCACCCGGTTAGATAAACCTGATATGAGTGATGGCGCAGCAGCAGCGAGCCTTCCCTGTGTTTATGTCTGTTTATATTTCTCCTCAGTTACGCAGCGAGAAAGAGAAACAGACACCTGTTATTGAGACAAGTCCGCAAATCTCCATAGTACCAGTTCGCACACGCAGGTCAGTGCCAGTTTGCATGTTTACATCTGTGTGTGTGTGTGCGTGTGTGTGTGTGGGTACACGCTATGCGCATCCTCAGCTGAATCCCATAAATCCAGATGTCTGCATGCAGGTATGATGTTAACACTCTTTCCACTGACGTTGACCGGGATAGATGGAACTATTCGTGACGGTCTCATACAGGATAAAAAAGCTTTTTTCAGTCGGCTGACATCTTTGGTCTGACGTGGAAGGGTAATGGGGTCAGGAGAAACAAGCTGTCAGTTTGGAGCTCTCCGAGCTCCTGGAAAAGTGACTTTGGATTGAGCCCCGGCCTACATAAACACTTGAAATGAGTTTTATTGTTTGAAGTAGGAGAAGAATCTTATCAGCGAGGCCACTTAGCGAGTGTCAGTCGTTTCCCTGACAGTTTACACTTAGACGCACGTGCCAGGAGCCGCGGGGGGCGGGGCATGTTTGTCCAGCCGGTCAGGCTTTATTTTCAGCTACGTGTTTGGCTTTCGTGGCATTTCAGCATTTCATTTTGCAGCATGGCCAGTTTTGTTAATGCTGCCAGAAGAGAGAAGCCAGAAGAGGTCCCAGAAAAGTCAGTGAAATGAATCATAATCACAGTATCTATAACAACAGTTTCCGACTCATCTCCTACTGTTTGTTGGGGTCTTTTTAACCAAAAGAAGTGGTTCATTATATTATTTCTGATGGAGACTCGTGTGCGTGAATATGTGCGTGCGGCCTCCTGACTTTTAAAACAAAGACGTTATGAGAAGGAAATGGAGTGCCCTCAGGGACAGAGAGGCTGCAGAAGCGCAGGCCTATATCTCCATTTCAGCTAGCTGAATGTAAGAGGCTTGTCTGAACTTAAAAGATGTTTAAAAGGAAATTAGATAATCATATCCGAACCATATCATCATAAGACTTCATCAGTTCTACTCTTTATAACCAAACGCCAAACATATCTGTCCACTTCAGGCTTAGAAAAAGATGAGGTAAAACCCATCTTTATCAGCAGTATAGTAACTATCAGTATTTAACTTTTTGGGACTTGAACCCAAAATGCTGAAGTGGATTTTTATAGTAGATTAGACTTATGTTTCCTACTGACTACTGATTAATTATAATATCTTTCATTTATTGGAGTGATTTACTTGCTCCTGGTTAGTTCCGTCCCTTCTATCCTTTTTCTTTTGTTAGTCTTGTCCCTTCTCTACTGAATTTGACCCTTTTTCTGCCTAAAAAACAAAAAGGGCAGGAGGCAGAAGTAAGGGGAGAGCAGTCGTTCTAAGGGGTGCTGCCGCCCATGCATGTCGCACAGTGACCTACCTTCACTTTATGTGTACATTTAATGCAGGTCAGACCTCACAGCTCTGCCAGAGTTTGACCTGGAGGCAACAGTAAAGAGAAAAGATTGAAAAAAAACATGCCAGACTACTCGAGCTCATAGCAATTTGCCACCAGCTAATTTGTCCGTCATTTGCTGTGGTCCAGGATGTAGGGGTTCAGCTAGTAAAACTGAGCATAAACGGGGCGTACCACCACCTTATAACAAAGCGGGACACGCGTCGTCTCTAAATGGCTCCCACTCTGGGGCTCGTAGGGTGTCGTATAGTAACAACCGCCCAGCTCGGCTGTAATCATAGACAGAGTTTACTGTGTGGGCGTTGGGCTAACTTAGGCAAGATCAGGAATGTGATATGGCTACATAACGGGCCAAACATTTTTTTTTTAAACCAACCTCTTTTGGAGAAGGTTTACGTGATTAACTGAGAAGCAAAAAGTTACTGGGTCGACTTGGGTTAAGAAGTGCTCGTCATCATTCTTCCCGTTTGTGTGTAATGTGGCACTGAGACATGCGATGATCTTTAGTGACATTTCATTGGACTAGAGACACGGCAAACATTGCAAAGTAAGCGACAGCAACAACAGCAGTGTTTGACTACGTGAGGCTTCAGAAGGCGAGCTCCCGTCCCAGCTCCTGATGCCTGCATGCCCGCTTCGATTGGCTGCATGTGGATCATTACCCTCACTGATCAGCTCCCTGCATGCCACCTGTTGTTCCACCATGGCCCCGCCCCTGCAGGACCTCTATCTCCCGTATGAGCAGCAAAGAGAAGATTGGCCTCCACGAACGGGAGAAGCACCCGCCTCCCGCCCTGCAGAGCAGTCCGGCCGAGGACGAGGAGGAGGAGGGCCACCCGGGCCAGGGCCAGGGCCAGGCCAAAGCCTCCAGCAGCTCCAGCTCGGAGGAGGAGAGCGAGTCGGAGAGCGACGCGGAGTCAGGTGAGAAGGGGCTGCTGCTTTAAGTCTTTGGAGCTGCTGCCAACTCCCTTAACTGTTGTTGAAATGTTCTACGCTGCAGAGAAAGCAAAAAACAGAGAAATCATCAACAACTTGAACAACAAACGAAACAACACCAGCCTGCTGTCTACCTCCATGTCGGCAAGCACCACTGCAAGCCAGCTGAAAAAGGTAGTCAGCGGAGGGGCTTTAGACACAGAACTTGTCTACTGAGCATGGCTGTGAAGGATAATAACGATAGGAACTGTTATCACATGTAGCAGGAACCAAGCAAGCCCCAAGCCCCCGAGGCCCCGGGCTCATGGAGAACGTCTCTGCGGAAGGCGGGCAGCTCTGTGACCCTGGGCTCAGCCGGGCTGTCCGACCCCAGCCAGGACCCCGCCAGACCTGTGGAACCCGGCCTCGGAATGACCCGCTCGGCCTCCAGTCCCCGCCTGAGCTCAGAGGCCGACACCAAGGTGCGCATGATCCCGAGATTTACGCACCCATGAAAGCGCAATCATCGTTCTACGATTCGTACATGACGGGCCAAATAAAGACTTCTTTTACAGCCTCCAGGGTCCAAGTTGCATAAACAACTGATAAAGCTCCCTCTCCCGCTCCTTTTCAGGAGCCACGGCTCGCTCGAGTGCCGCCAACTCCAACGCGGAGGCTCTGCAGTATTCCAGATAGCAGCCCCGATAACTCCAACAGGTGGGCCGTCGTCCTCCCAGAGGTTCTGCCAGCAGCAGAAGCTGAGTGACTGCATATGTGCCCGTGTGCCCCTGTCTCTCCCTTAGCTGGCTAAGCCGTAGCTCCTCTTACACCCGACGCCTTCATAGTCAGTCAGGAAATGAGCTCACTAGTTCCACCCCGTCTCTGCTTCACAGGTCAGTCGCTGCCCACTGCCCGGCCCGTGCACCCTTGCTCGGCTGTTTGTGTGTGATTGTGTTTGCTGTGTGACAGCTCATTATCCCTCCTCCCTCCCAGCTGCAAATGCTCAGTTTCGGGTCAATGGGCCTGTGAAAGATGCCTTTGTGTTTTTCAATTGGCATTGTCTCACCAGCAGCTCATCTTATGGAAAGAGACTGGATGACGCCACCGTGACTTCATCAAACACAGGAACCAGTTCGGCCGGACTCAGCCGCCTCAACAGCGTCTTAGCTCAGAGGTATTTGATTTTAACTCAAGGTCCTTCTTTTGTTTTTCCGGGGCCTCTTCGATTTGAAGTAATGACCTCTTATTTTTTTAACCTCTGTGCCAAAGAAACCCTCAGGAACAGTCTGAAAAGAAGGATCAGTCATCTGTCAACGCTTCCAACTCTCAGAGCACAACTGCGGGGGAACAAGAGACCAAGCAAAGGCGCAAGTGAGTGGACTCGGTTTGGCTGAAGGCTTGGTAGAGGGGGCACTGGGTCTTTGGGAAAAAGAACTGCAGTTTTGCTCTTGCAGGTCCTACCTTACACCTGTGCGGGATGAGGAGGCGGAGGCGCAGAGAAAAGCTCGCTCCAGACACGCACGGCAATCCCGCCGCTCCACTCAGGTACGGACCAATGGAAGGTGGCGTCCTCAGGGTCAGCTCTGCCAACTTCTGCCAGCGTCTGCCGTGTACCGCCGTTCAGTTCCTAACTGTGCTCTCTCATACGAAGGGGGTGACGCTCACCGATCTACAGGAGGCAGAGAAGACCATCAAAACCATGAAGACAGACACCAAAGGGAAAGAACAGACGGAGGAAGAAGAGAAGGAGAAAGAGAAGGAGGCGAAGCAGAAAAAGGCAGAAGAGGGGGTGAGAGCCACCGTTCCGGTTGAGTTGTTGCTGTTTTATACGAGTTGGCATCACTTTTGGGGGCTCACCGTGCTTACAGGAGGTGAGCTGGAGGTCTCGAATTGCCAGTTTGCAGAAGTCCGACCTGCTGGGCCTCACGCAGCCCGCTGGCACGCCCCGGCCTCAGACCTCTGACAGGCGAGGTACTCACCAGCTGTCTGCCTGTTCTGCCTCTACCGTGCATTTTTGCCTTCATTTCTAAGAGCTCTGTTTGGGTTTATGCCAGATGTGGAGGCCAACACGGGAGAGAGTGAAACAGAGCGATGGGCCAGGGAGCGCAGGGAGAGGAGACAGGCTCGGGCCAGAAGGAAGGCGCAGAGGAGCGGGGAGGTAAACACAGCAAACGCTCCTCATCTGGAAAAGCGCTACAGGCGGGGCCGCAGACAGCCCCAGGCAAAGATGGATGAAATGAGGGGCTTTAGAAAACGCACTCTGCTGTCTGTCATCTGCAGAGTGAAGACGTCGATCCCAGCGGAGAGGAAGAGTTCTCAGGGAGTGGGCTGGATCCACAGGTGTGTGTGCGCATTCATTTTAAACTTAGGGGCTAGAAAAAGAAACGGCAGGCATAATCAATTTTTCTCTTCTGTTTGCAGAAAGATCAACATGCAAGTTCCAGGTATGGTATAGAATTAGTCCAACCTTTCTGGACTCTGTTAGCACAGCCCGTATGACCGCAGCCTTTCACCACCCTCTCAGGTTGGACTCATCTTCTAAAGACCGCACCCAGGGAGCTGGATCTGACTCTAAGGACTTTAAAAAGGTAAGCAGACAGGGCAGGTGGTCGGGCTGCACAGTGTGTTTTTAGTGTCCGTCCCCTTCATCCAACACTTTGATGTTTGTGTTAGCTGTTTGAGGAGTTGTCCAGGGAAAACAGCCAGCTCCAGTCCCAGCTGCAGGACACCCAGAGGAGTGTCAGTCAGACCAGGTTGGACCTGGAGAAGGCCACGCAGGTGACAGCACAGATGTGCAGTGACGTTTTGTCCTGTTTCTCACTTCACCGGCCTCACGTTGGCCCTGCCTCGTTTTCTGCTGGCTCATTAGAGTGTGGGGAAAGCTGGGGCGATGTTGACACGGTTTGTTGTTTCCAACAGAGACAGGAGCGCTTCAGTGACTGCTCAGCCATGCTGGAGCTGGAGAGAAAGGTAGCGTGCCTCTGCCGGTGTTTCACCTTTCTGTAGCTTCATCTGCCGGCCCACTGCCACCCCTGCTGTGTGTTGATGCCTTCTCCTCTCTCCCCCCTCACTCCAAACCACTTCCTCACTTATCTTCACTCGACTTTCACGGCTCCGGCCTCTCCGCTCCATCTCTGGTCTCTCTGCCCCCCCCCCCCCCCACCATCACCACCACCACCACCCCTCACGTTTCCCCGGCACCAGGACCGGAGGATGTTGGAGCGGCGCATGGCCGAGCTGGAGGAGGAGCTAAAGGTGAGTTTTATAATGGCCACGGACACTTTGCATGCATCTGCTGGGTTAGCGCCGCTGGAGGCCCAGCGGGGAGGTGAGGGCCCTGTGCAGCCAGCCGTCTCTCCCGGCGTTCCGCTGCTGTCAGGAGCTTTGTTTTTACACTGTGACTCGGCAGTCCATTTGACTGCTTATCAAGTCAGCACATATTTTACCTGCCAAGCAACCTCTGTCATTTTCCCCAGAGAGAGTGGAAAACAGGCCTGTTACTTCCAATCATAAAAAGTGGGCTGGCAGAATCTTCTCCTCAAAGTTTTATTCAAACACTTTGACATTTTGGTAAATATGCTCGTTCTGTCCTGTTCTATCCCACATAAACTAAAGTAAACCAAAGCACCTTTCGAGAGTAAACCCCCCCCCCACAACCCCTTTTTTTCAACCTGTGATTATTAAATGGATGTTTTATTAGAGGGGACATACTGTGCAAAGCACTGCATTTAGCTGGATTTCTTTCAGGGAAAGGAGGCCAGTCCTGGGACATCATTCTTGTCTTTGGGCTGATCTTTACATGCTCCTCCATGACGTCACAATTGGTTTGCGCACAAGCACTGAACTCAGAACAGTATTCATTCACACTGAAATCCTGGTCTGTTATCTCCCGTGCAGGGCGACCCACAAAAAAAAGCTTTAAAGGAGAAACAGTGATGTCATCTTTGGGTCCCTGACTGTCTAATGATGATTGATCAAAGTAGTAGATAATTGCAGATCTCCTCACAGAGCCTCACTCCAAAACATCTGCTTGCATCCAGGCTTTTGGCTCTCTGTGGAAGGTGCTGGAGGGGTAGTTTTGTAACTGGACGGGGCCAGAATGGCTGTTTCCTTCTGTTTATGGGTCTCTGGACAAAGCCAACTAAGTGCTGGCTGAAAGCATAACTATATCAATCTGAGCAACACAGCAACACATTTTTCCAGTTTTTCTTTGCTCCTGTACAAGTGTCCAGAATATTTCTTTGATATATAAAACACCTGGAATCTTTTCCATGCTGCTGTTTTTAGTGTTCACTGAAACTGCTAAAACATTAAAGCTCTTCAGCTCCCCTTATCTGATTTCCTGTATGTTCTGTAGGAGGACCAGTATGGAAAACATTACACTGTATCATCCTTTTTACGCTTCTTTAGTGACACTTCAGTTTATTATTACCACATGTAAGGGCTTGTTACATTTCAGGACCAAAGTTATGAAGGCTTACCAGCAAAGGAGCGCTGACCTTCAGCTTTAAAAATGATCCAGCTGTCATCAGGACATGAGTTGTGTGGTCTGCTTCTTCTTGTGTCGCTAACTCAGAACATCTTTGTTGTTTTTATGATAATAAATCGAGCTTTTTAACGGTCATGCAGGTGTTTAATCTGCCTTTGGTCATAGATGTGCACCATAGACATTAAATAAGAACATCAGTACCTGCTGTGCTGCATGCGGCTCTCACAGCTGTGAATTCCAGTGAGGCATGCTATGTTTTTCTCTCTCATTTGAGTGATTTGATAACTGGTGACATTTGTTCTTTAAAAAGGAATCCGATAGGTTTTAATGAAAGCTCAACTTTTACCCCCAGGTTCTGGTTGACCTGAGAGCAGACAACCAGCGTCTTAAAGATGAAAATGGAGCACTGATCCGTGTCATCAGCAAACTCTCAAAATAGATGAGACAACCTCCAGGGAGCCTCCCCCCCTCTCTCCATCCATTCATCCACTTTTTCCATCCTTCCATCCATACATTCCACCCAGTGCCAAAGAGCGAGGGGCGGCAGCGGGGGGGGGTGGCCGAGTGTCCAGCGCTCATGAGCACTACAGTTTGACTTGGATTGCGGTGCCTCTCTCACAGCAGCTGGAGTGTCCTCTGCGTGCCTTAATGCTCCGCCGTCACAGGGGGGACCTGCGGAGCGAAAACAACCATGACTGTGCGTCAGGTGGACGCCAACGTGCACGCACGCTTCTTTACGTGCATCCGTACTTCCTCGATTCCACTGAGCACAGATGACCGCTTGCGTCTTAAAGCTTTCCACTTTGTATTTATTTCAGTTTTTTTTGTTGTTGTTTTTTTTTTGTGAACACTTCACGTCACACATTCACAAAGTTTTCTCCACTCAAAGTTGAATTGTTTTGGGGGTGTACTCCTGAAGCCCGGCTATGAAGCGTGTTTCAGGCCCTGCCTTTCTTCCGCTGGGCCCAGTCCCAACGGCAGGGGAAGAAGTCTGTGAAGCTCTGTCGGACTGATTTTGTTTCCACGTGCAAGTGTTTGAACCCACCTACCTCTCCACCTATGCACTTCCCCACATCTTTATTATTGTTTTTAGTATTTTCTTTGTCACCACAGACAAACTCCATGCTCTTAAAAAACGAACCTGGTCACTTGACCACAGCACTTTACTCTCTGCGAAGCAATAGATGACCCTTCGCCCGTCCGCCAGACAGCGTCCATTCAGAGCAGCATCCTCTCTGAGGGAGCACCCAGGGAAGTTTAGCTCAACTTAAAAGGCTGTTGCACAGTTTATTAAATTGCTGTTCTGCCCAAGCCCAAGCCAACAAGTGGTTTTAACAGTTCCGACTTCTAAAGATTATTTCCATAGTTTTTCCATGTCAGTTCCTCTCCTGCAAAGAAGCATGGTGTTGTATATAAATGTTAGTCATGAATAGTCCCCCTTTGAAGTGAAATTCCATATAATCTTGCTTCACATGTTGGTTTTCTAATAATATTAAATATGGATGTCTGCACCTAATAAAAAGAAAAATGTGTCGCACCTGCTTGGTTATTGTGCGCACCAGTCAGAGTTGTGGCTTGAAACTTTCTTTTGCTTGCGTTACTGATTTCCTTTTTTTTCTTTGGCACAAAAAAGAATAAAAAATTCAAAGATGCCTCTTAGACGTGCATCCTTCGGCAACACGTGTTTCTTGCCTGCATTCCTGCTTTCTTCGTGACGTGCGTTTGTCATCATGTTGTTCACTTTGATGTATTTGAGGTCACCTGCTTGTCTTCTTTCCACTGTCTCCCCCCCACTGCACTGCGTCATCCGGTTGTACAGTGTCAGATTGTTTTTTGGTTGTTATTGGGGTTTTTTTTTTTGCTTGCTGGTAGCCAGATGTCAAACATCACTTGGGAGAAGGAAAAAAAACAACAACAGCTGCACCACTAACATACCATGAACCTGGAAGAGGAAGCGGGGCTGCACAGATGTATTTACAGTGTGTTTGCGCTGTTACATTAATCTAACGCTGGTCCCAGGTGCATGATCCATAAAGAGTAGCTCAAGGGTCATGACAGAAATTACTATGTGATGGATTAGTGTGCAGAGATCTGGGAGAAAGCTGTGTGAGTCCTGGCTTCTTTTGAGCTTGTGTCCAGTGGCACCGAAGTGTAGTTAACACAATCCTCCATCTGTTTGTCTCATCCGAGAGCAGAAAGATGGACCACTGTCCTGCAGGGTAGAAGTACTGACAACAAGCTGAGCACCTAATAAGGAAGGGCAGGCCGTCCGAAGCCCTCTCTCTGTAAATATCCCTCAGGTCTGAGAAAGGCAGGGGAAGGGAGCCGGGGAGGAAGAGGGAAGCGGATGGATTGCAGCCTTATATGGACAAAGCACTGCTTTTCCCAGGGTTTGTGGCTCTGACCCCCGGCATGGTGCCAGATGCTGCACAAACGGCTCCGTGGTGCCACCCAGAGGTGCAGCTCATGCAATGCTGCAGACCAGCTGCTGGTGAGGCCGGAGACGTGGAAGATGTGGTATTAGCACAATTCAATTGCTACTGTTCCAGGATGATCAGCATGTTGTCAGAGTCCCAGCTCCAAGATGCACGTGTGCGAACCATTTAGGATTATGTGTGATTAGTTGGACAGTTGATAAGGTCCATTTTTACAATAACAATGCAGTACACTTAGTATTTGCTTTTGTGTCACCCTAAGCCTAAATTTGAAGGGGTAGATGAGGTTAGAATATATCAGTATTTATTTTTGGCTCCATAAAGGATTTCTGTCACATTTCCATAAAGCCTGCAGACTCACACAGAAACAATTTTGTAAGATCCATACTTTTAGTTCCACCATTTCCCAAAATAATTTTTCATTATATTTAAAGTCTTTGTTTCAAATATCTGATTACGAACAGCCATCTTGGTTTTTGTCTTTGGCAAATCCTGGGATGATAATGTGTGAGTTTTTGTCTAAACCCCACAGGTACCCAATGCTTTTCCATGAAAATATATAATAAAAGACCAATTGTAACTGTTTTGATTTGGTGTCAACTGACCTCCATGCTGTGGTTCAACACCTCAGTTGACACCTGATGTGATTCATGTTTCTTCAACCTGCATTGTGTAAAATTGTTATAGTCCAGAGTAAGTTTGTCTAAGCCGGATTATAGTGGGAGATGATTGCAGTTTGAGAACCTCACGTGTGGGTGCATCTCTGGTTTTGTTGCCTGCCATTCTTGTCATTTTGCCACACGCTGCATTCAAGTTTAAATTACAATAAAATATTTCTGACCTCCCTTCCGAAAAACAGTTTTCCTTCCATTTTCCACTTCTTTAGTACTAACTACGCATCGCCATGTACTGTAAAGTCCTCTGAAATAGTTGCAATACATAAACAGTGGACTGAACTTCTCTATTGCTCAGCTATAGAAAACTTGCTCAACACAATGCATGTATAGTCAAGAAAAGTATTTGTCTAAAAATCTCACTTTGACTCATCTAATAAAGTGTTCTTAGCTGGTAGTATTTTTCAGGGAACACTGCAAATGTTTATCCAACAAAAATAAGAGCAACTATATACATTACAATATAAAAATTCTAACATGACATGGGGAAACAGACAGAAATGCTCATTTCATTGGAGGGACTGCTCTTTCCATGAGTGAGAACAAGAGCAGCAACAAGCGGAGGGGAGATGACATGATTTAGTTTGGAGAGAGTGACGTGATGATAGCATAAACACTTTTCCTGTGACCTGCAGAGTATGCTCACCGCCTCAGCCTCGTGGCTCTGCTGCTTTCATTACAAATATTACAAGGCAAGTTTTAGGCCTTTAATGGCTCACGCTAAGCATAAATGTCGGCCCGTGCTGTTCTGCCTCATGTCAAAATACACTCGACATCTCAATGAAATGCCTTGGGCCTGGAGCTCGTCCTGCTCTTCCTCTGTGCAGCTGAGGCCAGACGGGCTCTGCTTTGGCCTCCACTTGGGAATCCAGGCCAGGTTTTACAGCTGACCTAAACCAAGTCCACATTTTCTGTCCAGCACAAAGAACTGCAAGGCCTCCTCCTACAACTGAGATCCTTCAAAATAACCTGGATCCACTTTATGAGCAACTTTTGGACTGCTTTTCTCTCTGTACTTATAAGCTCTGACGGAAATTAGGGCCTTTCAGTTGTTTTTCTACATGTAAGGCTTTAAAGAACAAGCGCTTTGGGAACTTCTCCAGGTTGTGTCTGTTTTGTTTTTTTTACCCCAACATTCCTCTTTGTTACAGAAACAGATGCTTCTTCCTGTTCACGTGAGGCTGAAACATTCCCACTGTGCTGAAGTAGAGATGTTTGTGTAGGCCTATGAGTGCTTTGCTTGTTCACCGATTACACGTTTGTATGTAAAACTGATTTATGTTTTAGAACTAAATGAGGTGAAAAAGTATTGGTTCAGCAAATAGGTCCTTTTTGCATTTAAAATTCTTTAACCTGTTTCAAAATGTATTAGTTTCATTTCACTCTTCTGCTCGACATCATAAGATATCATTTGAATGCATTTTGTGACACCAAAGTATCAAAGTACACGGTCTACAAATAGAAGTTTCTGACATCAGCCTGTGATAAGAGAGGCTGCCAGGAATGACTTGCTGTGTCAAACAAATGAGTTAAATACAAATGTTCTCACATCCTGTAATGAGTACAATTTTCTAAAATTTTGCAGAAGATATCCAGCAACCACCTGTGAGTGTAAGAAGACCACCCGCTCACCATGTCCCGTGACCCGGACCCATACATCTTCACCACTGACGCGCTGCCCCCTGACGCCCGCTTCCTGCCCCCACTAGCGAATGGACTCCTGGGCTGGAGGGTTTACAATAATATCATGCACATGGGAAACGTCTATAATGGGGAGGGTGGACATTGCCACAGGGCCGATGTCCCCTGTCCCCTAGCTGTGAGAGTAGAGACAGAAGAACCTGCTCGACACACCTACAGCCTGGACACCAACACAGGTAGTGTCTGCAGAGCGGGTGATTCTCCAGTAAGGGGGGGTGTGGAACTGAGTGCTGTTTTTACCCTGTCTGCCCATGTCCTCCAGGCATTTTCACCCACACTCTGAGCTTGGCCACTGTCACCGCGTCACAGTCTTTGTATTGTCACCGATTCTACCCAAACCTCTTGGTGATGGAGCTTCTGCTGGTACGTCAGGTGACCTCGGAGGAGCCAGTCACAGTTAATTTGGTCAGTTCATTCACCCCAGAGAGCAAAGACATCGTTTTTGAGGCTGGCCCCGATTACAAAGGAGGAAGGTGAGGTGGACTAAATCTTTTATTTGACATGATTTAATCAGACACCGTTACATCAGCTCCATTGTCCTCTCTACCAGCCACATTCAAGGAAAAACATCCACGGCCGAGTTCCCTGGAGGCTCCTGTCCTGAGGTGCACCTCATCTGGACCCCGGTACCCTCCACTCTGACGCTGTCACCGGACCAGGCCCAGGCTCGCTGGGGCTTCTTCCTGGTTGTGGCCAATAATTTGGCCTCTGTTGAGGCGGGCTTCGATGAGGGCCTGAACCTGATCTCAACCGGGGACCTTCGGCCCTCACACGAAAAGGCCTGGAAAGAGCTGTGGCTGCAGAGCAAGGTGGAAGTAACAGGATCAGACAGCCTCTGCAGAGCCCTGATTGGATGTATGTTCTACCTCCTCAGTGCCTTTCCCTCCATACATGACACCTCCAGCTCTTTTGGTGGAGTCAGTCCCGGCGGGCTCTCTAATGGTGGGGATGGTCAGGATTACTGGGGCCACGTTTTCTGGGACCAGGTGAGGTTAAAGGGAAGTGTTATGATTAGTTTGTATTGTGAGCTTATTCGCATCATAACCCTGCCTTCCTTTGGCAGGACATCTGGATGTATCCAGGGATAGCACTTTTCTACCCCAAGCTAGCCCGAGCAGTGCTGGAGTACAGAGTGAGAACTATAGGTGGTGCTAAAGAAAATGCTCAAAAGCAGGGCTACAAGGTATGATCCACAGACCCATCTGCTGTTGTTATCTAATCGATTTTCTACAACAACAAAAAAACTTTGAAATACTGAAAAATAGCAAAGGATTGAACAATAAAATCTTTCAAGGAAATGAAAGAGTTTCTTTGATCAGAAAAGAGGCATTTTCCCCTGAATTGCAAAGCCATTGTTAATAGCTTTGCAGTTCAGAAATAATGTTCCTTTTTCAAAAGTGATATTATCCAAATATTTTTGCTCATTTGCACGGTGCTTTCACAGTGCATCGTTTTTATTGGTTTGCTTTAAGAAGCCTTCATTTTTGTAAATTTCTGCTTGTTATATACTATCTTCCTTCAGCCTTAGTTTATTTTAGAAAAACTATTTAAGCTAATTTAACAGAGTACATGCAGACAACAGATCAAAGAGTTTTAATGCATTGTGGACTGGGAGTAACTGGGAATAAGTTTTCAGTGCAACTGCTCCAGTCCTGGTTTTAATTGAATATTCAGTTTAATCCAAGAAATAAAAAGAAACAGCAGTACTGTTTAGACAGGTTAGCTGTGGTTCCTTTCTTCTAAAGGGCAGATGCTATCGTTGCAGGGGCTAAAATTCCCCTGGGAAAGTGCTGTGTCTGGGAGAGAGGTGTGTCCTGAGGACATCTATGGACAACAAGAGATTCACATTAATGGAGACGTCACGCTGGCCTTCCAGCACTATCTTTACCTGACTGAGGTTTGGTCCTGTATACTTGCTTCTCTTCACATCTTTACCCTTTTTCTGCTGACTTAGCTCTTTGTTGCAGGATCTGTCCATGTTCAGAGAGGGTCAGGGCAGCGAGGTCATCTACGGGGTGGCTGATTATTGGGTTTCCAGGGTAACATTGCACCCTGAGGACCAGAAGTATCACCTGCTAGGTAGGGCCCTTTGTATTCATGGGAGACCTTCGTTTGCTTAGTCTTTTTAGGTCATTTTCTCCCCTACATCTGTGCAAGGAAAGTAATTAAACATATTAGTTAAAAAATATACTTTTTTCATTACTCTTTTCAGAAGCAATTAGATTAATCAAAATTTAAGTAGCAATCAGTATGCAGATCCATTAGCTCCTAGATATGCTTGATATGTGTTTTAGAAACAAACCACAGAAGAATATCATACCTTAATGGTTTATGTGGAGGTATATGCTTCATCTATTATCCACTATATTAATTCATCTGTGACTAATGAGATACAATTTCTAAATATTACCATACCTTTTACTTAATCTGCATTCAGGTGTCATGCCACCTGATGAATATTACTACAATGTCAACAACTCTGTGTACACAAACACAGTGGCAAAACTCAGGTACAAACACTTTGTGTTTGATCCCATCATCACACGTCAAATGTCAGCATATGAACATGAGTTCATGTTCATGCAGAAGGTGTAATTTGCTAGTCTCCAGTTTGCTGTTGAGTTGGCTGATCTCCTACAACATCCTGCACCAAAGGAATGGCAGGAGGTGGCTGGACGTCTCAAGATACCCTTTGACCAAGAGTTCCAGTACCATCCTGAGTTTGACGGTTACAGTAAAGGTTAATGTTTGTGCTTCTCTGACACCATCTCATGTAAGGAGATCCATTACCCATAAGATGACATAACAGTGTGTGTTGGCTCTGACTCAGGACAACCAGTGAAGCAGGCAGACACAGTGATGCTGGGCTATCCTCTTGGACTGACGATGTCTCCTGAGGTTAGGAGGAATGATCTGGAAGCATATGAGCCCGTTACAGACCCCAATGGGCCAGCCATGACATGGGTAAGTAAGACAGAGATTTGCATGTATGCATGTAAAATTCATGGTGAAATAAAAAGAATTTCAAAGTACAGGAAACGTTCAACGCTGTTGCTCATTATAGGGTTATAAGCGGCATATGATGGCTCATTAGCAGAGAAAGCACAGCTTGCTGTTTCGTATTGCAATTCTAATACGTTACATCCTAAATTAATGTACCACTTCAACTACTACTGCTAGACAAATGACTTCCAAGAGGTTGAACTCCTTTAAAAAATCTTTAAAAAAGAAGAATGGAAGAAATTATTTTCTTTACCATAATTCAATGTCAATCACAAAAAGACAACATTGAAAATGTTTGAAAGGGGGAATTTTTTTTTTTTTAAGTAAATGCCCTTTGATTTAATATTGACAATTTTTTTCCAGATTGTTGGGTCACAGTTTGCAAATCAGTGAATTGTCTTTTATTTAATTGATTTTCAAAAACCCTGACATACAGCAATTGTTTAGGGTAATCAGGTAAAAACATTACAGATGAATCTGCATTTTATCTAGATGCCTATGTTTAACAGTTTCGTGTCACGGTACGTTGGCACCAAAGCTTTTGCTTTCCATCAACAGGGTATGTTTGCTATTGGCTGGCTGGAACTGGGAGAGTCTGAGAGAGCTCAGCGATTGCTTGAAAAATGCTTCAAGAACATCCAGGGGCCCTTCCAGGTATTCTAGTGACTCACCCGACCTGGTAAAGCCAACATTTATTCTGTTAATGTGTCTTTACATCTTCTTACAGGTATGGACTGAATCATCCGATGGCTCCGGTGCAGTAAATTTTCTCACAGGGATGGGAGGATTTCTGCAGGCCGTGCTATTTGGTTACACAGGGTTCAGGTCAGTTATCAATATCTCCAATATACCCAGTACAAGTACAGTCTACACTGCAGGTTCAACATAGAGTTGTTGTTTTTTTCAAAGCTTCTCTTTTTGTCTGTCTTTCCAGAGTTGAAAAGGAATGCTTGGCCTTTTCCCCACTACTTCCTCCTGATATCTCCGAGCTTTGTGTTCGTGGAGTGAACTACTTGGGCCGTCGGTTGGACTGGCTGCTCAGGAAAGATGAAGTCTGTATCATACTCAAGCAGCAGGAAGACAGGGCTGGCACTACACCCCACAATCTGCAAGTTGTCCTGAAGGCATCAGGAATTAAAATCCCCCTTCCACCAGGTAACAAGCGGCAACAAGTAACAGCATCCAGTTGACATTTGTTGTGGTCTGAGACTGCTTTACATTAGAACACTTTTTATAATTCTGTGTCTCACCCGTTTTCTCTTTTTAAAAAAAGGTACTTGCAAAAACTTGGTCTCAGCTCACACTTATGTGTACTCTGCATGTGTCGTTTCAGGTCAGCCGGTAACGTTTCCTCGAGAGCCAGGTTGCATATGTAGAGTGGATTCAGCATCCTCCTGCTGGCCTCTGTGAAACAGGAGCCCCCATCCTGCTCACCATTCCATTTACTGAGAGGCAAAAACAGGCTGAGTGATGGGTTTCCTGGAGAGATACTGTTCTTTTGTATGTTACCATTTCTGTAAACAATCTTGGATCAATTATGTAACGTTCAATAAAAGAAGGCCAACATTAATTAAAGGCCTAGTGCTATTTTACAGAGAAGGAGTGAAAGGCACTTTCTTATGTTTTATCTTGGAGGCAAAAATAAAATAAGAGCTTGAATGAAATATGAGCTGTTAGGTTTGATTCATACCACAAAACTATTGCACTATTAGAAAAACAATACAAACATTTAGTTATCCGTTTCGGTAGACACAACAGCTGAACCTCATCCTCATCTCTATAATTTAGCGTGTGATACATAGCTATAAACAAAACTTAGGTTCATTATTCTGACAGCCGCAAGAGGCGATGGGACAAAATACGATGGCTCATCTTTGAGAAAAAAAATAGGTGGACCATAAAATAATCATGGAAAGGTTTGACTTCCATAAAGCACAGTCAACGGTGTTATACACATCTTACGTGTTTTGCTTGGTCTTGGGGGGGGAGTGGAACGAATCATGCTAGATATCGGTTGGTTGATTTAAATCTCTGTGGCACTATAACTCCTCCCTTACATTTCGTTCGGTTTTTTACATTGTCAGTTTTACAAGGCTGACGTCTCCGCCCCCCCAAACATCCGCAGCAAGTGTTTTCACAGTTTTCTCCGCCCCTTTGGACACACAGGGTTTAAAATCGAACACATCCTGCTGTCGTAGAGCTTCAGGATTGGCTGAAGAGGTTTGAACGCGTTATAAACGGTTTCAGCGGGTCACAGGGCTGGATAGCTGTTGTCGTTCAGGAGCTGCAGGAAGAGAGGTTTTTACACATGAAAGTGGGTATTCCCATCATGTTAGCCCATTTATTTTAAGTATGAGATTGATTTAGTTTGATTTAGTTTTTCGACTCAACAAGAAACATTTAAACGGAGACTCGGATAATAAAGGTAAATATTTTTTACTTTAAACAAATGTTAGCATTGATGATAAACGTTAGCGGGCTAACATTGTAACGTTAACTTATTTAGACATTGAAGGATATCGTCATAAGAGGTAATTATGTAAATCTCTAGTAAATTAAACTGCTGTAATTTAAAGTAGATGCTATAAACGTCTTTGCGAGATATTTAACCTAGCCTTTTACATGTTGCTGGCTAGTTTACCTTTTTTTTTTTTTTTTAATTGGCTAAGCTAGCATGCCTGTCTGGAGACGTTATTTGAGGCTACTTTGTTCAGTTCATACTTTAAAACTAAATGTTATGTTAATATTCAATGTTTGAATGTTTGATGCGACTGCTGCTGTAGAGTGTCACTACAATAAAACAACTCGTATTGCAACTTTGAAGCACACTTGATTTTATTGTTGTTGTTCAGATAGTCCAACCCATAGGCAGTTGTCCGCGAAAACGGAAGAATCTACGCATGCTCAAAGCAAACGTAACACACTTTAGATCTGTTTAATAAAAGGTGAAACTCGCCTAATGTCCATAAACTCGCAGGGCGAATCTATTATAACTGCTTCAAACTTAAAAAAAAAACTCCAAGCAAGAGTCATTGAGCTGCTTTATCTTTTTTCTTCATCTTAAACTGGTCGTTTAGTCCTTTTTTAAGTGTTGTATTTGATAACTGAATTCGATATTCCACATTTAATATATATCTGTGTAGCAGTAGATAGTCCAAGTACAAAACAAACATTTTTCAATGAAGAAAAGATGTAAAGAAATGTTTTACTGTACTGTTGACAGTTCTATTCTAAAATGTTAAATGAATTATAGCATCACTATTCAATAAAAATAGTACAGAATAAACAATTAAATATGAATATTATTACCACGAAAAAGCTGTAAAGAACTGAAAATTATTTACAAGTCAACCAGCAAATTAAAGAGCACCTTTTAACTCAGATCAATTTAAGACCTGAATGAACAGACGTGTCTACACTTGTCATGTCCGTCTAAGCTCATCCCCATTACAACTACTCCTTATATCCCTCAGGCTGCCAAGATGAACTCTGTACTTTCATCTGTACGCTCCCTCATGCAAATGTTTGATGGCAAGGCACAGGACTTCATCAATGAGATTGATATTGTCCACATGGTTTGGCTGGAGGAGATCCAGCAGGAGGCCAATCGTATGTTCTCAAGGTAGGTGGTCATGAAGTCATTAAAAGTCTGAGTCTTTTATTTCTTTTCTTTCTTTTTTTAGACTTTAATTTTAGCAAATTTATAATAATTCTTTTCTTCTTCCAGGGACTTTAATGCAGAACCAGAATTGATGCCAAAAACACCGTCGCAGAAGAAGAACAGCCGGAGGAAACGTGTATCTTTGGGGCGCCAAGAAGAAAGTCAAGCAAGACGAAGGTCTGCTACGTATATTCCTGCTTTAGGGATGGAAACCTTTAACAAGTTGAGAATTTAATAGATCAAAGTGTTCATTATTCCTATTTAAAAATGTTTTGTTTTTTTTCCAAAGATTTTCAAAGGGAAAGCGCAGTAACCTTCGTGGCTCCTCTGTTAAATCCCTCAATTTGATTGCTGAAGAAGAATCCATCCCTGAGGTTTCTGTCTCCGACACCAGCAGCGCGACACAGCCAAAACGTGCCACCCGCAAAAACAAACAGGCAAAGCCTGAGGTGGCAGAGGATGAACACCAGGCACCCCATCCCAGCAGTGAGTTCAGAGAGGAGCTGAACAAGAAGCCAGAGCTAGTAGAGGACGAGGAGGAGAGCAAGAGTAACACAGTGAGTGAGGCTGATGCTGACCAGTCTCCACTGAAGATACCTTTTCCAGATGTGGTTGTCAGAATCCCATCAGAGGAGCGCCTGTCTGCTGAGCTTGCCAAGAAGCCAGAGGCCTCCCCTGGGCACGCTGCTTCTAAGATTGCCATCGCAGAAAGTAGTCGCAGCTCGAGGCGGAGTTCTGTGCGCTGTTCCCTCAAACTGCGCCACTCTCTGGCTGGCCTCCGGCACAGTATGACACAGGAGTCAGTTCGCCGTGCGTCCCGACGTTCTCTGATGAAGAGGAAGGCAAATCGCACAGGCAACTCCACATGCAGTAGCAGCGCTGGTGGTAAGAAGTAGTTGTTGTGATCATGGTCATTAATATTTCTTTAAGCATTTCCGCATCGTTTGAATTTTGTTGTTTATTTTCTCCTGCCTTTGTGGGATCAGCAGAGGACTCCAGCATGGACACTGCTGATGAGGAAGGAGAACTGTGAGTAAAACTTTATTTTGGCGTAGATGACCATATTTTTGTTTAATAGTTTTATGACTGTAGAGATCTGTGAATCTAAGGAACAGCCTGTCCCTCATAAAATGCCTGATTATAAGGCACTATTAGTATTCTCAATGAATTTCTTCACAATATGAAGAGACTGGTAACTAACATTTGAAGTTCACTTTCATTGTAATTCTTCCTGTCAGAATATGAATGGTTCTACAACAGACACGCACATTTTCGACCATTTTGCCAGTTACCACTGGTGAATTTTAATGCTTCTCATTCATCCTTATTCCCAGTTTCATAGAGCCTGTAGCTGAGGAAAAACTGGACGATGCTGCATCTAAAAAAGAAGCATTGCAGGTAAAAATATCTTTCAAAAGATCGGTTTTATATCTTAAATTAATTTGTTATTTGAGTGATTTTCTTTATTTTTCTACCTCTTAAATAATCTAACTTCAAACAAATAAGATTGTACAGGCGTCCCTTGAACGTGTCACTCGGTCTGTGGCTGCAAACTCTCCCAAACTGGCGCCTCCACCTCTTTTCATCACGGGGCCAAAGATGAGCACTCCTGTCAAAAGAACAGGTATAGCAGCTTTTTTCTTTCTTTGATTAAAGTTTTATGCCCAACTGAAAGCTCCGGGTGCCAAATGCTCGTCTACATTTGTCTTACAGTTGCTGCTGAGAAACAGATGTCTCAGGCATTCCGAAGGTGTGTGTGCTGCCTGTGGTGGATATTTATTTAAAAATGAATCTATTGGAATACTGTCTGATATTTGTGTTAATATTAAAGAGGAAAGGCTTTTTCTTTTGTCCTTGTGTGTTTAGGTCGAGTCGCAGTACTAAACGCAAAGCACCGGATACTGTAGAGGACAGCCCCTCAAAGAGGCTCTCACCTCCCAAAAAGAGTCAAAGTGTAAGATGTCAAAAAGTCTTTATTGAAGGTAGTGTGGAAGCTGATGTATGCTGTACATTAATTTGTTTTTTTGTAAATCATAGGCAATGAGACCCAACATGAGATCTTTTCTCCACACCGTGCAGAAGAATCAGATGCTGATGATGACTCCAAACACTCTCGGTCGCACCGCTATGATCAAGTCCTTCATCAAGCACACCACTCCCTTGAAATTTGATCCCAAAGTAAGTTATATATTACTTTTAACGTTGGATTTAAGGGGTCATGGAGTCTACATTTTGTGTTCTCTGAAATCAAAGTGGTTACAAAATCACTGGCTCTATTAGTTTCTTGATAGTGATTGTCCAGATCCAAGATCATTTCTTACTGTAAGAGCTGCCTGTTCGAGTGTCCCTCAATTTACCATTCAACCACAAAATATTGCTTACAGACTGATTTTTATTGGCTGACTTTAATGTTTTGACCAAGGCTCACATTTTTGTGTGTCGTTACCCAACTTTTGTTGTTGTTGTTTTTTTGCTAAAATATGTTCCTCCCTTCCTCAGATGAATAGTGGTGTTGTGGTAAGTGGAACTCTGAAGCACTCCGTTTGTGGGACTTTGTTGGTGTATTGAAAACCACTTTGTGAGACTAAATATCACTTAGCATGCACCCCAGATGAGCCCCTTTTCCTCTGTCACACATGAACCCAAACACAGTTTGTACGGGGCCTCACAGAGTTCTGGGTTTGACAAAGCACGTGCAAAGTTGCTCTGTGCACAGGAAATAATCCTGTGTGTAAATGGTGATTCCATCACTCAGTAACTGAAGGTCCATGTGTGGAAGGGGCTGCTTCTCCGTTCTGATCCTGTGGGCCACTGCTTCACTAACGTGTTTTATTACATTTACACATTAACTCTGAGAAATAGTTTCTTTTAGTGTAACATGGTGAGATCACGGGGTGAGGTCAGGTTTCTGTAATTAAGCTTTTCTGATAATGTTTGCTGCTTCTATGACTCCTCTGTGTGGAGATCCACCTTAGCCATGTCGTCTAACCAATCCGGATTGTCATCCACAGTTGTAAACTTTATAACTTTATAACAAAATATGTTTTTATTAGTGGAAATTTTCTATCATGAATAAATCTGTATTTTGTAAGAGTTGGTTTACAAGTAACTTTCCCTAAAGCCCCTAGTCATGAAACGGTTACAGTTAGATATCTTTTTATCAGGCATATAGCGTATATTTCTATTTGCAGCTTTAACTTTCATCATTATTAACCTCATTGCAACTTAGTTTTAACGGTTAAGCAAGTATTACTTTTTATTTATTTTACATTTTAAAACATTTTTTGTCACCTACGGTGATGTTTTTTCTTCCCTCAGACAAAAGAACTTCACAAACTGGAGGCCCTTAAAAAGAAGCAGGAGCAGGAGGAAGAAAGGATGAAGAAAATGGAGGAGGAGAAGAAAAAGAAGCAAGATGAACTTAAAAAGTTAGTTCCTTTCTTTAAGAGGCAACGCATTTCTTTTTAAATTGCTTTTATTAATTCATTTATAAAAATGGTTTTCCAGGAAGAGAGATGAAAGGATAAGAAGAGTGTTTGAGGCCAAAGTAAAAGAAGAGCAGAGGAAAGAAGAAGAAAAGAAGAAGAAGATTGAGCTGAAGATGGCTCAGATTGATGAGAAAAATGATAAGGTCTGCAGCTGGCCTGGTGCTTCTGAATGAGGTTTTTCACCCAGAGACATCCAGTCTCACCTGTGGCTGTTTTACCTTCATGTAGCGTCTGGCAGAAGAGAGGGCCAAGAAGAGGGTTGCCCTGAAGCGTCAAGAGGAGCTGGAGCAGAAGAAAAAGTTGGAGGAAGAGGCCAAGAAGAAGAAGATGCAGCAGGTAGAGACGATGCTCGTGTTTTATTATTGGTGTTTGCTTTTTTTGTGTCACTGTTTTCTTTTTACAATGCAGAGAGTTCTATTGCTGATGTTAAAAAGATTTCTTGCATGCAGCGTTCCTAGTAAAACACTCAATATATTTCTATCAAGTACAGGACCTTTATCATATCACTTTCTAACTGATAGTGCTGATATGAGAACATGATTCGTTGTTGAGATCAGCCTCATTTGGTGGGTGTCTTTTTAAAACCTTCAGGAGGAGGAGAAACGACAGCAGGAATTAGCGGCAAAGAAGAAGGCCGAGGAGGAGGAACAGCGAGCTCGCAAAGCGCTGGAGCTGAAGAGGGAGCAGGAACAGCGTGAGAGGGAGCTGGAGAGAGAACGACAAGCTGCTATTGAAAGGTCTATTTTGATTTTAAAAGCTAATGTACAGACATTAAAAAGGCCACAGCTCCAGCCACCAGGCAAAGAACCACTGTGGTGTTTATCTAATCTCCAGTCTTTGATCTCAATAAATGCAGGGAGCACACACCCTGGTAGCAGGGGACTAATACACCAAGAGGTCATGGACAACCACATAGATTTGTTCTTTCATGTAGCTGTCAAACAGCTGACTTACCAGATGACTGATAACTCTCATACTGAACCTGCAAATAAAAGAAGTGTCACTAAGAAAGGAAACAAATATGCTCACTGTGTGATTGAGCCATATCACATTTGTGGGGTCTTATGGCAGATTTTGTGGTGGTTTTATTGAAGCAGGCAGCATGGAGAAATTCCTATTTTTCCATACAAACTACAGAAGGGATACAAGTCTCAAAACAAACCCACATGGCAGAGGGAAATGTTATTTATTTACCATAAAGCCTGGTGACTATTTTATTCAGTGGTCATGATTCGTCCATGTCTGTATTTTCATTGTTTTTCTGTTCCTTTTTTGAACAGGGAACGAGTGGAAAAAGAAAAGGCTCTTGCTCTACAACGTGAACTGGAGAGGGCAGCAAGAGAGAAGGAGATGAGGGATCTGGAGGAGAAGAGAAGGGCCCTTGAGGAAAAAAGAAAACTGGTAAGAATTTGTTCCCTTCTTAAAAATGACCATGAGTGCATCAGTTTGAACACTACCGTAGCCAGTGTCGGTATGGATGTGAATAACCAGCGTTATTACAAGGAGGAGGTGTTGATATTGTTATGTTTTCCCATCAGGAAGAACAGAGGCTGGCTGCTAAAGTGAAAGCTATCGAGAGGGAGGAAGCCAAAAAGAGAGAGGCTGCTGCTAAAGAGGCTGCTGATTCACAGGTAACCTGTTTGTTTAGTTTATTATTGGATCAAACCTGTAAGCGCAAATTAAAATGTGACATCAACACTAAAATGTGTCACTTTGTGAGGATAATGGAAATGTGCTGCTTTTCTCTTTTCTTTTTCTAAACTCGACTTTAATGAAGACTTCTGCTGGTCTGAATGTGACTGTGGATATGGAGGTAAGAATTTTCCTCATCTGGACGGTGATCGCGTTAAGACGGTGGTGTGATATAAAGGTTTGTTTGGGTTTGTTTATTTCATTTTTCATCATTTGCTCCAATTCTTTCAGCGCTCAGTGATGAAAACACCTGTGGGAAAAGGTGGTGGCCTGAATGTGACTATGGACATTACGGTATATTTTAATATTCTCAGTGTTTGTTTCAAAATACAAACTGTAAAACCTGTGATATAATGACCTAACGTGATTCCTCCTCATCCTGCAGCAGTCCTCGCCACAGTCCTATGTCATTACTCCAAAGGGTGGCAACAAACCTTTGATCCAGCCCAATATTCTAGACAATTATGGTATGGACCAAAACAGTGATGACTCGACAGATGACGAATCTGCCCCAAGGAAGCCCATTCCGTCCTGGGCACAAGGTACGCAACATATGTTTCGGTTTAGAATAAACTTTTTTTTTAAATAATACATTGACTCATAATTTTCCGTAAAGAAAATTTGTATAATATTTGAAAAGTAGACTTTATACATTTGTATTTGTTTTCTCTCTTGCCTTTAGCAGTCATCTGTGTGCTTAGCTATTTCATGTGTTTTCCTTTTTCCAGGTTCCAATCTGAATCAGATCATTAGGAAGCAGTACTTCAACCCCCCTGATTTAGAGTCTTTCCTTGGGATTATCGAGCCACCAAAACTGGAAGACATTTTTTACAAGAGCAAGCCTCGATACTTCAAACGAACCAGCTCTGCCGTGTGGCACTCACCTCCGGCTGGAGCCAAGTAATGCTTGTACACTGATACAGTACCACTACTGTACACTGATGTATAAAGTTTAATGTCTGACTGTCTGTTTGTAAGGTAAAGTCCTTATAATAAAGTAGTCTCTTTTCTTTCCCCTAAATCTGCTTTTAGTTTTGTAAACTGAATAAATGGATTAATAAATTTCTTGTAATAAAGCATATGAAACGATGAGTAAACACAAGGAGTGTGGACCTTTATATATGGCATGTTTGTGTTTTTTAAAACATTATTTCTCTATCACTCAGCAGTTTATGTCATCTCATCTTCAGATTCACAGCCTAAAAGATTTTTTTAATAAGTGTAACAAAACTACTTTCATATAGAGAGATTCAGTAGTAATGCAAAGATAGTCACATTTTTTTCAAGGTTCTAGATACATAGACATACAGTAAAAGCTGCAATTAGGAAGAAAAAGGCAAATATCGCTGTTGCATGAGGTTTACTGAGCCTACCACATTTTCTCGTTTTGTTTTACCTGTTATTTACTTTTTGTAAATTGAAATGCGTTGCTTTAAAGTGGGTAGGATACTGAATGACGGACCTCGAGTTGCATAACAACGAACTCCCTCCACGTTCCACTCGTGTCACAATAAATTGACTATGATACGCCTTTTATTAATTAGATTAGCTTCAAACATTGAACAAATGCATGCCCCTACATAAGCAATTAAAGGTAAAAGCGTCACGTGTTGTACAACGCTGTAAAAAAACGAAAAGGCTGAGATTTCCTCAATTTTATCTACGTCCTCAAATGCAGCACCAATATCAGTTTGACCTTATTACGTAGATGTACAGTAAGCGTTTGACGGCAACGTCGTACAACAGCCAGTACACCTTTCTGTCTTAGACAGTTTAACGTAAATGTTTTTACTTATTCCGGAAATAGTCTAGTTTTTCTTGGAGGACAGTGTAAAAGCGTCGAAGCAGGTAAGCTAATGTCGCATAGTTAGCTGATAGCTTTTGAGGTGAACCCAATGCAAAAGTTATTAATATTAACGTACGCTGTTGCCTAGCTGTCTCGACATTAATGCTGAGATTTATTATTGAATAGCACGCTCCTAGAACACAGTCGAAAGTCAACACATTACTACTAATATTTCACGTATACTTCTTTCTTTAACTTATCAGTCTTTGGAAGCCAGTTTTAAGTTCAAATTTTAACCCAAAAGTGAAATAATTTCTGGGTTATTTGCTGATGTATTTTTTGTTGAAAGATGCAGGGCGTGTAGGAATCAATAATAATGCAGTCAGGATGATAAGGGCAGCAACACCCGTATCTGCTCCACATCCGGTCTAAGATATGTCAAGGACACAAACGTGTCAACAGAACGACTTAAAGCGAGTAACAAACGTTTCCTGTTTTCAAACATTTTGACGTGAAATCTAGGGATTTAATGGTACTTAAAGAAGCCCATTTTTCTGGTAACTGTTTAGCTGTTCTGGGTGTTTTACAGAGAATACTTATTCCTAATCGAACTGGCATTAGATTATGTGAACCTTTGCTGCAGATTACTATAAAAACTTGTCCCTTCAATATAACTGAATAAAGCCATAGTTTGGCCAAACAGGACTATGATTGTATTTTTTTGTGTGTAATAACTTGTTCATTGGTGTGTTCCGAACAGATATGACTTCACAAATCAGACAAAACTTTCACCAGGACTGTGAGGCTGCACTAAACAGACAAATAAACCTGGAGCTGTATGCATCTTATGTTTACCTCAGTATGGTAAGATCTGCTGCATTGTAGCTGTGCATTCTTACAGTGAAAATTCATGTCTGAATCTAATGGTAATCCTTTTGCTTTTGTAGGCATATTATTTTGACCGGGATGACAAATACCTACCAAATTTTGCCAAGTTCTTCGGAGAACAGTCCAAAGAGGAGCGCGTGCATGCAGAGAAGCTGATGAGTCTGCAGAACAGCCGCGGAGGCAGAATTTTCCTGCAGGACGTCAGGGTGAGCAGATAAATGACAGAGAAATATTTTTGGTGAACACTGGATTGTTTGTTTTATCTGCACAGAGAAAACACTAAGCTTTCATGGTGCAGGTTTTACTGACTTATCAAAGATAAGAAATAGACCAAAACCAAAGTTACTGGTAGGAGTATTATAAATGGTCCTTTAGAATGTTCTGCTTGACTTTATTGAAATTATTGTTGTATTTCCATGAATAATTTGTGTTAGAAACCTGATCGCGACGAGTGGGGCAGCGGGCTGGAGGCTCTGGAGTGTGCCCTGCAGCTGGAGAAAAGCGTAAACCAATCCCTGCTGGATCTGCAGAAAATGGCGACTGATCACAACGATCCTCATGTAAGAAGCAGTCCAGCTGAACACGCCCTTCAGTCTCTGCCATTTTTGGCTGATCCTGTCATGTAATGCAGCACTTTGGCCTTTTCTTCCCTTTAGATGTGTGACTTCATAGAAACCCATTTTCTAGATGAGCAGGTGAAATCCATCAAGCAGCTGGGGGACTGGATCTCAAACCTGCGCCGTATGGGAGCCCCTCAGAACGGCATGGCTGAGTACCTCTTTGACAAACACACCATGGCCGAGGAGGGCAGTTAAACTGAGCCCTGATCGTCTCACTTTCCCCTGCATGCCGGCGGTGTATTCACAGCATACCTAACTATCACTACAGCTTTTTTTTGGTGTTTTTTAGCCTTAGGATTCAGCTTCATATCACCGAATTCTCATTAAAAAGCACTTTAGCTAAGTCTGTGTTCATCCCTTATATTTTACTGATCTTGTCAGGGTATTCAATGAATATTTGATTCCTTCTGAGCATACCTTTTTAGTCGCCTTTATGGTTTCACATTTGCTTACGTGTGAAGAAAAAATGTGAATTTGTTACACAAAAAAATACTTTGCACATATATAGAAATTATACTTTTATTATTTGTAGTGTAGGAACAGTTTAGTTTTACTCACATCTACTCAACAGCCAGAGGCCAAACAGCACATTATTCATGTTTAATCTACACTTTATCATTTCTTGAAAATAAGGTTATTGTTTAGATTTCCTAGATTTAGCATCTACAGCATAACTGGTCCTTGTCCTTTAGTTGATGAACTATTTATATGCAGATGACGCTGTTATAAAATAAGCAGTCTGTTTTTGTTATATCGTTTTGTTTTGGAAAAGGTAAAGTAAAGGTCAAATATTATTATTATTGTGTGAATGTGTCCGATATCGGTTATATTTTTGTGGGGTTTTTTGCATTATCTCTGTTGGTCAGCTTGCCAGTATTTTAAGTTAATTTATAAATTATGAACATTCATCCATTCTGAATTTAAGTCAGATTGTACATCCAATTTGCTTGTATAATGAGACAATAAAGCAATAGTACTCAAATGATTCCCAGTATCAATTTTTAATGAAAATAAAGTTAACAATTGAGTTAGCTAAGACTTCCTGAATTAAAGATCGTATATCGTTTTAATTCATGTTGCCTACTTCAGAAGAAGCTGTGAATTTGAGTTTTTGCGTCACTCTGTGATGGTTACATTTTTGCCTAATATACAATTAATATCATAATATCAGTAAGAGCTCTCTGTTTAAAACATATAATATCCACTTCTTCTGTTACCAGACGGCTGTGAGGCATTTCATGAGAAGACGCAGAGGTAGTCACATGAATGCTGCTGACTCCCACTAGGTGGCGGCTTTGAAACGTTTATGGCTCTATTATGAAATCCATCAGTCCTGAAAACTTTCCCAAAAGTCATCACTTGTGCCATATTTCATAGTACGCAGCCTTTAATGGGGACAAAATCCATAATCAGTCATCATCTAACATGCTGTATTTTCTGACCTCTTCTTCAAGCGTTTATTCTGGGTCCTTAAAAATATAATGCTTCAAGGCCTGACACTCCACTGTCACGGTGCTACTTTAGCTTCTGGTGTTCTGTTTAAGGCTCCCTTCCTCCTGCGGCCTTCTTTTCCACACCATCCACCAGCACACCCAGCAGGTCCCCTTCCGCCAATGAGATTCCTGAATCATTGGGAGAATTTTGCTGGTTGGTTTCTTGCTGCGGCGTTGCTGCAGTGGACACAGTGTTCGTGTTACTGCTCAGTCCACCGTTGGTGCCCCCATTGCTCGCCCTCATGCTTGAGTTGAAGCTCCCGTGGTTACTGAAATTACTTGTTCCGTTGCAGAGACTTCCTGTTGTGCCCGTGCTGTTGGTGCTTGTTGCGTTAATGCTGCTGGAGCTGCTGGTGGGATTACTGGGATTTGGCACCACTGCGTTGGAAGGGGGAGTAAATGAGAACACTCTCTCACCTCCACTTCCTACGGTCCGAGCACTAAGGGGTCCGGGCTGGCTATCAGCCGACGGCAGGGGGTCCAAGGTGAGGCGTGGAGGGGGAGGTCGGCGTGACAGTAGGCCGTGTGCTGGTCTGAGTTTAGATATCGGACAGAGTTCTGGCGGAGGGTCAGGGAAAGAGAAGGTTGGAGCACTCTGCATGTCACCCTCACTGCTGAGCCAGGGAAAAGCAGAAGACGGAGGCGGCGGGAGGTGGTTGGGAGTATCAGGGGGCAGCAACTGGGAGCCCACCATTGGAGGAGCCATAGAGCTACAGCTGCGATCCCACTCATTTTGGGTTCGCCTGAAGGGTCGCGGGCGAGGAACGGAAGGGGGCACGCAGTGGATGGGTGTTTGTGGGCAGCTGTAGAAACCTGGTCTTTCATACAGAGGCATAGTGGAGAAGGCAAAGTCCGGATCTCGGTCCTGGTTGAAAGGCTGGCGGCCTTGGCCTTGAGTTGATGGAGCCTCTGGATGGAGGTAAAGGGGGTATCTGCTGAGCGGAGCTCCAGGGCGCCGGCGTAACAGAGACACACGGGAGGAACGATGAAAGTTAGGGGACTGCACGCCAAGAAGGCGACCAAGCCCTCCCAGAAGCGGGGTGGAATAGTTGGCCTCTTCATTTTCTTTGATCTGTTCCAGATTGGACTGGAACTCCATTTCCTCCTTGGGAACACTGTGAAAGATCAAGAGAAGGGTTTACCACTGCGAAGAGTCAAACATGTCTTCCAGAAAACAGAAAGATAGAAGTTTACCTGATATCCAGCGCTGAGCCCATGAAGGAGGGTTTGCGGTGCTCAGCACTTGCAGTGGTGTAGGGAGGCTGTGGTTCCGACTCATTCCAGTACATGTCCCTCTCAACCAATGGCAGGCAATCATACATCTCATCCACTGACAGCAAAGAGACCTGAACAAAAAAATTTGGAATATTGCTAGTCAAGCAACAAAGTCTCTGTTATATGATTGTTCTTTTAGAGGTCGGTGGCAGCAGTTCGGCTTAGATCCACACCTGCAAATTCCGATCAACTAGCCAGTTTGTTTCAAAGTCGTCATCATCTTCGCCAAAGGGATTGATCAGTTGTTCAGCCACCTAAGAGCATGAAACACGATCTTCAATAAAGCTCAGTATGAACAAATGAGGATAGAAGAATATCTTTTCAGTTTGTGCTCACCTTCAGCCAACCGACGTAGAAGAAAAACTGGAGCAAAGTAAAGACAGGCAAGTAGAAGTCCACATCGTGGCCAGGGTATCCCTGAGCTGGGTCCAAGAACTGACGACCAATCAAACAGGCCAAGAAAAAGCTGTAGACTGCCACCGTTGCCACCTTATCAAACACATTTAACAAGTCTTCAGTTATCTTATTCTTGTCTTCTGGTCTGTCATTTCAGGTTTCATCATATTTTGAGATATCAAATCATGTGCTGCATTTTAGGGAAATCAGAAACAATGGAACCTGAGTGTAGACGAGAGGCAGGCTGATCCAGTCATAACCGTACAGCTTCATGCACTTAGCCCGTAAACTGTTGAGCTCCTGGACAGAGACAAACAAAGGTGTTTCAACCAAATCAGAGAAGTTGTGCAGACAGAATCATGACGCCACTTACAGTGAGGATGCCTGTGAGTGCCACGTCATTGTTGATCCGACCCTCAGTCCTCGCTCTCAGCGCCAGGCTGACAAACCACATGCAGGGCACCCAGAATTTGTTGTGAGGGGAGGGCAGCTCCTCCAGGTGCCGCATCTCTTCTGAGGTCATCAAACCTGATATGAGCAAACAGTGCAGTCATGTGTCTGTTAAGTTAGCAAGGGGTGGCTCCAGTTTAGTCATGAACCCAGTTATTGTGTTATGGCATACACTTAGTTTAACCACTAATGATGGCTCAGTGCGAGCGTGTCATAATGCCTCACTAGCACTAACCCACAGCCTCTTTAATGACGTAAACTGAGGTGAAAACCAAGAGCAGTGGCTTTGGTTTCCATCTCCACACCGTACCTGCCTGCACCAGATGCTCCATGGTTGGAAACCGTTTGTAGACGGCTGTGCTCACAGAGCGGTAGATCAGCACGCCGGACAGGTTAACGTAGCGCATCAGAGTTCTTCTGGTTAACCTGGAGGCCTCATCAGCTCCACGAACATGACCTCCAACTAAAGCCGCCAAGCGGTCAGGCCAGGGTACGTTCTCAAACTGGCCCCACCAACGGGACACCACCAGTGTCACATAGAAGCCTGGGGGCAGAAGTTTAAAGCATAACAAGTGAACCGCAAAGAACAAATAAGTATAGTTTGACTTATCTGGGGAAAAAGCCTGTCTGGACTCACCCAACACAAATGACACAGGGATGAGTTCGGCATAGCGGTCACAGTATATTGACAGCCTCTCAAAGAGCCTCTTCTGCTCATTTTTTAGTACAAATCTACGGAATGAAACACATTTACGTTTATAAAAACACTGAAGTGGTTTAGGCCTGAAATTGTCTTGAATTAGTTTCTTAATTTCTTTTTCATTTCCAAATATCTTTTTTAATGTATCTATATTTTAAACTTTAAACTTATATATATATTTAGTTATCAAGACTGTATAACATCTACCAATATCATACATCCATACTCTCTGTGTTGAAATAACCTTCACCTGTCAAGTTTACTCTTTCAACATTCCTGTTCAGTTAGCATATACATTGCATATCAGCCTTTTAAATAAAACTGTAGAAATAACATGGCTTTCCCTCTTTTTTCTTCAACCTTTCAGCTTTTTCATCATTTTCTGTTCCAGTCATTCAGCAGATCGACATTCTAACTGCTCTTTTGCAGGAACGGATCTTTTTTTAGTGAGAAAAATTCCTTTTTATCCTAATCGTGACCCCTTTAAAAAGGTGTAAAACCCTGTTCTGACCTAAATTTGATCCCGTAACATGTAGAGATGCCAACTTATTCATTTACAATGAAATGAAAAGAGCTTTCGCTGTTATATAATTCTGCTGAAACATTCACAAAAGATTACCGTGACATGTTTTTGTTCCAGTTCTAAATCAGGTGCTGTGTCCCAATCTCAGCCACATCCAGGAGTGGGCTGTTTTTAATACTCTTTTATTTGTTTAGTGATTTTAGTGGAAATGTCATCACCAGGGAAGGTGACTGTGTTTTCAGTTTACCCCTCTCAATGTTAGTAGTTTGCTTTTGTGAATGATTACTACTGAGCTTCCTTTCACTTACCTATAGACAACACTGAGGAAGTAGTAGAGCAGAGTGAAGATGATGAGCTCCCTGTAGAGCAGCTTATAGATGCTGCCCTTCCATCGCAGGAGCAGATGAAAGAAGGTCCCTAGACCTGCATCAGCAACTCTGCGGGAGTACGTTACTGTCATTGCTGCTGCTGCTGCTGCTTGTTGGAAAACGTTCCAGCTGTCTGTGGTCTGACATGAAGGAAACTAAAGTAGTTTTGTTTTCTGAGCTTCATCAACTTCAGTGATCGGTGTGGAACTCATGAGGCCATCCTGCTCACAAAACTACAACATTATAAAAGACAGCAGGTTAGTTTCGGACTTATTCCACATTCCCGTCCCCCGCTGAGATACTGGGTCAAGATTAATTTTTTGTTTTTTTACATTTATCCTCAATGTTTACTAAATACCTTGATTTTATTAATATTCTTGTTTTCATTTACAGATTGTTACAATTAAGGTGAATTCTATAAAGAAAAACCATCAAACCACAGCATTTAAATCACATCAAAGATAAAAGTCTATTCACTTACCTGTAAAGTGAAGTAGCCTGGACTTCATATTCACTGTGGTTCGAGATGCATGGCGGCAGTATCCAAAGAGAGCGATGGAGACAGGAAAGTAGGAAGGAAAAAGAGAGCAAGGGACTTTTACACCTTCGGTCACTTGATGTGTTAATCTGTTCCTGTAACAAAGCTGCATTGTGAGGCCGGGTCCTGTTAATCTGAACAAATCTGAGGACTGCAGGGCTTCCACTCTGTCACAAGTAGGCTGGTTAAAGTGAATGCTTGGGGCCTAATCTAAGAAAGACTAGGGAATACATTTCAGCAATTTGATTCATCCTCTCAAAGTTTAACACACTCTCATGTCAGTTTACCACACCACACAAACACGTTCTGATTTCTGGAATTCAGCAATATTGAACTTATTACGTTTTTCTATTAAAAAATAACAGTGCCTGGCGTTTGAATGCGGAAAACCCCCTCCACTGGAAAAAATGCGTTCAGCTGAATTGTTGGTGGTCAGAAGGTGTTAGAGATTAACCCATCCTGCCTAACCAGCAGACCCAGAGCGGGGCGAAGTGCAGGGAGCTCAATTCTGAAAGCAGAGATTATTAAAGCAGAATTTTTGCTGATTTTGCAGATATTTTGTTGCACTTTCAACAGGAAGATTTGACCATCTAGGTGAGTTCCATGACTTCCATGTTCCATGACTTTTTAAATGTTTAAGTATTCCTATACTCATAGGTGTGTGGGACTCAGGATATCTCAAAGCAAGAAATTCCTTTAGCCTGACAAGCTGGAAAGTAGAGAGCCCGTATTCCTGTGGCTCTGCAGGGAGAACAATGTAACTTTGCAGAGGTCATGTCATGTCCTCAGCAGGAATGTTTAAACTCTCAGAATGCGTTTAGTTTTCTTTTGAACATGTGGTTCTAAGTCAGTCTCCTCTCTACTAGGTATTGAACCTCTACAAATTCTGGGCTAATCCAACCATTGAACAAAGTCATCTCTGGGGTGGAGGGGCACCTTGTGATGCGTCTCTGCAACGCCTGAGAGACACACATGGATGCTTTTGAAGGGATTCACAGAGTCCACATTTCCTCATCTCCACCCTCTTCAGCCCCATCGAACCCGGGGTATGAAGTGGTAAAAGCAGGGAGGTCTGGAATCGCAGTCTACTCGTCCGCCGTCTTCTTTGGGACCCCCGATGTGCCGGCAGTCAGACAAAGGTCGAGCAGAGTTACCGAAGAGGAGCGCTGTGCCGTTGGACAGTAAGTTTAAATCCTGCTGCTTAGCGGCAGAAAGGCTTTGTTGGGTAAAATTCCAGGCAGGAAGGCCTGTTGTTTTGTCATAACAGTTGTTCCTGGCCAGCTGGAGATGGTCTTTTTTATGCAAGTGAGAGGTTATCGTTGTTATTTATTCATACATGTTTTTTATTTGTTTATCTATTTATTTACTTTTTGTTATGAAATAAAACTGGACATCGCAATGTTGAACTACATGACAGGGGGCAGGAATAAAGTATTGTATTCTACTCTATTAATGCAAATTAATTGACCCACTTGGCGAATTGAGAACTTGAAAATCTGGTTGACACATGCCCAGCACAAGTTACTTCATATGCAGACACAATTTTAAGAGATAAGAAAAAGAGTGTGTACATTCTTATAAACATAAAACAAACTCACTTAGTCAGGACCCATCACAAAAACAGCTGTGAAGTTAGAAGAAGACCTGTTTTATTACACTTAAATTATATCTGCTTATATATCATTATTCATTGTTAAACCAACTGAAATACAATCTTTTCATTCTCGTGCATAGCTGGACTGTCACTCTTTGATATCTCCACATGAACCCAGACTAAAGCAGATCATCTGCCCTGAAGAGCCCAGGCTGTTTTTTTTTTTTTCAAGTGTCATTTCATCCCATTCCATAAGCTTTCAGGAGGAGCCAGTCACCTAAACGAGCCCCTGGCCTGTGTCTGTGACTGGTGCTTGGCTCTGGGGAGTGCTGACTCGCAGGTTTGGCTCCGGTGTGCGGGCTGGGGGCTGGGGCTGTTTGAGTCCGGACGGGACGGGTCCTCCGGCGGGCAGCTGGGGGTGGATGCACCGTCACGTGACCTGAGAGGGAGAAGGACAGGAACAGAGGAGACTTATTTTCTTGATTGACCGTAATAAGGAAACACCTTACGATATTCCTGGAAGTTCTTTTTTTTTTTTTTTTTTATCCAAGCCGCTGTCTCAGTCGTGCTACCTCTCTTTGTTTTTTTCTTCTTTTATTTTTTTTTTGTCTACGTCAGCGTCCGCATTCCTCTGCCGTGATTTAAAACGGCTGGGATTAGTTTCACTGAAACTCGCTAACGCTAGCTCAGTTTGAGCACTTTTTCTGTGCTTCATTCTTTTTTTTTTTCAAGGCTTTTCATTTCATTTTTATTGTCACTTTAACGTGAGGCGGTGGACGGAGGAGGGAAGAGAAGAGGAGCTGACAGGACAGGGCAGCGTCGGGGTAAGGGCGGAAACTGGCTCAGAAAGTTGGAGCTAACTGGCTTATTTTGCTAAAACCTCTGCTGCTCCGGACTTTAACTGCTTATTGGCGTTAAAGTAGCAGCGGCTAACACGTTTTGGAAGTTCTAGGGGTTGTTATTGCCCTGCCAAAGGGGTCTCAAACGATGGTCCGGGGTCCCTTGTGGGTCCGTTTGGATTGTCACTGACCGGGAGCAGATGTGACACATGAAGGGGGGGTGGGAAAAGCATCTGTAGACGCTGTCAGGATGTGTGCAGATTCTTTTCAAGACCTAGTGTGGAAAGGCTTCATTTCATTCAGCTGACATGTAACTAAAAGCAGATGGTGATCCTGGCTTTAAAGCTCAGGTCCTGGCGTTGGGACAGAGGCCCCAGAGCTGTTGCACTTCTCTAGATTTATGGAGGCATTTGCATGAGAGTCTGTCAATGTTTGCAACAGTTGTTTACAGTCACAAGCTACAAGTCATAAGACAGAAATAATCTTTGATTGTTGGCATGCAGTGCTTTTTTGTTAGACAGCTATAAACATCCACTGGAGCCTCTGGTTTATGTATTTATATGTTTTTTGTGAATGTGGTGAACCATGTATATGTTTTTTGTGAATGTGGTGAACCACCAGTTTGACCCCAAATAGCACCTTAAATTTCAAATGCATCCCTTCAAACTGACCCAGGATTGTTTCTAAGCGGGCGGAGAGGCAAAGGTGTTGGCATGTGGCACCGTGGTCATAGGGATCTGGTTCAGCTTAAGACTGTTGCGTTCACAAGCCATCAGCTCTGTTGTTTATTGCTTTTGTGTTTGTGTGTTGTTGTTTTTTTTCGGTGCTTCTGTTAAGGTTGGTAGACCTGGATCCAGAGCCGGAGCCCAGAGTGGGGGGAGGGGGCCAGGTTGGGCCCACCTCCGGCAAACCCCATGGCGAGCTGTGCCGACTTCGCAGCTCCTCGCTGGAGATCCGAGAAAAAGAAATAAGAGAAAAAGGATCGGAGATCCTCAGAGAACAGCTGGACGCTGCAAAGAAGGTGCCTGGACCCACTTTATGCTTTCAAACATGGACACAAAAGATGTTGTGAAATTGGGGGTCTGACGATGCAAAAGTGCTTCCTGATTAAATGTGTCTGCCACATGTCTGTCCCTCACATCTCAGGAACTGAAACTAAAGGACAAGGAGTGCGAGCGTCTGTCACAAGTCAGAAATCAGCTGGAGCAAGAGCTGGAGGAGCTGACCGCCAGTCTGTTTGAGGTCAGAAGCGTTTTCCACACGGTGGTCAGTGCGCTGCAAAGGTTCTTGAGCCACAGCAGCACTGAGTGGTCAGAGGGACCAGTGATGGATTATTTATCCACTGACCCGTTGTAAACATTCCTGCACAACAGCCAACCAAACCCTCTGGCACCTCGGGCTCACTGTATTGATCCTTTCCTCAATCTTTTTGACAGGAAGCTCATAAGATGGTGCGAGAAGCCAACGTGAAGCAAGCGGCAGCAGAGAAACAGCTGAAGGAGGCTCAGGGGAAGGTTGGCTGGCTTTTTCTTTTTTTCTGCTTTAAATGAGAAGTGCTTATTCATAATCGGAACCTTTTGTCCTGCATCATAATCCTTTCATTGTAACCATGAATGCTTTTCTTTCTGACAAATCCTCGTTCCGTGTCTCAGATTGACGTGCTACAAGCAGAGGTGATGGCGCTCAAGACGCTGGTCCTGACCTCCACGCCCTCCTCGCCCAACCGCCAGCTGCACCCACAGCTGCAGTCGCCGGGCACCCGAGGCTCCTACAAACAGCTCGGCCACATTCGGAACAAGAGCGCCAGTGGCGCCTTTGCAGCCACGTCCACAAAGCCGGAACCTTTATCTGTCCCCATCCAGGACGTGGCTAAAGAGGACCGAGAGGTAACCGGGATTAAGTTTATCCTCTTCTCTCTGGCCTCTTAAAGTGTGTTCCTCTTTTCCCCCTTCTCTCCTTTCACTCTGCCGCTTTGCACTGAGTGAAGCTCAATTTGCTTCTCGTTTTTCTCTCTTAGTAAACCAGCCTCTCCCTGACTTGTTCTTCCTGTCTGTCTCTGGTGCCTCTCTCTCTCTCTCTCTCAGCCTGCTGTTCCTGCCCTTCTCTCTCTGATTTTCTGCCTCCTGCCTGGCCAGCCTGTCGGTTTGAACTCTGACCCCAATTTGCAGGAGGAGGGCGTGGGCTGTGACACTGGCAGCACACAGGTAACCTCACAGCCTGCAAGTTGGACTTTTACTCTGCTGACTTTTGCTGACAACAGTTGGCATGTTTTGTGCCCAAAAGTCTGTGTTTGTAAGCCAAAGACAGCTTGTTCTTCCCCATAGCACAGATCTTTTTGGAAATACAGCTGTAATCAGTCCAGTGTGAAGAACGTCTTTCTCCAGTGAAAAAAAAAGAAGTGAAAAGTGATATGAAGTCTTACATTAGTTGAACCATTAAAAATACACCTATGCTTTAATATTAACTTTTTAGTAATGATTTTAAAATTGTGCAGGGACAGAATATTTATTCTCATGCTTAGTGGATGCAGCCACCCCTAAAAACCCACCAGCAGAACCCCAGAGACCATCCCTCAATTACAAGGTCTGCAGCCACAGCTTTCTGCATCATTTCAAAGTCACAGTGGTCAAGGGCTTTCCTAATTGGAGCAGAAAAAAACAAAACTAAATTAAACAAATGAGTATTATGTCATGGCAGCTGGGGGTGGAGTTCCCTGCTCTGCTCCACCCCTCCCCTCCTCTGCTGGCAGCTCCTCTGTATGGTCGTGGAGTTTCTTTGCAACCACACAGAAGTAAATGACAGATATACTGTTACTCTGTCATATGTTAGAGTACAGTATTTGGAAAAAAAAAGATTTAGCTGGAAGTTTGATTCTAAACACTCAATTTGTAATCAGTTCTTAAGGTTCTATTTCTCTGGATGTTTTTTTTTAAACTGGTAGGGAAAGATAAAAGTTAAGAGTTTTTAGTGGAACTTACAAGTTTTTATGTTGCGTATTAACAACTGGAAACTTTTAAATGCATAAGTAGTTTTTGAGTCTGTTGCCTTTTCAGACAGTTACAACCTTAAAGCACAGATGGCTTTTCATCTCTCATGTGTCCTGTAGTACCTTTTTTCAGATTCTACCACTAGCAGACTTCATTCATCAGGATTTAAATAGATCGGAGACATTTTTTGAGAAAGATTGTTTTGTGTTTTGTTTTTTCTTATCAGTAAATAGTTTTTCAGTGGCAGGGGTCCTGGGGTCACAGTGTTTTAATAGTGAAAATGTCCAGTCATCATGCTATTAGTTACAGTTGTAGCCCTTACTGACCTACTGGGTGGTCTCTCTCTCTCTCTCTCTCTGCAGATGGACTCGATTCTGTTTGCAGAGTTTCTGATGTGGAAGGAACACCCTAGTCTGGACAGATCTTGTGCTTTTCTAAGCCGCATTTACAGAGAAGACGTCGGGCCCTGCTTGTCCTTCACCAGATCCGAGGTCAGACACCTGCTGCCGGTTGGCCGTGCTGAGGCCTGACGTTAGGGTCATGTTGACATGCTGTCACTGTTCTGCACAGCTGTCCCAGCTGGTCCAGAGTGCAGTGGAGAGGAACTCTCTGACCATCGAACCCGTGGCCATGTCCGCGCTTCCCATGGTCAAGGCTTCAGCCATAGAGTGTGGAGGTCCTAAGTGAGTTCCCACTGCCTACAGTAGCTGCCACTCTGTCCTCTCTTTCACCCCTTAGGGGCCATTTAAACTCTGCACATTCCCTACTTTTTAATGATTTTTTGTTGTACACTAGTGAGTGCTGATCACAGTTGAAACCTTTCCACTGTCTTCACCTGAGTGGTTAAATCAAGGGTCACATTTTCTAATCTCTGACTGACCTACAATCTTGTTTGTTTTTTTTGTGCTGTTTTTTCATTTTTTTCAGTGGTTTTAGAGCTGCAGTAGAGACGTAAGTCCCCCCAGGAATCAGTCACCCATTCAGCTGCGCACTAACTCATGTTGCTCTGGCATGGATTGAGATCAGCCTATGATTTGTGATCAAATTCATACCAAAACTGTAAATGAATTAACACAGCACAGCTTTGCATGTGTCTGGATTTGCTCTCCTGCAACCTAAAACCATTTCCTCCTGCATTTTTCTTCTGAAATGAGCTTTTCCCATGAGTGTGCTGTCCAGTACCTGAAGAAGTCTAACACATGTTCAGTGTCTGTTATCATGTAAGCGTGACTTTGTGGATCTGGTTTTTGTAGCAGTCAGTTCTAACAACTGAGCATCTTTACTTGTAGAAAATGTGCATTAAGCGGCCTTTCACGGCTCTGCAGACATCGCATCAAACTGGGTGACAAGGGGAGCTACTATTACATTTCACCCTCAAGCCGAGCGCGGGTAACTTTTTTTTTTTTGTGGCTAACCCTTTATTGAAGTTATTTTCTCACATTAAAAGTGACCAATCTTTTCTGTTTGGTCTTTTAGATCACAGCAGTGTGCAATTTCTTTACTTATATCCGCTACATCCAGCAGGGCCTGGTGAGACACGATGGTAAGATGCCTTTATGCTCCTCGCTTCACCACCTATTTTCATCAGGCCGCTGATGTGTATTATTTTTGTGTGTGCCTGTGTTCAGCGGAGCAGATGTTTTGGGAAGTGATGCGTCTTCGCAGAGAGATGAACGTGGCCAAGTTAGGTTTCTACTTGACAGAGCAGAGCTAGAGGACCCTGACAGAGGCACAACAGGACAGCACCATCACAGGACTGTAATTACTCTGACACACGTCTGGGGAAGCTGTGGTGCCACGCAAGTCCTAGATCATTAAATCAGTTCTAGCTCATTTTGTGCTAAAGCAGAGATACACCGATAAGGGGAGCAGAAAATGTTAGTGTCACTTTTGGGAATGCACTTAAGACGGAATCAAACCAGCACTGAAGGAAAGGCATGAACAAACATGATTCTAAAGATTGCTCCCTTTAATGTTGCATATATTCTGCTGTTAAGCCACATGCTAGGAGACTGAACCACAGTTTTAAAGTGTCTGTCTTCATTAGTATGGAGAGTATTTGGTTTGAACCGTGTGAACTTCTCCCCGGTGGAGAACACACGATCTATAACGTTCAGGTTTCAGTGAGTGAAAACGGCACAGGGAGTTGAGTTATGGTTTACCTCATACGTTGTAACTATGCAGTCTAGTTTCTCTAAAGCAATAATTTGAGCTGTATGAGGTTTTTACGCATAAGCTTTGCTCGGTTAACAGCCCAAACATCACTCCTGACAATTCATATCTCAGCATGGCCTTAAAATGTAATGATAAAACTTGCACTATATAGTCATAAAATCATAAAGTAATCAACTTTTGAAATAAACACCTTTATTTCACATCTGATGTATTCTCATTAAAACACCTTCAGACTCCAAAAAGAGGAAGCCTAACAATGTAGACAAAGCATAAACTTTATTACATGTGATTTGCTATTGTAAAGATGTAGTTTTGCATGTTTACAGCCAATAAAAGCCATAAATTACTGTGTGGCCATGTTACCCCATAAAGAATTACCTCAGTCTGAATTTGTCATTATCTATCAACAGATTTTACAGAAGTATTTTAATGGTAAAAATGAAGAATTTTATGTTAAAAAGTGCAATAACTGCTTTTTAGGCACATTATGGGATTGAGGCTCCAAACCTCAGTGTAATAAAAAATGATCTGCATGAACAGTCCATTAAACAGAAGGCATTGTACCCTGATTATCACTTTTGTGCTTTGTCATTTATGGTTCTCAGCTGTTCAGAAAGTCAGTGACTCATCTCACTGTCATTCGTGTAAACGCAGCCCAACTGCAGGACCTGCTATCAGAATCAGGTCGTGGCTGGGAACGGCCTGCTCACATTCCCAGTGGCCCAGCAGATTTGTAAGCAGGCGTCAGGTTCAGGAAACAGAGGAAATCCTAAGACCGGCTCAGAAGTGCCTTATGGTCTAAATAGATCTGTTTTTGGAACAAACATTCCAGTAAGATTTTTAGTTTCCGGATTGACGCGGCTTCTGTTTTCACAGCCTCTTTGTACGGATTAAAGTTGACCTGAAGGCAAAAGAAAAAAATACTTCCGGGCACTGGTAAAGTGTGTAGTCAGGGAATCTGTCAGCAGGTCATTAGGCATTTAATGCCCCTACAGTCTGTTTTATATAAAGGGGAACAGTAGGAACATTGCAACAAAAATTAAGACTCTGACTAACTGTTGCCCTGGCAACATTCAGCAGTGATCAGTTCTTCTGCTTTTGGGAAATATCTGCAAAGAGCAAAGGCCACCAGTTTATTTTCAGGGATGAGCAGCGAGCCTTAATTCTGTGAGACTTTTGGATATTACGTTAGTAACGACATAATGTGTTGTCAGCAAAAAGAAGGGCTCCCTCACCTGCGATAGCAGATCATGATCATCACCAGCGCAGCTGCCCCGCCGATCACCACCATCACTGCAGTGGCGATGGAGACGGGCGACAGCGGCCGGCCCTCTGGAGCACAGCAGGACATGGACAGGGTCAGGAGCCACAGACCCAGGGGGGATGTGTCACTACTTTAAACTGACCACAACCTACCTGAGCAAATAAAGGAACCGGCTGTGTTGAAACACTCCAGGTGTTGTGGACAGGGGGAAGTCGTTTCTTCACATTCATTTATATCTACAAACAGATGATTGTGATGTGGATTAATAATCTTAAAACTGGCCGTATCTTAACATTTAACATATGATTCTTGGAGCTCCCATAATAAAAGTCAAAGGGAATCCCGAGCCATGTTGTGCTCTGGTCCCCACCAGCCTCCCGTTGTTCCGGCCTGTACCTTCACATGTGGGCGGTGCTGAGCTCCACTGCTGGCTGCTGGGATCACAGCTGACGGACGCAGAGCCCAGCAGCTTGAAACCAGAGTGGCACTGATACAGAATCCCAGAGGTGCAGAGCAGGGAGTAACCGGATTGAATCCTGGGTATTGGACCACAGCTGGGATCTGAAGGAGAGCAATTTAAAAAGGAGACCCTGATTTCAAACCTGTGCCTTCGTTATCTTTTTTTCCTCCTCACCTGTGTCTGGTTCCTTCCAAGGCCTGAGGTCGAGTTGGGGGATGAGCGGGTGGGAACAGGCCAGCATATCGGCTGGGCTCTCAGTGCGAGAGAACGGGTCAGCAGGGACCTGCGTGATGTGACTGTTGTCACATATGATGCGAGACAGAGAGACGGAGTGCAGCTGTCTCCTCTGAGCGCTGGTGAACACCCCTTCCCTCTGCCACCAAAACCTTGGCGTTCAAATACAGACTCAGGTTTAATTCTCGGTAAAAGCGGCGATAGACTTTCCCACTCTGTCCGGCTCCTACCTGTCCCCGTCTCTCAGCGCTCTGAACTGTCTGGCCAGCAGGCAGGACAGCAGCGGTCCCACTCGACCCCCGGGGAGGGCGGGCTCTGAGATGGCCCCCACCCACACGTCAATGTTGTGTGGAGTCCCGTATAAGAGCTGGAATTTGTGGGCCAGAGTGGAGCTGCCTAAAATGTCAGCTAGTTCCGAGCTGGTGTTGGGAACAGAGAGGTTGCAGAACCTTCGCCACGAGCCGTAGCCTGGGGGAGAGGGTCAGAGGTTTCACGGCGGAAAGACTATTTAGGAGTAAAGCTGATGAGGTGAGAGAGCAGGTTACCTGGCAGGCCGTGGTCCCGACCCCTCTGGAGGTTCAGGGCACCCAGGTCCAGAGGCATCCCTCCCTGGGCCTGGAATAGCCTCTCCGTCAGCTCCTCCACCATCATCTGACCTGGAGTCTGCAGCTTGGCAGGAGACAGCAGCAGGCCGCGCAGCACCGGGTCAATGCCTCCTGAAAGACGGGAGGCACTGCGGTACAGACACAGAAAAGCTCTCGTCTGGGTGAGGAAAAGCGGCACCGTCCTGCTTTACCTTCCCGCACGACCCTCCACGAGGCGAACAGCGAATGGTGCAGAGCCAGCGGGGGGTACTGGTGGCTGAGGGAGTACCCGGGCCCCAGGCGGCTGACCACTGGCTGCACCGTGACGTGAGCGAAGCGGAAAGCGGCTGTCGCAAACACGTTGGCGATGCTGGGGTCGACTTGGGGATCGTAGCCCTGGTAGGGAGGCATCTGACCAGACATGGCGCTCTCACCGAGGACCCGCGGCAGGTAGTGCTCCCAGGTGAGGATCTTGAGTGGTGAGGGAGGAGGGATGGTCAGAGGGAAGACGGTGCTCAGGGTCAGAGGTGAGAAAGCCTGGGCTGTACCTGGTGAATGGCTCCTATGAGCTTGCGGGCCTCCTGATAGAGCGTGTCGGGGCTCCAGTGAGGGTTGAGGAGGTACAGCTCTTTGACCAGGCGGTTGTGCTCTCTCAGAAAGAGTGTGTGCAGCGCGATCAGTCCCAGATGTTCGTTGGCTCTGGAATCACCTGTGATGGGAACAGCAGCTGCTTTAGTGCGTGCAACGAGAGCTCGGTTCCGTGCATTCAGCCGCTCACCAGCGTGAAAGCAGGAGGTGGTGTTCTCCCGGCGTGCAGCCCCGCCCGGGGCGGCTGAGCGGGTGGAGTTACGCGGGCCGCAGGGGTCCAGGTGCGCCTGCACGCGGGGGAGGAACGGCATGTGCGCCAGCTGGCTGTCAGAGTGCTGCGAGTTGACCGCCATGGCGCCCACAGGAGAGGAGAGGTTCCTGAGAGCAGAGGCCAGGCCCTCGGAGCTCCCGTAAACCATGCTGGCGTCCACAAAGGAGGTGATGGCGTTCAGCTGCTCCCGGTGGCGTCCAGGCCGAACCCTGGAGCCGCAGCTGGGAGCAGAGCGGAAGAAGGGCATGCAACTCTGCAGGCCGTTACGGGGGTCAGACGGGGGGATCTAGGAGGAACTTTTAAGTGTTAACTTTTTCTGCTACTGCTTGAGAAGTGACAAATGCTGTCATTTAAACTCCCACCTATCACTAAAATCCTTTCCTCTGCTTGGTTTTGAATGAATTTATTTCTGAGGAAACGTCCAGAGAATTCTGACTAACTTTAGTGCACAGCCTGCTTCATCCTCAAGTTAAAGAATGAAATGAAACGGCTCCCACACCTGGATAGGGAAGCAGGGCGTGTCCCTGATGCAGGTGTGGCTGCAGTCAGCCCCGGTCTTAAAGGCGGCTGTGCTCGGGCTCTGGGGGGTCAGCACCATGTCGTGGTCTATCCACTGACCCCAGTCCACCAGCAGGTGGGACAGCGTGGAGTCCACAGAGATGTTGTCATTGTGAGTGAACAGCACTTCCTGTGTCACCAGCCTCACCTGGCAAACAGACGAATCAAACAGTGTGGGGGTGGCTGGGGTTAACGGAGACTGAAAGGATACGGGGTGGGGGTGGGGGGGACCAGGGGCTGCTGCGGGGGTCTTACCGGGGGCAGGCTGACATTGTGGTAGGTGTGGTTGGGCCCCCATCCTCTGGGCATCCCCCACACATCCTCGTATTCTGGAGCCAACCAGCGGGAATACGGGATGTTCGCAGACCCCCATCTTGGATGTTGTCTGAAAATGAAAAAAAAAACACAGGAGGAAAAAGTCAATGAGGAACCCTGACAGAATAACACCAGTGTCTTGTTACAGATGCTTGACCTGTTGTTGCAGTCTCCTGTGATGGACCTGTAGCGCTGGGACACACAGTCTGTGTGACAGCTGAGAGTGTGCAGCTCAGCGGAGCAGCCCGTCATCTGCAGCAGGTTCCCCACGTCCTCATCACTCAGCAGCTCTGTGTGCACGGACAGAAAATCCCAGTGATGCAAAGAAATCCCCACCTCTGATGGATCATTTTTAGTACTCTGAAGTCAGAACATCTTTTGTAATAGGCACTAGAAGTTTGGTTATACATTCATCACTGAGCAGCTGAAAGTTGACATCAAAACAGATCTGAGCATTCCAAACTTTTTAAAAGCTGTTCCAAGTGCAAAATGCTCCACTGAAACAAATATGACCCCCAGCTGCAGACACACCTACGTAAATCGTGTCATGCGGCAGGTCCGTACCGTAAGGATTGGGCTGCACCATAGTGTTGGTGTAGACCATCTCCCTGATCAGCTCCACCGTGTTATCCAACAGTTCAGCTGCCCGGATCTGAGTCCTGGTTTTGGCTTCAATCTGTTTGAACTGGGCCAGAAGGTCACTGGGTCTCAGTGCACCTTCAGAGAGAGACTTCTTCCCCCTGGAAATGTTGATTCATGTTTAGTGCCATTTGCAGAGGATTGCTTATTGGTTTACACTATGATGACTCTGTTGTAGATATTTTTCAGACCATAATAAAAAATGATGAAGACTTTTTACCTTTCACTTGTGTGAGCATAAGCAGCGTCAGTCAGCTCAATCGCCCGCTGAAGAGCCTCGTCAACATATGCTGACCCCAGATAAAGAGGTCCTGAGAATGTGGACACAGTTAGAGTGGCTCTCGAGCATCTGTTGCCTCAAATAACAATCGAAGAGGAAACCTACCTGAAGTGTTGTCAAACACTCTGTTCAGGGAAGCGTGTTCGGGGAAGGAGAGCAGGAAAAGAGCGAGTCCAATCAGGGACGCAGACACCTGAGGTGGGACATAGCAGTCAATGTTGAAAGTGCAAAACAGTCTGATCATTTGAACAAAGGAGAAAAATCAACAACTCACAAGTACCGTGTCCATCTAGATCCTGTAAACTGTTCAGTCTGTGCAAACAGAAACAAACCCCACTCGCAGTACCTTACAGCTGTGCTCACTTTGGCGCATCTTGAGAGGGAGAGGATCGGGGATGCTATGTATACAGAGGCGGCGGGGCCAGCAGGTATGTGCAGAATCCCCTTATCTGTACTTCTGGTGACAGGAAGGCAACATCAAACACTGGACTCACTGCCTCAACCTAATAACATTTCAAATCCAATTTACTTCTGTCCTCTTGCCAATGATGAAAACCCTCTGTCAAATCAACATTTCAAATTATTTCTCTGACTTTACTCATCCAGAACAGATGTAGATCAGTACACAATACACAAAGAGGCAGCATACGATGCACGCGATACAAGTTTAAAAAGACAGCCTAATAGTTCATCATCTCCAAGTGGGTAAAACAAAACAAGCGTGTCTGTGTCTTCCACACAGTGACACAGAAAGATGTGGGATTTGGAAAACATGATCTCTGTATGAGGGAAAAACAAAAACATTAAGTAAAGCTGAGTTAACTTGAATCAGGGTGACATGAATCATAAAGGGTGGCTGTGTCCAGTCTGAGGCTTTAAAGGTTAAATGTGAAACACTAGGACTTTCCTGGGGCCTCTAGTGTCTCTTTGATGCTCCAGGTGTGTGATAGCATCAAATGAGTCATCAGTCCCATTTCATTACGCTGTAATTAATCTTATCTCGGCTGACCCACATTACCCATCTTCTACTGCATGCACTGGAAGGGGAGAAGAGAATAAAAGACAGAATAAAGGCTCCATTTTGGACTCTTAAGTATTCGGTTTTTAAATTCCAAACGTAAAACATTTTTCATGATACCAAGAACGCACCTTTGAACTGAACAGCTCTGAAGTAAAGAAAGGTAAATAATTAACATGTATGAATATTCTGAGAGCAGATTCAGCACCAGTCAATGCCTGAATTTGTTGTTTGGAATAAAGTAAACCAGAATTGTGTCTAAATTCAAAAGGCTCCATTCATACCCATGCTCCACTTTTAATGCACATTTTGTGAAAGTCAGCTTGATGAGCAGAAACACACTGCAGATATTACGTTTATAGAAAAATGCAACAGCATAAGTGAGGTATTTATGGCTCCAAAACTGTAAAGCTGATCGTCCTCACATTCACCACAAGCTTTTCAACCTAAATACAAAAATATAACGATACAGGGTTTTTCACAGACAGCTTTTATTAACATAATATTACCAGGTTAGAACGATAAGACTGCATTTAATTTTTTTCAACAATTATTCGTGTCAAAACAGAAACATCTGATTTGAACTACAAAGATACAGGACATGATATATTTAATAGCCTCTTTATGCAAACATGTCAGTCTGAAATATGAAGTCAGTGGATTGAGGATCATTTAAACACGGTTCTTCTTTTATTATAGGTACATTCATCTTACATGGTCAGGTCTGATGAATATCACTGTATAAATGAACTTACAGCCTGGACGTCAGTTAGTGGGAAGACTTGCAGTGAGTGTTATTTGAATGATTCCTGCTGTGAGCAGGAGTTAGGCGTGCTGAGACCAGAGGAAGCGATCACACCGCTCCAACATCGTCTGTATTATCGCCCTGAAACAGAAAACAAAACCTCTGTCATTCCACAGGCTCTTTGTGACAAAAGCTAATCTTATCTGATGTGTCATTTTAGCCATCTTGGTATTAAAAAGCCAAATTTTACGACAAAAATGTTAATTGGACGCACCTAATTTGTAACACAGGGACCAGATGTTCATTGTGTTATACATCCCATGTTATCTGAGTTAGTTCAAACAAACTGAATTTCAGAGAATTGGTCAGGCGCTGCATTAAACCTTGATTTTTAATTTTGCCTGGGCAATGTTGATTGTTTTCTCCATATTTGAACTGCGGGCCAGTCTGATTATGTCTCTGTGATCTGATCAACCCACCTCTGTCTGGTCTCAGCCACTCTCAGGAGCTCACACACCAGTTTGGATTGGGCTGAAAGAACCAGCTGCACGCCACATTCCTCCAGCACTGCCAGGGCCCGGTCAGGCCCGGCTGTCCGGGCCAGCAGGAGGGTCAGACTCTCTAGGCTGATCTTTCCTTCGCTGTCCGCTGAGCTATTGGACCAGTTGCTCCCATTCACATCTGTGAGCTGCTGCGAGTCGGCCCCGCTGATTTGCTGCTGGGACAGCTGGATAAGGAGCTTCCACTCATCCAAGCTCTGTGGCTCAACACCTGGAGCACAGCAGCACAGTATGAGCACAGTCATTGCGGTGAATAAGGTTTAGGAAGGATTAAGGAAGCCTTGATATGAGACAACATGCAGAATTGATCTGTTCATTAAAAAAGAAAAAGGAAACAACGATATTGTGATGTACCAATTTAAATGGGTGAAAATATTTGAGCTGTCATCACAACAAACAAACAAAAGGCTGAATGCGTTTGCCTGAACCCGATGAGACAAATACACTTCATGTGGATTTAAACTTGCAAAAATCAAGTTGACAATGGCTCCAGTATCAGTTCCTTTATTTGCCTCCAAAATTCAACGGTTCAGCTCATTTTTAGGTCACAGCTGCAACTTGGTAACATAAATTTAGAATGATTTAGTTTTGACCACAAAAAAGACGACTTCCAGTTTTTTAAGAGAAAAAGGTGGAAAGACTTCTCATAATTTCAGCTTCAGTTTTTAAAAGAAAAAAAGCAAACCTAAATTGCATTAAAAGACAATTCTGAGGGGATTCGATCTTTTAACTATTTGAAATTAGGTATAAAGTGCAATCATGATTAGCATTTACATGCTGACTCTAAAGTCAATGCCTGTTAGAGCAAAGTGCTATGTCTCCCTCCTGAGAACACTTGGGTTTCAGACTAAATGTGTTGTCTGCCTCCTTTGTTTTCTAACTTTACCTATTATGACTCCAGCTTTTTGTATCAGAGTAAAAACACAGTATTTATTTTATTTTTAATACGCGTGTGCATTTAAATAGCTTTCAAACTGTTATGGGGAGCGCTTTTACCATCGGGCTCCTCCAGCAGGGTGATGTCATCCAGCTGACAGATGGAGGAGAACGCCTCTGAGCGACGCTGCAGCTCTCTGCAGAGGCAGAGGTAGCCCATCCAGTATCTGCATGACACAGACAAAGCTCAGGTCATTCTACAGCACATGACTGTAAAACTCACCAAATATTAAGAGCACAACATGACTGATGACCAGAGTAAGACAAACAGAATTACCCGTGAGTGCGACAGGTCTCGGCCATCTTCTGCTTTGAGGGAAAATCTGCAGGCAGTCGAATCAGCAGAGACAGGAGACGTCCATACCCCCAGCTGAAGCAGTGGGAATGCCACCTGGAGCAGGAAATGCATATGATATTTATCATCGTGCTCCACTTTCATCTATGGGTTAAAAGAATCAGCTCCTTCCGCTCACTTCCAACTGTGACAAGATTAGTCTCTCTTTGAGCTACCATAGCTTTGGCACACCAAATCCCAATCGTGTTGTGGTTACCTGGGCTGTCCCTCGGGTGTCATGGTGTCACAACGCTGAGGAGCATCATGAGTAAGTGCCAGCTCCAGCCACTCCTGCCTCAGAGATTCAGGGTCAAGAAGCGACTGTAAAAATGACAACCTAACACAAAAAAGAGACATTTTTAATCATGGGGAGTTTTGTTGCTTTATGTTGTCGACATGAAACCAAAGGTGTACCTGTGCTCTTCAGCTCTTGACTGCACCAGATTATCCAGGTATGCCAGGAAGTGGCTCCTCTGAGCCATTGTCATTACGTCTGCTGGAGTTATTGTGGGATAGAACTGGGAAAAGGAGCGGACAGCTGCCTCTCCGTGCTTGTCATACAGCCTGAATAACAGAGCAGAAAACACTTACTCCCAGAACCACTGAATTTCATGTGTTGCATCAGTGAAAGGCTGCTGAAAATTCAGGCTCCGAGATTAAAAATAACACTGATATGCAGCCCCGAGTTCTGAGGTCAGCAATGTTCAGAGAGCATGTTCAGAGAGGGAGTAATGACAAAACAGCTCCTCCAAAGTACCTCTCTGAAGTGATCACATTTTTGATTAAGTCATATGTTGACAACATCCAAAAGAAGAGCAGGTGTTCACCTGTGCAAGTGAGCGAGGAGAAGAGGTGCCCCCCTGGGCTGCAGCTCTCTGAGGCTGCGCAGGGATTTCAGTAAATCCCCCCGCTGGATAACCTCCACCACCTTACTGGACTGAGTGTATTCTGGAGACAACAAAAGGCATTCGTTTCAATAATCTAGGTCAAATCTATCATTATCGCTAATATTTTCCCTATTTTTCAAATTCAAACATGTTATTTTATTGATTGTCTGTAGATGATGCTATATTACTATTCCGCCTATATTTCCTTTCTTTTTTTCTAGTGAGTGATACGACTGAAAGGCATGTCCTGACCTATCATGGCCTCAATGAAGGAGCTCCTTATCTCGCGCTGCTCCTGGTAACACAGCAGGCACATTCTTCTCACACGCTCTTGATCCAGGAGAAAGAAATAACGACGCAAGAAGGTTGTGCATCCCGGAGCCTTGTTCTGCTTTCTAAAACAGCTCAGTTCAGTGTAGAGAGTGGCCAGCTCTGTGAGATTAATGAGGAGATCTGAAGGTACAGGTTTAGGGGACGCCACTCTGATAGACTCCAGTTGAACATTTTCAGCCAAGCTTGTTTTCTGTTGGTCGTCACACAGGAGCTCCTCTTCTTCAGAGGGATCTGGTGAGTCTTTCTTCTCCTCTTTCACAACCTCAGCAGAGTTTCCTTTTCCATCAAAACTGGGGTTTAAATTATCCTTGTCCCAGCTTTCCTCTCCTGAACAATCCAGGTTTGAAGCACTTGCTGTTGCTGGCCTGAAATCAGCAGGGCCGAGTATTCGCTCCAGGACCGGCAGCCACTCCAGCAGAGCTTCTCCCAGGCAGACCGGATCCAATAACACCAAAGGATCTTGTATCTGTGACCTGATGTTGGGGGAAAAAAAAAAAAGCTTTTAAAATAAAGTCAATGCATGCGACCACTGAAAACTGGGAAAAGAAAAAAAAAACTGAATAGAATCTGGTAAAACTCACATAGCTCGCTCAGTTGCTGCCTGAAGTTCTTGCATGTCAGCTTCTGTGTTCGATGATTCATCATAAAATCTGTAAAAAAGAAATACTAGCAGTTTTTTTTTTGTTTTGTTTTTTTAAATCAGGCTTGCTTTAAGTGAGATATTCACCAAAAAAGGACAATTCAGAGAATCCCTCGCTTAATTTGTAACAGCTGTAAAGCATCTATGCACTCACTCATTCTCCATCTCCTCTGCGTAGGGACTGGTGCCGGCTAACGTCTCTGCCAGCCCGCTGTCTCTGAATTCAGGTCGTTGCCAGAGCTCAGAGTTCATCTGGAGGGTGTTGATCTTTTCTGTTGTCTTCTTGACAAAACTAGAAACACTGATAGTAAAAAAGCAGAAAAACAACCATCAACCAACGACTTCTAGCTAAATGGATTTCACAGTGTTGCAGCGTAGCAACAGTGAGATGAGTGATGCTCAGAAACAAAACACAGATGTGCATGTGTCAGTAAAACTAAGACGTGGGTCTTCAATGGAAAGGGGAAGTAAGCTCTCAGGAAGGACATCTGCGCTTGGGTTTCGATTCTCATTCTTTAAATTTAACTCTAGGCAACATGTCTCTATGGAGACAACTGCTGTGAAAACTGCTTTTACTGTTAGCATGTCACCATGTGCATGCACGTTTTTCCTTGCGTGGTTCTTCACCTGTCTTTGACGGCCTGCAGTGCGATGCGGGGAGGTTTGGGACGGAATGAAAGCGGGAGGTGGAACTGCAGGCCTTGCTCAGAGCGATCGGCCTCTGTGCGCTCGCTGCTCTGTGGATCTGAGTACAGATGGAGGCAAGAATGGGAGGAAAAACACAGGTGGATGGAATGCTGAAGGGGAGTGATGAGAGGCAGTGGACGCAATGCAAGCGGAGGGAACAGATGTAACAGACAACACTGTAGAGGAAATGTAAATCAAATTCTGCGCAAAATGACGAACAGAACCAAAATAGTGACGTGTGTGACACCATGAAACAGATGAAAAAGTTGAAATTAGTCTTTCGGCAAGGTGAAGCAAGCCCATCACCACGGTGATGGTTCAGCAGCAGCAAAGCAGCATTTGTAATTAAATCTTTTTTATAACACAATTAGAAACAAATCATACCGACATTAGAAACAGGTAAACATGATCCATTTGAGAGACCAAGAAGTCAAAGAGTCAAATTATTGTCAGTCCTTTTAACAATGAATATTAAACCTGTCAAAGTTATAACCAAATCCAATAATTTCATTTTGTTTAATTTAAGTGAAACTGAAAATAATTTTATTCTTTTTTAATATCAAAGTCAGAAGAGGCAGAAAAGAAGCGTGGTCCTGCTAAAAAAACAAACGAATCACATAAAGAAAGAGAACAAAAAACAGAGTTAAAGGTAAATAAATGAAACCAGACAGTGTTAAATGGCAACTAAAGTAATTGTGATTAATGTCTTTTGTATGAGAGCAGCTGGAAACACAGTGATAATTCTGTACACCAGGATGCCTCTTCCACATGAACATGTAGTCAAGTAATTTATGAACAACTCCCAAGTTTTTCACCAAATGCAGCATCTGCGCATCTTACGCACTCCCATTGAGTGTGTAAACCTCAATGGGACTTGTTTAAACATCTGTTTTGCAGCTTATAAAGTGAAATTATACAAATACTGTCAATAACATCCTGGATACCGCCTCTTACCATGGTCCACTTGATCTTCCTCCTGCACAAAACTGAACTCTTTTAGCCGCTCCTCCTCGGACATGGACTGATTGATGAGGGAGCTCGTCTCCTCGTCGGATTGGCTCCCTCTACGGCTGATCACACGATAGATACCACAGTCCAGGACATTGAAGCTCTCCTAGTGAATGTAGTTATCAAACGTCCCAGTTATTAACTCACATTAATAAAAATATCATCAATGAATGTGTCTTTTCACAATAGAAAAACTGTACAGGTTAACATCAACAAACTAAGGTGGAGGCTTAACAAAAACACATGTTCAGGTCAAGTGGAATGTCTAGATTAAGAGAAAATTCATGTATCGCATGTCATTAGACAGACGTACTACAGTAGTTATGCATCTACTTAAAAAACCTCAATATAATTCATACTTAAACTGTGAGTTTTAAGACCAGGTTCACCAGATTCAGAAATGAAGATGTCGCTGGATAGATAATAAAGATGTAATGTTGGCTAAAAGCAGATAGGATATTTGTTACTAATCACCTTAGCAACACCAAGGTTTTAATTTGTCAACATTTGTCCTCTCTGTCAAACCTTTTATGCTTAAAAACCTGAATTGTACATGTGAGGAGATGCTGCTTCTGCGGCTGCTGGAAGCAGAGTCCAGTGGCTCCAGCTTTGCAACGACTTCCTCCAGCTGACCGATCAGCTCCGGGTGTGTGCTGTGACTGAGCTGACACTTCACATGTTCCAGGCGGTCAATGGGAATGGACTTCCTGGCCTGATTTGAATATTGAGGTAAGAATTATGAATAGAAAATATCTTATTCAAAGAAAAACTGATGAACTTTCATATATAACAAATGAATTGCTTGTTGCGACACTTTAGACTATAAAGCAAAAGGGGGGTTATTTTCTATAACGTCACATTACTGTGTGTATTAAACACTAAAATCCTGAATCACAAAGGTGAGGCCATCGTACCCTGCTGGTGGTGACTGCGTGTTGGAACATACAGCAGACGGCAGCAGCTACAGTCCAGGATTCCCTGCGCAGCAGACGTTCAACACAGCGCTCTGCAGACAACAAGGACAGGTGGGACAGACGCCCGCTGCCATGCAGACAGAAGAGCTCACTGCGGTAGACTGCCACATCTGCCAAATCTGGAAAACAAACGGAGAAAAAAAAAAGAAACTTTAAAAATATTTCAATCCATGATGTATACACAAGACAATGAAACCCCTGTGAGCTACATCTATTAGAATTGAAATGTTTATTAAGTTATTACTGGAATCGGAACTGGAATTTTGGGAGAAAGCAGCACAAACACCTTTCATTTCAGTCCACAGCAGTATTTGACCATTCTGAGGCGTGAAGATATAAATGGCTGAATCGGTCCAGGTCAACAAGTTTTGGTCTCTAAATAGATAAGAGAGGTCTTTAGTTAGTCAGGTGATGGGTTCAGGGGCAGAGAACGTCATCTTGAAAACACAAACAAACAAAAGGCAGATCAGATTACCCAAAATAGAGCAGTTTAGGGAAGGCGAGCGACTGTGGACTCCTCTGCACTGGACTGTAATTTGGCTCATTTCTGCAGAGAGAGGTCAAAAGGAAATAAAATAAGATTATCTGATTTTTAACAGAGATTCATAGGTGAGAGCCCAACATACCTGTAAGTGATGAGAGGTAATGGGGGACATGCCAGTAGCTGTTTGAATTGATGGGTGCTCAGAACCTCGCCATTAAAACTAGCCTCCCATATTCGTGACCCCGGCCGGGCACAGTACAGCAGCGGGGGCTGACCTACTAATAGTCCCCTGTTCTGAGGGAAAAAACAGGCTCCATACTCCCCGTCACGTTCCTTATTTCCAACACGCCAGAACTTTTCCCTGAAGGTAGACATAAAAAATACTGAACCACTGAGATTTGCTTAAGGCAGAACTACCCTTTACCAGTGACAGGACAAAGAAAATAAATGAATACATGTTACTTTCAATAGCTTGATTTTCTCTACAGTTTAACAAAAAAAAAAAATATTAATATTTTAAACATGAAATGGCAGAAGCTTTGGATTAATAGCAAATGTTAACATATAAACGATATGGATCTAAAAAAAATCCTAAATAGCAAAAATAAAGAACTAAACCTAAATTGTTGATCTAGTGATGTGAATCATCACTGTGCCGACTGTAATAGGAAGGTTTCAGATCTTCTGAAAAAAGGCCATTCGTGGGAATACATTGTTTTCAATATTGAACTTTGCCACAGTGATTCAAATGATCTGGACTAAAATAATACACAGCCATTCCAAACACACAAATTATGTCCTTTAATAAGAAATGCATTTTAACAAATATTTTTGAAAAATACCCTTGTTTACCCCCCAGAGATGAGATCAGGCACTCACCTCTCTGTGTCGCAGAGGTAGCAGCGACTCAGGGAGGACACCAGCAGGCGGCCATCTTGATACCCCAGCTGAACCACTCGAGAGTCCACAGTGGTTACAGTCTGGACAGGGAAGATGACGAATGCAGACCCCTAAATACAAGAAACTAAAATCGAATAATTCCGCATGGCATCCATTTTAGGTATGAATTTGAAAAAATCACAACAGAACTGTCGCACAAACAACCAGAGGCAACCCAGGGAAAGATTCATCCGCTCAAGTAAAACCAGTCAGTTTCTACCTTGCCTAATTTACTTGAACCCGCCCGCAGAAACGACACTTTGCCTCCAGAGTCCCCGACAAAGACTCTGAGCGCGCTGGTATCCCAGCAGAGCGCCGTGACGTTGTGACCTCTGTGCTCCCAGGACACGCTGACTCTCTCTGGACGGCCGCGGCGCTCCAGCTGCAGCTCCCACACCACCACCAGACCCTGACTGCAGACCACCAGTAACAGCACAGGCAGTCCAGTTAAGCACAGAAATCAATCCACACACAACCTCAAAAAATTCCTTTACAGCATGGACAAATTCACCTTGTTGCGACTGCAACGAAATCTTCATCGTGAGGGCAGCAGGCCACCTGAGTGATGGATCCCTCCTGAGAACACAGGACCCACGTCGCAAGAGGAGTTCAAAACAACTATTTTCAACTGGGCCAGCTGCCTGGAGGCTCTCAGTCCCACCTTGTGAGTGAGGATCAGCCTCTGTTTCCAGCCCTCCCTCTGGATCAGATGTAGACCTCCGGCTGATGTTCCCAATGTGAGCCACTTCCTTGACACCGCCACACAGGTACACTGGTTTAAAAAAAATAACATTAAAAACAGAAAACAAACAATCTTTAGCTAAATATTTATGTTATGGATGGTCTATCACTTTCTGCTGAGCCTACCTTCAGCCTGCCCGAGTCCAAACGTAGAGCAGAGAGAAGTGGATCCAGGCAGTCAAACTCTGCCAGTACGTGGCTGTGGTTCTCTGGCACAACTGGTATCAGAGGCATCTTCTCTGTTGATCCATTAAAGACGAGCCACAGAAGCAGAAATGTATGAAGGTGTAAATGTTATGGATCTCACGAGTGTGTTTTTCTTGAATACCATGGCCTTCAGCTATGTCACATGACTTTCAGCAGTGCACCTACTCTGTCAAATTGGCTGGGAGTGACTCCACTTTAGTCTGCAGCCGGGAAAAAATGTTTCCTCCCATCTTGTGTAAAACATTAAAGATCCAATATGAATTTTCATTTCAATTTGCTAGAATTGCCTGTTTTTTCAAATCAGTAGCACCATGAGAATGATACTGAATTTAGCAACTGCATGAAGAGAAAACCTCATAAATAAAATCCACAGTTTTTCCATTCTCAGCACACTGAATATTCTGCTCCGAGTTCAATTTAGCCTTTAAATTAAGTAAGAAAAACCCATTTCTACTTTAACAAAACTTGTTTTTTTATAACTAATTCTCTTTAAGTTGTCCTATCGAAAAGATTTGGCTTTGATACTCTTGTTTTTGTTGTACATCAGTCCATGAGGAAGCAGAAGTCAGACTGAAGCTGGAAGTGGTCAGCGCTGGCATACAGCCTACTGCAGGCAGAGACAGTAAACTTTCACCTCCAACTAAAAGCACTCTCCAGTCTGTGCATTACAGTGCAGACTAACCATAGTTTAACTGATCTGTAAAAAAAACAAAAAACAGATACCAATATAAAACTGGGGCTAAAAATCCTGCAGCTCAAGACAATACCTAACCTCTCCAGGGCTGAACCCAGAGAAGCTTGGTTTTGAATGTTTATCTGCACCCAGATAAACTAATTAAATATCAATGACATTATATTTCATCTGACTTGCTCAGTAAAACTGAGGCATCCAGACAGCAGACTGACATGAGTTCTTCGACTGTGTTTGTATTAAAGTAAGCACTGCAAAGGAGGGCAGCAAATAATTAATTAATAAATTAATTGCCACCTATTGAAATCTCTTTGATCCCAAATGCATGTTGTTTAAGTGGACATAAAAACATTTGTATTGTTTTTGGAAAATACCATGATCAGTTTAACCATATATATTTATGCCAAAAAACAACCAATACATACAGAAAATTACAGAGTGAAGCTGATAGTTTTAATTCCCAAAGGGACAAAAACAGCCTTTTACTACTGTTAACCATAACCAACATCGTAAAGAAATATCACGTTTGAGGTTAAACCACGTATTTGTAAAGTAACTGCAACTTAATACACGTACAAACGATGTTTTTCTGGACTTTAAACTTTAAGGACAGCGTGAGTGATCATTTGCCCGGTTATCTTAAAGCATTAGCAGATATTGATCCAAAAAATAATGCAGATGTAAGCTAGAAAAACTCAGAACGTTCCGCTCGACATTAATAACACATGTCAACTAATAATAAAACAAAACAACTTGGGGGTTCGCATTCCAGGCGGACTAGAGTAAAACGTGTTTGGGGCAGTATTTTCCAGCAGAGTAATGTTTGTGTGGAGGCTTTCTGCACAGCCTGCTGTCACCTAACCGGGGAGGGGGCGAGCCGTTCATGGCAGCCCGCATCACGAGACCCGTCAGTTAAGCCCGCTCCTAACGGTAAAAAATACCAAGCGGTGCAGGTTATTTAATCTAGAACATTCTCACGTTTACAAAAAAATGTCATTTATGAGGAGAAATCTCCGCACCGCCTTCGGCTCAGACTGCTCCGGTAAGTGGTTAGCAAACGTGCTAGCGTTCACCGGGGGGTGACAGCTAGCCCCGCCGCTGTTCGGTCAGGTCAACTCACCGGCTGGGTGGAACAACACTGCTGCGTTACCGCGTGGAAAAGCAGAGCCAACTCCGCTTTTCGACGCCTGTCTTTGCGGCGTTTATGCGGAAAAAGTCGGCGGTCAGCTTCACGTCGCTGTCGGGACGCCAGCCGACCGCCCCGTGACAGCAACACTCAGCTGATGTTTGAACACTTCCTGAAAGCGGCGCGTCACATTCCCCACAGCCAGAACCCAAACTAAACCGGCCTCCTAATTTGATCATATTTACACTGCAGACACGACCCCTCGCTAATGATTAATTAGCACGTGACACATGGGATGACTGGCCACCCGACCAAAGTGAAACACTGTAATTCTAACAGACAGTGGCATGAGCAAAAGCCCCACTTTAATTCTTACGTTTAGTCTTTGACATTACAAACCAGCGAGTGTGATTTTAGTCACACTCTAATGCACGCCAAAGTGAAATGACTTAAAGGTATTGCTATTTTCACAGGCCTTCGTACTTTCTTGAACAGTAGTCCACATATTGCTCCTGTGTTCAGAGTTCCTCTTTCGCCAGCCTTTTCTCTACAGTGATGAAACGCGCTGGCCATCCTCTGCCTGCATGTCACACCTCAGTCTGTTGTCCTGAGAACCACGTTTTTGTTGAGGATTTTCAACTGTAGTTTGGTCATGTTACACAATTTTTCTAACTCCCATTCATCCTCACTGAAAAGTATCTCTTTATCACAGGGGAAACATAAAGAAAAAGAATGAAAGCAATTAGTTATTTGTGATTGAGATGCAGTAAAGTCTCTGTAGAACATTTGGGGTTGTAGCAGCGTCCTTCCATGTCCTCAAAGCCCTTGTGAACCATGTTCCACCAGGCTGTGGTGTTAGGTTTACCCACAGCAGTCCAGAGGATCAAGGCAGATCATTCCTCCATACTTTAATGTCTCTTGTGATTTATAGTTGATCACCCATCACAGGTCAGGTTTTTCTCATCATCCGACGGGTCTGCCAGATGTGGAACTTGCTATAGGCAGTCTGCAACATGTCCTCCAAGTGTCCTGTGAACTGTGCAAAAGAGAAAGATTGTTAATAAAAGGCCACCTGGTGAGGGCCTTTGTTTCACAACGACCACCTCACACTCACGTTTACGCTTAAGTATTGGCGCTGAAGTTTCTCCTGAAACGGACGAAGCTTTGTCACCTGAAATCTCTCCAGGTTTGACTTCATTTTCGTCACCTGTAAGAAAAACACGAGAACAAAACTAAACCACACTGCTTAAGGCAGTGAACACTTTGTGGGCAGAAATTTTGTTTGCTTTGCTTTTTAATCAGAAATGGAATTTCTCATGATGACAACATAAAAAAAAAAAGAAAACCAAAAGAAACTGGAAAAAAAAAGACTCACCTTTTCCTCCAAAAATGGTGTATTCACAGGGAAACAGGACCAGAAGTGTCTCAGCAGCTCTCCAGCAGCTATATAAAGGTGTTTCAACTCACCCTGAATCTCAGCAGGTGCCATCTCTGAAAAAGAAAAATCTTTAACTCACAATATGTCTTTAAGAGAAAATATAAATGACTTTTTACCGTCCATGCTGTTGGACAACAGCATGGCGCTGATGCTGAGCTGTAGAGCTCGTCCAGTGACAGACCGCTGCATCCTAAATGCACAAAGGAGCGCTACAGCAAATCCTCAGGCTCTACAACCACAAATTTACTGCTCCCAACAAAAACAAAACATTTCAAATGATATTTAAAAGCCAATTAAAACACAGAGTAAACAGATTAATTTATTCTGCCTCCCTTTTTGGACACTACAGGCAGGGCACGTATTAAAATGACATGTTTTAGTTTTGGATGGAGCTCTGCAATTACAGCATTTGCATGCTACTATAGACAACAAGCCTGTGTAGCAAGGTTACCAAATGAGCCAGTACTCAAAGCAAACAAACAAACGAACAACCCAAAATGGAATTCACTGAATACAAGCCAAAATGTCATTACGTGCTGATAGTTGTCTTTTTGAGCATCACTTTGGAAATGTGAGCTTCTTGTTTTGGATGAAAGAATGTGCAAAACTAAAGTAACACTACAATGAATTAGAAGAACATTGTTTTAAGGTTTGTAAACCTCTGTAGCATAACAGAACACATTGATCACTTTTCTCAGATTTAACATTTAAACAACCCTGCATGTTGTCTTGTGTGTGAAGTATGTGACTGAATATGACTTAAACCAGCTAAAAGGAACATTTCAGGTCTGGTTTTATGGTAAATGAGTTTCATCTCATGTGGTCGACACACTTACGGTTTATGGCTTGCTGTGCGCCGGCCTGCATGAGGACACCGCCTGGAGAGAGCGCAGCAATAGCAGAACTCGCTGCTGCGCTGGATAACACCTGTGAACAGGATCAGATTATTAGCAAACTGACCAAACCCAAAAAAGAAAAACATTCAGCCAGGGATGTTTGAAAGCAAAATGTGCAAAATCACCGTCAGGCGCACAGGATGTTTAATCTGAAACTAAAATAATTCAGCCACTACCTCTTACAAATTTGTCAAAAAAGCTGCACTTCTCAAATGGCTCTGCCAAGAATTTCTTTCAAGTGCTCACGTGTTTTAGCACCCCATAAGTTGAAGCTAGCCTGTGATAGACTAATCAATCAAGTATCCCACAGCACTTTTCACTTTTCTATGAAAAATTCCTGAATATCCTGTAAAATAAACCCTGACGAAAATGTAAAACCATCAGGCACCTTTCAAACAGCCCAGTGTGGGACAAAAACAATGAAAACAGTGATGATCAAACCTGAGTGAGGTTGGGTTTGTAAGTAGCCATTTCATGCTGGATGTAGCTGACAGAGTTGATGATATCCTGGCTGGTTGTGTATTGTTGGGACTGAAGTGGCACAGGACCATGCGCATATCTTAAGAAAGTAAATGGCAAAAAAAGAAAATGTGATGATTTGACAACTGAACCATATTTTCTGCTCAATTGCTACTGTTAAGCAGTGCAAACACATTTGTTAAATAATGCAAAAGGACAATACATTCGTGTAATAATTTGTCTGACAAATGATTACACAAGCTAAAGGTAATAAGGGAGATAAAGGTCATAAAATCAATTGTAAAAAAAAAAGCAACAAAAAAAATAAAAAGAGGAGAACCCGTACCTGTCAGATTTCTTCAGGTTTAATGCGACTGTTTTTGGTCTATTTTCCCTTTGCAGATCCTCATATTCTATGGCTTCTTGTAATTTAACCTAAGAGAGGAGCAATACAGAATGTTACAAAGCTGCAAATCAAATATATAGAGACTCTGTATCAAAGCTGCAGTGCTATGGCACCTTCTTAACAGGAGGCTGAAAGAAGTCTGAATCTCTTGAGTTTCCGTCCGTGCTGCTTGTCTCACTGGCTTGGTCAGCTGGCAGCTCCCTTTCAAAGCAGGATGGAGTTAGCAGAGAGGTCAAACACAAACAAGTTGATGATGAACTTGTTTCATAAACAGTATTTACCCTTTGCGAGAGCCTGCTGCCAGCACCATGGCGCTATGATGGTTGAACCGCTTAATGATGGCAGAGTTGCTGCTCTCCTTCACTGTCCTATTTGCATTCGAAGTTGAGGGCAGTGTTGTGCTAATTCCATAGCCCTGCATCACAAAAGAAGCCCATTTTGTGTATTAAGGGGTCGAACATTTACGAAATTACTTAAGATCATTAAGATTTACATAAAGAATCTTCTCACCTCATCTAATGTTTTGTCTTCTAACGACATGAGGTCAACCAAAGGATTTCTGACTCCTTGAGTGACCATAGACTTTAACCCTGCACATGGAAAGTGAATACCGGATCACCGTTTTAAGATCATTAGTATAATAAGATGTACAATGAAGTCAGAAAAATGCCTAAGACTCTTACCTTTCTCATCCTGTTTGGCACATTCAGAAAAGATATCCTGCGTTCCAGTGTTGATACGATCTCTGTGAAAATAATGGGACTGGAAAAAGCGGGTCCAGAACTCCTTCTCCGTCAGGTTATGAGGCACATTTTCACTATACTTCTGCTTCACTGCAAATACAACACAGGTCCATAAAGAAAAAACTTTTTTACACATGTTGTGATCAGATGCATAGATCATTTAAAAAAAACATGAGTTCTCTAACATTGCTAAAGCCTGTCAGTTTAAATAAGAATGTGAGCTTATAAAGTTATTATTTTTGTAAAAACAGAAATATAACTGGATACCTGCAGGGTATGTTCTGAAGATGGATTCAATAATGTCAGCTGTCAGATTATATCTTAAACCATTACAGCCATCAGTCTGAGGTCTAATGTCGGCCTGGAAAGCAGAAAATCAAGATGTGCATGCATGCTGTTAATGGCGGTGACTGAAATTGGGAAGCACAAAGTGCCATGCTGCCAGAATAGATGTACTCACCAGAAATGCTCCAGATATACCCACTTCCTGTTTGTTGTCATATGGTGCGGGGTCTGCGTTATTTATGCCTCCTAACCGGTTAGCCCAGAACTCCTCAGCACTGATCACTTGGCTCACCACCAGGTCTTTGTATAACTGGAAAAGCACAGGATCTTCTTGAAGCATCCTGCAGGAATAAATACAAACATGACACTGGAAAACCAAATTTATATTCACTCTCAACGCATCTAGCCTGAGAGGCAAAGATTACAGCATTGTTTTACATCAACATTAAGTCCGTCTGGATTTGATCACATGCAAAATGACAAAAGCCAGTCAGTCTAGTACATCGTATTGTGCACTGAGTAGATTTACAGTAGCTCTTTGTCACTCTATTCACCAAGACTTTCTTTCAGAAAAACACAGTGGAATACTGTTACGTATATTTTAGGCAATAATGTTTCCAAGAGATATAAAACAAAGAATTGCTACACTCAAATGAAGCTTAATCAATTATCATTAAAAAAGTGGCCTCTGGCTGCAGATTTTCTGTAACTTTGTTGCTGTTCATGATGAAAATAATAGTAGAAAACTCACAGACAAACCAATGGTTGACTATTTGAAAATACAAAATGATATTTACCAGCTTTAAAAAATCTTGCAATGGCAATCAGGTCAACGAGAGATTCTCACCGGTTTTTCTCCTCCAGCTCCTTGTTGGCTTTCTTCTTGAACTTGGGCAGTAGCTGCTGCAGCAGTTCTTTGACAGCATCTCGGTCTTTGAGTGCTGTGCTGTCATTGGCAAAGTGGAATGTGGTACTGTCCCCCGCGTGAAGGACCAGCTGAAGTTGAATTTTGGCTTTGCCGTCAGGGCTGATTTTCTGACCTGCATAGGGCAGCAGTAAATTGTATTGTGAAAAGAAAATAACATCATGTAGGTCAGTTTTAGAAGGGAATTTAGGGTATCCAGGACTCACAGCGAATATCGGAATACAAGTGGCTGACTGTGAAGCGGTCTTTGCCTTCTGGACCCCAGGCTATTCGTTCAGCCATCAGATACAGTGTGCCGTCCTGCTTTTTCTGTCGGACCTTTTTAATCACCAGCAGCACCTCCTCAGACAAAGATGCCATGGCTAAAAAGGATCACTAAGAAAAGAAATTAAGAGTCCCAAAAAGATAAATGTGAGTTAGGTCGTTAAAAATAATTATTTAAAAATAGACCGTTCAGTCATTCCTTGATCTGGAACCACAACTTTAACGCTGGCAACATTAACGAAAGCAAAAAACAAGCGAGTCTTTTACCCCACCAACATATTCAGCACTCTGAATGAGCTGCAAACAAGCAGCTTCCAGGTCACTACACATCAATGTCTACCTGCTACTAAATGGTCCTTCTACTAGCAACCTTAATATTATCCAAATACAAGCAAAACCATGACTTATTCACGGTTCATCATATAAACCTAGCTAACCAACCTGGCGTTAGCTAGTGTAGAAGAGTGAAAGCCTCCGGATGAAGTCGACAATTGACTTACCTTACCTCAAATATATCAATACTGCAACCAATGCGGTTTTTTAACAAAACACATAATCTTGAATTGGTATTCTTTACTAAAATATCTACTGAGGGTTGGCGTTTTAACTGAATTTGAACTACTAAAACAATGTACGGGCTGACTTCTGTGCCGACATGTCCAGAGCTGTGTTACATTGAAGAGATTCCGGTGGGATAAGACATGCGAGCGTCCGTTCCACTCGACATAACGACACAGTGATTACAACTCCAAAACCTTCCAAAACGTTTTTAAAGATAATCAAAAAATGATATTATTATTTTTTCTCAATTAGTTGTTCACAAGATTTTAGTTAAAGTCCACGGTAACAAATATTTTCAAAGATAAGGAATCACTGAAGGAATTTGGCTTTTGGAAAAGCATAGGAAAGTGAATACTACCAAATCAGTGGGCTCAAAAGGACATTTGAAAACTTAGTAAAGTTATTCTCACAAAACTAGAATGGATTCCCAGACCTATATACCAAGCATATTTCTTTCCATTCATCCATCCATTTTGTGTACCACTTAGTCCTAACTGGGTTGCAGGAGGGCTGGAGCCTATTCCAGTATAAGTCAAGAGGCGTATATTCTTTAATTTTCCCAAAATCTGTAATTAAAGCTACAAGCCAACCCAATTTCAATTGTATTAGGGGTAAAAAGGTACACTACATTAAGATAGAAACTTTGATAAAAGACTAAAATGACAAATGACTAAGATAATGTTTGAGGTTGTATTAATTTGATGTCAGTGCATCTTAACCAACACTCAACAGTCACAGTATAGATCACATGTTTTTTCAGGGGGGAAATAAAGTTTTATATATCCTCTGTTACAGATGTAATCTGTATATTTGGACTTCTTACAAAGCTTTTTCTTTTGATTAGTCACCTGTGTGTATTTCACTTGATAATGATGAGAATAATAGAATTCTAACACATTTATATAATCAATTATTCAACTAAAAATTAAAACCAACAATACAGTGATCATCAGCAAAATGTTTTTAATGATAATGAAGACAAAAGTTGGAAATATAAGATACAGTGATTTATTAGACAATGGCTAAGAATAGATTAATAGGTATTGTGAAAGCACAGATAAGCAGTGTAAACATTTGTAGAAAATTAGAAACCAGCACTTTTATGCTGCCTTTCAAGTTCTGAAGAATAGTAAATATATGGATCAGCTTTCCTTTAAACTAGTAACATTTGGGTCCAGCCTTTGACATTTCTTCAGATCTGCGTTAGGCGTACTCTTTACATTCAGCAACTTCACATCCACACTTATCAACTGAAATGTAATTGTGTTTGATTTTACTGCCATCAGAGCAGGTCATTTCCACTTCCTTTTTGCTGGTGGCCATTTCTCGACAGCAAGTACATGAATGCATCATTTTGTTAGCCTCTGCTGAGTACCTGCAAATACAAGGAGACTAAAGGTTAGGAAGCTAAAACACTAACTTTTAACACTCATCTTCATTTGAAAAAAGTCATTGTGTAATCTGGAAACTGCATATTCCACAGATTCTTTATGACGATTCTCACATTGACCAGGATGCTCCACAGGATCCCTCACAGGCAGTGAGCTCCACCTTCTCATCTGATGTGCAGTTGTTGGTCCGCAGGTAGGTGATGTTCTTTGACAGCACACAGCTGTAACGAGGAGTGCCTGCAGAAAACATGAATGTGGAGCACAAAGCTGAAGATTAGTCATCAATACAGTGCTCTGCAGTGCGGATTCAGACGTAAGTAATGCAAATTGATGGTGTTTGTGTCCATGTACACACAGCAAGACTTGGAAAGAAAAAACTTATTTGAAGAGATTACAAAAGAGTTCTAGAGGTGAATTCAGGCCAATATCAACTAAATAGAATATTAGATACTTACAGGTTCTGCAGCAACCACTCTTGTCACTTTTTTCTGTTCCCTGTATTGGATATAAAAATAAGTTTAACTTTTACAAAATATTTACTACCTCAATATCAAAATGCATTCAGATGACTTCTCCTTTATTTTCATAGCACAGCAACACTGTATAATAAAAGTTTGTTCCATGGTCCAATGCATTTTAACTACCCATGTCATAGCATTCTTTGTGCTTAGTTTCTATATAAGATCTCACAATGCTTTCATAAATAGAAAACAAGCACCCATCTTTGGCATGCAGACACAACAACCTATGTAAAGGAAAAGCTTCAGTCTCTGTCAGAAATGGATTATACTCACTGGAACACAGTTGTTTGGGTCAAATTCAGGACATGTTGTTTGGTTTACTGACTCGATGAAGTCCCCTTTCACCTTCCGGCAATCATACTTGGTGCAGTTGTCATTTGGTGGCGACCATGACTCAGAGGGCTGTCATATATGTGGATGTGTTGATTTAGTGAGAATACTATATATTCTGGATTATGACACCATTAAAGATCCTGATCATTCTAAGTATGTTTGCATTGTGCTTTCACTTACCTTTAGAATGATGGGAGATGTGAATCCAGGAACATCAAAAACACATCTTGTCTGTACACACGATCCACAGCATTGTCCAGGTTGGTCTACATACTCATGGCCCTGTTTGCAAAGTATAGAAATGAACATGGTCTGCAGGTTCTGACTAATTAAATCTCTAAATAAGTGTCCTGTATTTGGAAAATATAGCAATATCAATCTCTGCCTTTCAGTATCCAAGATTAGATATTTAGATGAAGCTGTCCTTTTTGTTTGATACACGACTTGTCAGATGTTCGCTTTAAGTGACTGAAAAGTAAAATTACCTCTTCACATGACTTGGAACACTGTATCTGATCACACTTAATGATGTTCAGTTTGCTGCTGGAATTCTGGTTTTCAGTGCAGCGGCAGGGTTCACATGGGCTTTTGGAGAAATTTGTACCTGGCTGTAACAACATAGTGTTCAATATTAGACAACGTCAGGTAGGTAAATTCTAATGAGAACACATTTGCGTTGGACATGAATCCTTACCTTGTACTCAGTGTCATCATAAACACAGACGCCTTTGGGCACTAGAAACCATGTTAGAAAGAGGATTACATCATTAGTTTGGCCTTTCATCCATACGAACTGTCAGTAAATGTTACAGATCTTACCACAGCTGTAGACAGGGCAACAACTTCCATTGGAGACCTGAATCTTCAGCTCAAATCCCAGTTCACACTGTGGCTGTGGTGAACAGCGGTTCTGATCACACTCTGTTGGTCAAAAGGTCAGATGTTAGGTTGAGAATTTGTGAGTTAAAAATGGGTTTGTGACATTTTTATGTTCTCTATATTTTTCAAAGGTAACAAATCAATACCAGGTTAAATTTTAAAATTGGAAGATCAAAACAAAAGATTGTTACAGGAAAAATAGACCACAACAATGGAAAGTGATTGGGCATGTCTCCATTAACACAGACAGCATACTACATATATAAGCATGGTACATAAATCACTCACCACATGTCTGTCTTTGGCAGCAGTTAACTGTTCGGTTCACTAGTATCTGGCCTTCCTCTGTGCAGTCAACTGGCTCTTGAGTGGGACATGTGACAGGCTCACACACAACACTTTCAGTTTCCTCACTGCAGACGCACTCCTGACAGCCACTCTTCCACGTCTCACCATACTGTTCAAATTAAGGACAAATGTATTTGTCTCCATGATGACAACACAAAACACATGTGGACTGACAACTGTGTGATGTTTTCTGACGTTCACCTGTTTAGGCTGACCATCAGGTCCAGTGCAACCTGAAATATAAAGAATACCAGTGAACTCCAATGGTCATTACAATAATACATAATTAGTTGTTCTTTGAGGAAAACAGGAGTTTCTTACAGGAAGAGACACAGATGTCAGAGGTTGAACTAAACAAAGTCATTCCCTCTGGGCAGAAACATCCTTCCATGAATGAGTTGCATGCTGTGCTCCATTCATCTCCTTGGCATTGCTTTGTGAGCTTTTCGTTGTATCTTAATATGAAAAGAACCAACAGAAATACATAAATGATTATTTCTGACGTTATAATTTTACCATTCTAACATTTTTGAAGAAGAAGTTGTTTACATGACCTAATTATTTCCACTGTAATGACAGAAGGGAGTTATCACCTTGCATTGCAAGTTGGTGCAACAGTTGGCCCACAAGGTTTGTAGACTTTATTTTCCGGACATGCATACTCTACAAGAAGAGAGGGTAGATTTAACCTCTGCACAGAATACATTTGAAAAAGAACAGCTTACTTTCCAGTAACCCAAACTGTCCTACCACACTGTCCATTTGTTGCATTTCTCCAGTCTACACAAACTGATGCTTCAGCACACAACGCAGCATATGTCTCTATACTGGAACACCCAGTGGTCGTATTTTTCATGTGGCAAACGTCAAATTTACAAGCCTCATAAAATGGTTGTGGGGGAATATCTTTGTGGCAAACTTCAAACACCCTAATGTATAAAAAAAAAAGAAAAGGAAATAGTTCAAAATTATGTCAAGTAAATATACTAAATTCATATTGACTTAGAAATGCATTTGTTTTTCTCACTTGCTGTTCAAAATTTCACAGATCTCAGTATTGCATGGTTGTGTAGGCTCTGGTGTTGGATAGGTCGGTGGTGGCTTCTCACAATATGGTTTGTTTACAACAGGGACGTGCCACTCATATGCCATCTTAGAGCATGATGGATGAATATTGCCATTTGGTAATCTGCAATCATTTATCCGGCTGTTGTCACAGTTACCTTGAGAAGGGAAAATGTTAAATTAACAACCCATCTATTCCTTGCAGAGTCTGGCAAGTAATTGTAGAAACAAGCTGGCATTGATTGTAGTTGGTGTATACAAAAGCTATATATCTCTACTTTGTTAAAAAAAATATCAGTATTTCATTATTATGGCTGAAACAGATAATAATCTTACCACAATGTCCTTTGGTGTTGTTGTAGAAAAGTGAAAAGGGCAATTCAATACTGAATAACAGCCCTTTAAATCTCACTTCAGCTTTAATTTCTGGGACCTTTAAAAGCAGCTCAATGCCTGTGCTTGTAATTATGAGGTCATCATTTGTGTAGCTTGGAATCACCCGCTCACCATTGATGAGTACCTGTATATAAGCATAAGTGACACACCTTTAATGCATTCTATAGGACAATTAGTATAATAGGTATGAGAG